ATATACCTAAAAAATTGTTTTAGAGGTCGAGGTTGAATTTGAATTACTTTCGACAAACCAACATGGTTTCATGCAAAATGAAAGCACGGAAACAGCTATATATTATTTCATAGAACACGTAGTAACAGCCTTGGATAACAAACTGCAATTTTGTGGTATGTTCATCGATTTTTCTAGAGCAATTGACTGTGTGGATCACTATGTACTAATCCAGAAAATGCATCGCTATGGGCTTCGTGGAATTGCCCAAGATTGGATGAGGTTATATCTAGAGAACAGGTCACAAACAGTGAGAATTCAAGGTGTTCACAGTCAGTCCTTGGCCTGCAAGCAAGGAGTTCCACAGGGGTCTATACTCGGACCACTGCTTTTTCTTATTTATGCGTACGACTCTATACAATACCTAAATAGTCTTTCAAAGGTACATATAGTTGCATATGCAGACGATAAAAATGTTCTGGTCACTGATTGTAATACATTAGCACTTGCACAAACAACAGAATCCATATATGAGAAAATAATGAAATGGGGTGAAAAAAATCATTTAGCACTAAATATCAGCAAAACAGTATTAGTCAAATTCACAATGCAGAACATCACCGAAACTCTCAAAATATATGAAGATAGCCAAACCAGAAACAAAAATGCTAGGTCTAATTCTAGATTACAAGCTGAATTGGGGTCCTCATATAGATTCACTATGTGATAAACTACGAAAGAACTGTTATGCACTGAGATTTATGTCGAATCATTGTGGAAGAGAGGTGCTCCTAAATCTGTACTATGCAACTATTGGCTGTCACTTGCCCTATGGAATTTTGAATTGGGGTATGAGCTCCTCTGCTCAAAGAGTATTTATATTACAAAAGCGGTCAGAATAATTGCTAGTTTAGGATGGCGACACTCATGTAGAAGCTCATTCAAATAGCTGGAAATACTCACAGTTGCTGGTCTGTATATACAGTGTGTCTCACTTCTCATGGAAACATCCCCGTATCTTCCGTAATATTCGAGGTAGAACGATGAATCCCTCTGGACCAAAATGCACCTACCACCTGAATGGGGTTGGCCAAAGTGATATACACTGTCCGCCACTCGCGATGGAACACCCCATTTTTACGGTAAAACATATTAGGGGACAAAATAGGCTCGAAATTCCTTCAGATTCGTGATCAGGATTACCAACTTACTACGATTACACTTTTTTTCCTGAAAAAATTTCAGTCCTGAAAAATCCGAATTTGTTTCACTTCTCATGGAAACACCCCCGTATCTTCCGCAATAATTGTAGTAGATTTTTTTTTGGTTTTGACATCAAAACGAAATTGTTTAAGAGAAACTCGACTTTTGTTTTTACATAAATAATTTATTTTTTATTTTGTTGTCAGGAAAGTTATTCCTTCTCAATAAGAGAGAAAATGGTAATTTTGTAAGAGGAACGGAAACATGTAATCAGTGAGTTTTTAGGATGGTTAATGTTAGTTCATATTCTCATTTTCCCATTATTTAAAAAAAAAACAAGGATATTTTGTGGCTAAAAATGTTATGTAGTTCAAAATTCTTTCGAAGTACTACTTTCAAAATCACATTTTCAATTAAAAAACAAAACAATCAATTTTCAGGAAAAAAGTGTATTCGTAGTAAGTTGGTAGTCCTGATCACGAATCTGAAGGAATTTTGAGCCTATTTTGCCCCCTAATATGTTTTTCCGTGAAAATGGTGTGTTCCATCGCGAGTGGCGGACAGTGTATATCACTTTGGCCAACCCCATTCAGATGGTTGAGCATTTCCATGAGTCCTGAGAGTTTCATCGTTCTACCTCGAATATTATGGAAGATACGGGGGTGTTTCCATGAGAAGTGAGACACACTGTATATGGGATGTGTCTTTGCGTTCATAAGAATAAAGAAAAATTTAGCGCAAACCAGCAAGAGCACCCATACGCTACTAGAACGAGAGGGTTGTTGATAGCGAACCCTCACCGAACCTCCCTCTATCAGAAGAGTCACCTATACCTTGGACCAAAATTGTATAACAAGCTAGATGTTTCTATTAAGGACTCAATGAACATCTGCATTTTCAAAAGAAAATTGAAAAAATATCTTATCGAAAGAAACTGCTATACCGTTGACGAGTTTTATTAGTTACTCTCGATAAAAAAACTGTTAATTATCTTCACATGTACAGTTTAGTATCTGTTGTGTTTTGTTGTTTTATATTTATATATATTTGTTTTTAGTTATACATGGACGTCTTCCTTGTTACTGTATGTAAATGTTTATTGTAATGCTTTCATACTGTTCAACAAGTGAAATAAATATTATTATTATTAGTTTGAAAAATATTTTCATACTTATATAAGAGAAAGAGAAGAGGAAAGGCAAAGACTCGTCAATATCTTAATATTTTCTAAACAATTTTCCGTTCAACAACATCACCTAAAAATAATAAAAAAACTCTCTAGCTGTTGTAATCAAACAAAAAACTTGTCCAAGAACCACCGAACAGGTGTTAACTAATAATTTGGCATAGTGGAAGCCATTCAAATTCCTTTTTATAAATAACCCTCCTACGTACTAAACTGGTCGTTGTCAAAAAAACAGCCTTTGATCAGATTATGCAGTGTCTGTAAAACATCACAAACCATGTAATTAATAAATTTGAACACTACTTGGCGTACCTAATTATTTCGAAACGTGTCGTTTTATTTCATTCCAATCGAGTTGAACAGAAACTGGTGTACATATTATTGTTATTGAGACAACAATAATACTTTGAAACCGGTATAATGGCAGGCAAAAATCCAAAACCATATAACGGTAAAATTTTAATCATTCGGTAAGAATTTCATAAATTTTATTTCTGTTTACGTGGTGAGCCAATGAAATAAACCTACTTTTTCAACATATGTGCAAACGAAAACGCTCTGATGAATAGAAACGATTCCGTTGATAAAGTCACAGTATTAAATTTACAACGACACGAGGTTCAGATTGAGGCCAGTGAAATCATCCGCTTTGACTTACCCCTTGCCTCTCATGTGAAACTACGACTTTGTGGGTACGTGTGGCAGATACCCGACGGAAAAACAACAACTAACCCAGCTAATGCCGCGCAGAAAGCTGAAGTAAAATTATCAGGCACCTGTGCAACACAACCGATAAACCGGTTTCGGAGTACTAGCTCCTCGTTAGTACCGGGAAGGTCATTTCAGACGGATTGAACCGTCTGAGTATCCCGAACAAGCACCTGCACGTCGTCTTGAGTTTGTTCAGGTTGGGGACATGAGGGCCTCATTCGACAGAGTGCCGGGGTCTTCTATATCGGGAGAAGTCATCTACAGCATAATCTATAGCTTCCCTTACTAACGGATCCGAACAAACAAAATCAATTCCAACTAGTCATAAGCTCTATCTGCAGTTGATTTAGTAGGTTGTAAATTGCGCTACCTGCAGACAAAGTCCGGCAACAACTTCACAAACATATGACATGCCCAAGTTCAGGTGAAAAATACCTACGTAGGTTCACATGAGAGGAATGGGGTAAGGTGTGAACTTACGTAGGTTCACATGAGCGGCAAGGAGTGAGGTGTTTTTCACCTGACCTTGGAAATTTCATATGCACATCTGAACTATTGCCTCTCATGTGAACTTACGTACCTATGAACTTAGGTATGTCATGTGCACACCTCACCCCTTGTCTCTCATGCAAACCTATGCACCTACGTATTTCACCAGAACTTGGGCAAGATATGTCATATGTACACCTTATCCCCTTGCCTGTCATGTAAACCTACGTACGTTCACATGAGAGGTAAGGAGTTAAGTTGTTTTTCACCTGAATTTGGGCATGTCATGTGCACACTTCACCCCTTGCCTCTCATGTGAACCTATGCACCTACGTATTTCACCAACTTGGGCATGTCATATGTACACCTTATCTCCCTTGCCTCTCATGTGAACGTACGTAGGTAAGGTGGTAAGGTGTTTTTCACCTGAATTTGGGCATTTAATATGCACACTTCACCCCTTGTCTCTCATGTGAACCTAAGTACCTACTTATTTCTCCAGAACTTGACCATATCTTGTGTATACCATTCCCCTTGCCTCTCATGTAACCCTACGTAGGTTCAGATGAGAGGGGAAGGTGGTGAGGTGTTTTCCACCTGAACTTGGACATGTCATATGCACACCTGAACTTGAGCATGTCATATGCACTCCTTACCACTTGCCTTCCATGTGAACCTACGTACCTGCGTATTTCACCTGAACTATGTATTTCATATGAACTATGTATTCCACCTGAACTTGGGCATGTCACATGCACACCTCACCCGTCTGCTTTTCATGTGAACCTACGTACCTATGTGTTTCGCTAGAACCTACATAGGTTCACATGAGAGGTAAGGAGTAAAGTGTTTTTCACCTGAACTTGGGCATGTCGTATGCATACCTGAACTTTGAACTTTGGCATGTCATTTGCACACCTTACCCTTTTTCTCTCATGTGAACCTGCGTAAGTTCATATGAGAGACAAGGGGGTAAGGCATTTTTCACCTGAACTTGGCCAGGTCATGTGCACACCTGAACTTAGGCATGTCATACAAACCTTACCCCTTTCCTCATGTCAGTCTACCTAGGTTTACATGAGAGGCAAGGGGTGAGGTGGTTTTCACCTGAACTTGGGCATGTCATATGTGAACGTAGGTTCACATACACGAGAGGCAAGGGGTAAGGTTTTTTCACCTGAACTTGGGCATGTCATATGCACTTCTCCGGAATATGTTTATAATATGTAAGCATCAGTCGACCCCTGGGAGTAGGCAGGCTTCGATTACAGGTTGTCTCCGTCGAGTCGAGAAGAATGATGCAATTCTGGTGTTTGGAAAGAGTATTTGTTTTAGTAATATCCATTTTGATTTTTTCAAATTCAAAGATTTGCCCTCTTTGAAAATGATTTATTGAAATATATGTGTGTTGAGTTTGATTTCTTTTTTTCAGATTGGAATTGGAGTGGGACTGATATGGAACGCCACATACAACGTGAAAGACGAGAAGGAAATCTGTATCGCCAATAAAATAAACAATTTCACGATCATTGGGATTTTTTTAGTTACTGTGATAAATGTATTTATTTCGGCCTTTGGAGTTGCTAATCCTGCATAACCCAAATTTGGAAGTGTTTTATAGCTCAAACGAAAAATATTTATTTGTTGATACGTAAGACTGGAGCAGGTTGTGTTCTGACGGAGAGGTTTCCATTAGAACTGAAAAATTAGAGAAATATTTGGAAACCGACGAAAAATACTGAAAATTAAAGTTGTGTGAGTCTTAATAGTGTAATGTAAAGCCCAAGTTATCAAAATGAAAATAGACATACGATTATAATGAGCAATTAATAATATTTTGTGCACATCAATAATTGATCAATATTTTTTTAATGACTACTATTTTTTTAATGTGTTTGCTGTTATGTATATTATTCTTTTAATCAAAACTGATAATAAAAATATTTTTTATAAAATTGGCAGTTGTTTTAGTTTTCGTTTCAGTTTTAAAATCTCACGAGAATCCAAAATTGTCCTAAGTGCTCGTTTTTTGAGAATAAAGACTCTACTTGTATTCGAACAATTCCCTCAGAGTACTTGAAAAGGCTGTGACATGAAGGAACTTATAGCACCAAACGAAAAACATCTTCATTCAGTGCTGAATATGTTGACTGTAAGTCTCATCAATAACTGGCCGGGGAGCAATGTGATTACTCGTATTTATACTAGTAAGGGGTGGGGAGTGCGATTTGTCCATGAGAATGCTCACTTCTGATTGGTTCCCATCGCTGGGTTGTTCTAATTAGTCCACTCGGTTGATAGAAAACGTTGATGTAATGTTCATTGCGAATATTTCAGTCCATTTGTGAACTTCTTGAGTACCAGATGCCACTTTATGTTAACTCGCATAACTTCTTCTTTTCTGTTGAAATTGTTGAGCTGCTTATAGATTTCAACGGCTGTAGTTTGATTAGTAGCTAGCTGAAGCCATATTTCTTTCAATTTTCCGTATGTGGAGCATGAAAAACGTTTATGTCGCGTTATCAGTTTACCAGGGTTTGGCAACTTGTGACGTCATGAGACAAGTATGAATATATAGAGAAGTTCATAACGGAAAAAACAAGAGTAACAATAGGAAGATCTTCCTCTTGAAGATAATCACTTGGTGTTCGAAACACGTGTCGAGATGTTGAAATAACGGAGGCTCGACATAAATTGCCACGTTTTGAAGTCTTTTCTTCTTTGTTTATCCGCAATCAAAACACTAATTTTTTGGATCGAATCGTCACATGTGATAAAAAGTGGATCCTCTACGACGAGAGACGTTCAGGACGGTGGTTGGACATCGATGATCTACCCATACACGTTTCAAAGGCGAAAACCCACTTGCTGACCCACCATATTCTCCAGACTTCTCTCCAATCGACTACCACCTTTTCAAGCACTTCGATAACATTCTTACCGGTAGAATCTTCGCCAATCAGGCAAAAACGACCTTCGTCGACTTCATCGAATATCGAGCAAACAATTTTCATGCTGAAAAGGGGACTGATTCATATGGTGCTTACTTCGATTCAACTAAATATGTATTGAATGAGATATTACAGTTTAAAGTGGACTCATGAAAATGGACACAACTTTAGAAATAACCTGTTATTAAAAAAATAATTGATATTTTTGGCTATATTAGATATGTATGTATGGTTTTAACCTTACCTTTACCTTTTAACCTTTAACCTTTACCTTTCTTATCCCTATTCTGTAGATATTGAGAAAGTCTGAATCGAGAATATTGCTGAATACCCCTCTGAAAAATTGAATAGAATAACAATACTCGGTACGGTGACTCGGTCTTCATTTCACTTCGGTACCACGTGTTCGAAATCATTCCACATCATACATAATTATGTTTCAACCGTAATTGTGATAAGAATAATCTCAACAGTGAAAAATAAATTTGTTACAAACAGATGCGTTACGAACAAATTCAAATATGGCATCAACATTAGCCGGTTCTTTGAAAAGAATTGTCAAATTGAACCCTGTTCAAGTTAGAAGAATTTCACATTATCCCATTGACGATCACATTTTTGGATTAAATGAAGAACAAATTCAGGTAACGCGAATATTATTTGCGAATATTATTTCAAGTGAATTCAGAATTTTCCGTATGTTTCGAGTCTTGTGTGGAAGAGTTGTCAATAACGTTCAGGCCTGGACGGTACGGAGTGTTTGTTTTCAATGGGTCAATTACAAATCTCATATACCAGTTACATACAAATCGTTATTAAAACGTTCCATTTCAGTTCATCATGATGATAATGTTCAAGGAAAGCGAAAGTAAGTAGTACAGATAGTGGCCTTGAACTAGAGGTATATCATTCTTCTTTTGCATTTGCTGTGGAAGAGTTCAAGTGCAACTATTCCAACCTTAAAAAATTTTTGGAGTACAATCTTGTAGTGTCATTAGCTCTGTTTTCTTGAGCCACTGCCTCTACTGGAAGGAGTGTTCTTTCCTATTATTGACCACTTGATGTTATGTTGGTAGGTCAAACAACCTCTGATAGGTACTCTCGATTTGCTTTCTTCATGCTGGGTGTTTTGCTTGTGCTCTACAATTCGGACTTTCACAGCGTTTCGGTTTTAGCAATAGACGATTTGCACACAGTGTCCGAAAACCATATTCTCAGAGTCGTCTGCTTTTGGTGGTTTGGTTTTTGTAAGGCTGCTATAGTATTCTCTAATCTGAAGTAGGTTCAAGTTTATTAGACCTAATTTTTTAAATTCACTCTTTAACCGCTTTTAAATTCAGCCCTTTAACTGCTCTAACGTAAGGAACAGATGATATCATTGATTGTTCTTGTACAGCTCTTGTCTTTCGGCCGTTTTGATGAGGCCCAGTTCTTTGACGAGACTTCCCTTCGTAGTGCAGATATCGATTGCACTATTAATTAGGGTCATAACGATTCCTTTGTTGGTAGATTGGCAATGATTGGATTCGTAATTCAGGTACTGTGGGTTGGATTTCTGTATACCTACAGACGTTTTCCACCCTTTTCACTGCCACCTGTAGAATATAACATACCATCAAATGATTTTAAGCTAAAATTATTCATGGAGGAGAATACTGGTTCGAAAGAAAGTTTCAATAATATTGGACCACAACGCATCAGGCCAGACTGGTGAGGAGATTTTCAATATTTGCAAACCTCTCATGCGGGAAATCCGACCACGGTACCCTTAACCGGAAAATGAAAGGAGAAGGAAGAGGGGAAAAACCGTGCCAACGCTTGTGTTCTTGTATCCTGTGTTGATGCTGCGTTTGGTGATTTTTATGTGAACTGCGACACAAAAACAGGAAATCCTGTAATGTGAGAGACTCGACGACTTTGTTGAGATATCAACCAGTACGAGTGGGTTTGCAATAAAGTGACTGACGTAGTTTTCTTTCAACCAATACATCAAAAATGGAATATTTCTTTTCCATGGTAAACTGGATACGAGGATGAATGGAGTTGATGTGGCGCAGAAACTGTTTCACTGCTTGTTCCCCCTGGCTCCAAATAACCAAAGGGTCATTAGCATAGCAAACCAACAAAGATTTGGTGACTGTAAGTTCCTCTTCTTTTCTATTCATGAAGTCGTAATTATCCACTATGAATTTTTCACCTATCTGTAGATTTAGTACTTGACTTTTCTCTTGTGGAAGCTACTAAGATGAACCTAAACGTGTATGGATGGTAACTCCAATGGATTGCCTCTATCACGTGCAATTTTGAGTCCTTTTTTAGCCTAGGTCTCATATAGTATTCACAAACTCATCTCCAAAAGTTAAAACAGCAATATCAAGCTCTGCATGTTGGTGAGTATGCACAACTAAAGGGTCTATCAAATTTACTTTTGTGATGGAATAAGTATAATCTTTGCTAGGTTTTTCAGAAAAAGACCTACATCTTCGATACGAAATCTGTTTTATCATCACTTTTGATCACAATCTGGCTCACCAATATATCAAAGGTATTTAACTCACGGCATGTGAATTCAAATATCTTAGTGCTGGTTGATAATATTCCCGTTCAAGTAACTCACCATTGAAGTTGAATGCTTGTCTTTGCATATTTTATGGATCTGTCTCATTGACTAGCTATTGAAGATAATTAAAACTTTTAATTATTGGGGTCATCATTTTATAGATAACAATTATTTCTCCATTATAAATATTTCTTAGAAAAAAATCGGAGTTTATAAAATGATCTTTTCACAAAAGGTGCTGAGTCAGGAGGAATAATCTTGAAACGAATTATATTGTGTGGTGCACCAATAAAACAGATCGAAAATCTTCAAGACAATTTTTTTGAAAAAAATATTCAAAATCTGGCCAATTTTCAATTTTAGAGCAACATCTTTCTATCATAACCTCAACTTTCATACCTCCTCCCCCGCCCCTTGGTGACCTTTACCGTAAGAATTCGAATCGTAAGTGTCGTATACTATTATATAAGGAATTCACCCATTTGACTGTTTACTACGTACCTTTTCATTTTGGGGTACTCCAGCGGAAAAAGAAAGTTTCCATATTTCAAATTATGATACTTTATTTGAAAGATAATGTGAAGTCATAAACATAAATGTGCTTAATTTCAAGCTACGTTAATTCACAGTAGATGCTCGAAATGTTCTCCATTAACAGCAATGCGAGTTGGAGAGAGATCTGGGGAGAATGGTGGGTGAGGCAGATCTTCGACGCTCAATTCGTATAATATTCGGTGATTTGTGAAACGTGCGGACGTGCGTTGTCGTGGAGCAGGATGAGACCTCTTCTGACCAGTGCCAACTGCTGCTGATGCAAGTTTTGGTACACAATAGGACTTTGCTGTGATGGTTTGGCCCGGTTGCAGAAAGTTATAGTGACCACCAGCTGCTGACCACCATAAAGTAACCATGGTCTTTTTTGGTGGGTTTTTGCCTTTGGGAAGTGCCTGGGTGACTCATCGGTGTCCCACCACTATCCTGAACGTCTCCTGTTGTAGAGGATCCACTTTTCATTACACGTGATGATCCGATCCAAAAAAGGTCGTTTTGATTGCTCAAAAGCAAAAAAAACATACCACGTAACGTGACGCTTTCTGTCGATCGATCAAATGGTGCGACACCACAACACCATTTATGATTCATAAAATGAATTTTGAAAATCCAAATATTTTAGATAGAGAAACCAATACAACTAAAAGAACATTTTTGGAAATGATACATATTAATAACGAAGAACATTCAATGAATAAACGAACTGATATTGATAGTCTTAGTAAAATTTACACGTACCTACTGAAATATGATAAAGAAAATAAAAGATCTAGTAATTCGAGTATCATTCAGAATAACTGTCATAATTAAATGTATTTCTATCTGTTTTTGAACCATTTTATATTTTATTCTCACGTTAGTAAGTTCTCCATATTTATATATTTTTTACAAGATATATAATCTTATTATTGTAGTTGTCCTGACGAAGGTGTGAAATATACCGAAAGCTTGACATATAATAAAGAGTTTTCTTTGTAACAGCCCAGCTATTGACTGCAACCTCACGAATTTTCAAAAAAATTTAATTTTTTATAATTAATTGATTAATTAATGAAGAAAAGAGAAATGAAACTTTCTATGTTTTTTACAACTTTTATTTGTATCTAACGTTACTGCAGTTTCGTCCTGAAAGGATATTTTCAAACTTATATGTTCTTATAGGACGAAACTGCAGTAACGTTAGTTACAAATGAAAGTGGTAAAAAACAGAAAGTTCAATTTCTCTTTTTTTCATTATGATTTCCTACCACGTAGTAACGGCTACATCCATCAATTAATTGATTAATTAATGAAGAAAAGAGAAATGAAACTTTCTATGTTTTTTACAACTTTTATTTGTATCTAACGTTACTGCAGTTTCGTCCTGAAAGGATATTTTCAAACTTATACAATATACAATAAAATTGGTAAAAAAAACAGAAAGTTCAATTTCTCTTTTTTTCATTATGATTTCCTACCACGTAGTAACGGCTACATCCATCAATTAATTGATTAATTGATCATCATCTTCATCACGAACGAGTCAGTGTGATCAGCTGTGATGGCGTCATGGCAACATAATTCAGAGTGGGGACGGAGTGAGAGAGTAATAGATAGAGAAAAAGTGAATAGAGAATAGAGGAATAGAAACTCGGAGAGGGAAATATAGGTATCACACAGCTGCGCGCATTAAACTTTATCGACGAATTTATGTTATTTCGGCTTGCGTAAATCGTCAGATTATATAATTTTCGTTATCCTTGAATTACTTCCTTCAAAATAAAAAAAAATTAGCTACGTGCGAGAATGTCGAAATGACGTTATTTTTTTACAACTTTGCTGCCCTCCCCTTTCTTTACGTCACTCTCAAACTGTCAGATTACTGAAATATACACTTTTTAGCAGGTAATTAACTCACCCTACCTTAATCTGACGCGCTCGAGAATTTCTGATGATCAATTTTTTTTACTAATCTGATCCTTTATCCCTCACAGGCGGCCTTATATATGGGGCTCATATTTGGTGGAGGTACTTAACCGGGTACAAGGTATCCCCGTGTATATTAATCTGCCCCATTATAATAGGGGAGCCCCGCCTGGGCTCCCCTATTATAATGGGTCAGTCTCCTCAAATCCGGGTCCTGGATTTCTGTAGGTCGACTACTTCGGGGCTCTTCCATTTGTTCATTAGCACTATCATTGCCAAATGCCTGATAAGTGTTTGCTCTATTTCGGCGCATTTTGGTTCAATTTGAATTCGTAAAGAAAAATTGGCCGAGAAACGGTTAACGACATAAGCTGAAAAGATGAAAAAAATTAAAGTTTGGAAAAAAAGAACAGCATCAATGTATAGAGTACAAAAAATCCTCACCAAGACCAAATATCTACTGAAATATGACGCTACAAAAACACATGACATTAAAACATTTAGTTGGAGCATTTTTAAAGTTACTTGATGATGCAAGAGTAGGGAAAGACGTATGACAGTTGGAATTATGAGTTAAAGATTTCACGCTTGAAATAAAAAATCTATTTTTTATGTTTTCCCAACGAATGTGTAGGGAGATATTCGATCTGTTCGTTTTAGGTGCCGCACACTTCATATGTATTGTACTTTTTCATCTTCTTCAGTTGAGGAATACAATTTTCAACTTTGCACAACGGGAGTTAACTCCGATTGCAAACGAAATTGACAAGAAAGACAAATTCGAAGATCTAAGGAACTTCTGGAGAAAACTGGGAGACTTAGGTGTGCACGGTAAGTTTTTAAAATAGATGTTCTGGTTGATAAGAGGAACTAACTCCATTTTGCAGTGAAGTACTGTAGAGGGTTGTGAAGGTTAGGTTTAAAGTTAGTTTTTTGTGACTGGTGGATACCATCTAGTTGTTGATTTGTTTTCCAATGATTTCAGGAATAACAGTTGAAGAAAAATATGGTGGAACAGATGGTTGCTATTTGGATCATGTCATCATCACCGAGGAGTTATCTAGGGCATCTGCAGCCGTATCAATGAGCTATGGGGTTCATTCAAATCTTTGTATCAATCAGATTCACAGAAACGGAAACGAATGGCAGAAGGAAAAATACTTGCCGAAGGTAAACAGTATAGGGTCTTCCAACAGGGACTTTTGAACTTTGACAGTTGATATAACGGCCATCTTGTTGAAGCTATATCTGTCAAATTAGTTGCCACATTCAGTCTGTTTTGTCAAATCACCATGAACGGATGACTATTGTATAATGTACTCATTATACGTCTGTTTGTCCCTCAATAATACCCATTAATCACGGCAGTGATTAATGAGTCATTAATCACTGCTGTCAGATGCCTTCTTGATTTGCTACAAACTTTACCAATTGTTCAAATATTACAATTATTAATGACTATAAATGAATATGATAATATACGATCATTTTAATTTTCGATAACTATGTACTGTGTGGAGATGAATAATGTATTGCATGAAATATTCGTTAGAATAAAATAATAGTGTTTCTAAAAATATGTATGTAATGTAACAAATTTTTCCAACAAAAAAACTTCAACAAACATTTTTATTAGTCGTGGATAAAGTATAGTATGCTACTCGCGTATGATGTCTATTATTCTCTCGATAAACTTCACCTCGTGATTATTAACCATCATTATACGCTCGTTTTATAATATACTATTCATCACGCTCGCTTTGCCCATTTTATCGAGAGGACTATTCGCAATGCGGTGGATAAATTTAAGTCCACCGGTTCAATAAATGATCGATCAATACCCGTGAGTCGACGAAACGCAAGACCTGCCAAAAACATCGCCGCTGTCTGTGAGAGTGTGCAGGAGAATCCAAGGCAGTTGATTTCGCGTCCCTCACAAAAACTCGGCTTTTCGCAGGCCACAACTTGATAAATCTTGCCTCGTGACTTAGGCCTGCCCCGTACAAAATTCAACTGACGTTGAGAATGACGTTGGCCAGGCCATTACTGTCAACGGCGAGCAGTGTAGGTCGATAGTTACCAACTTCTTTTGGCCTGAGCCAGGACGACCTGGTCACCAACGACATGTGGTTTCAAAAGGACGGCCTTGCGTGCCACACAGCTCATGACTTATCGGATATGACTACGTTAGACTCTATCTTATGGGGTTTTCTCAAGTTGTAGGTGTATGCGAAACATCTTCTTTCGGCCAATATTCAAATTCTTTCCATAGAAAGTCAGGGCCATTAATCCACCTGCTTTCAGCTGAGAAATTCATTTTACCATAACTTTTGGTTGCTTTATCTGTAACGTTCTGCTTTGACGGAACATACTTCCACTCAATAACGTTGCTTAATTCTTGTAATTCTTCAAGACGTTGTGCAACGAGGATTTTAAATCGTCTAGCTTCTGATCATATCCAATGGAGTACGTTTTGTGAATCAGTCCAATAGAACGTGCTTGAAATATTGAGTTGCAGAAATTTGGTCAAATAAGAACCTAATCTAGTTCCTATCAATGCAGCCTGTAATTCCAGGCGGGGTATTGACAAAGGTTTCAGAGGTGGCTGTTCGAGTTTTGGCTGTCATGAAGCAAACTTTCACATTTTTGTTTTGTTCCCAACGAACGTAACCTACTTCACTAGTTCGGACTTCCATTGTCTACTATATAAAATGATTTGAAATCCCTGAAACAAGTAAAAAAGAATAATTAAAAAAGAATAGTTGAAAATAACAATTATATTAAGCAACAATAAACCTGAAATGAAATGATTTTTTTACTTGTTTCAGGGATTTCAAATCATTTTATATAGTAGACAATGGAAGTCCGAACTAGTGAAATTCATCACGAAACATTGTCAATCACCTTCAAACGAACGTAACCTACAGTAGCGTAGGCGTTCTCAGAAGAATCACTAAATGTGAAGTTGAAGAGTACTTTTTTCCCTTTCCATCATGCAAAATTGTCGTGTAAGTTTGAAGTGATGAATATTTTTTAGATCGTCAATCCATTGTGTCCATTTCATGTATAAGTTATCGGAAATGTCATCATCCCAGTCGATTTTACTTCTTCAGGTATCTTGGAGAAGTATTTTACCTTGTACCATGAAATTTGCTAGGAATCCTAGGGGATCGAAAATTGACATCACCACTTTGAAAACTTCTCTTTTAGATGGTTTTCGTCCAGTATCTAATAGACTTTTATCTATTTGATTGAAATTGGTTTTGAAAGTGAATGTGTCTTCTTTAGGATCCCACCAGACACCTAACATTCTTTCCTTTGACGATTTATTTTCATCGAAATTTTTTTGGCAATCGGCTAATAACCTATTATCTACATCCTTTGATATATTTGAATCATTAGCTTTCCAATTACAAATTTCAAAATTTCCTTTACTATGTACATATATTACATCATTTATAATCTGTGCTGCTTTTTCTGCTCCTCCAAGATAATCGTCCATGTAGTGAGCGTCGATTATATCCTTTGATGCTTTCGGGAAGTACTGGCTGAAGTCTCGAGCGTTTCTACTTTTTGCTTCTTGTGCTAAGCAGGGACCACAAGTTGAGCCGAAAAACACAACGTTTCTTTCATAAGTATCTGGTTGTTTTGCCCTCTCCATTCCCCTGTATAAAATCCATTGAGAGATTCGATCTTCTTTTCTCACCTTGACCCTAAGAAATATTTCCTTGATGTAAGAAGTGAAAGCAAACTTTTTTATACGAAAGTTAAGCAGTATTTTTTGCAATGAATTATAAAGGTCAGGTCCAAGTCAACAGAAAATCATTTAAACTTACCCCATTGGACCTCGCAGAAGCATCAAAAACAATTCTTAATTTGCTAGGTTTATTTGGGTTAGTTATTCCAAAATGATAAAGGAACCAAATTCTGTCCAAATTACATTTGATTTCTTCAGAATCTATTTTAGAAATATAACCTTTACCTTCCATGTCCTGCATTTTCTCGATATAGTTCTTTGCAAACGATTCGTCTCTATCTATTCTTCTTTCAATAGCATGTCTCTACTATTTGGTAGAACCAGATCATCTGCTTTCCAAAAGAGACCTGTTACATACTCATTTCCAACTCTTTTCATTGTTGTATCTAAAATTTGTTGAGCACGTAAATCTTCTTTGAACATAGACTTTCCTACTTCTGCATAAGTCTCGATTTTACAGTGCTCCTTGACAAGATCATGTAGAATGTCGAAGGCGTCCTTTACCTTGCAATCTGTATAACAAACGAAATTTTTAGGTACAGTTTGATCATTATTCTTGAAATGACCATGTATGACTCATCCAAGAGGCGTTTTATTGGCTGCAGGCCCATGCCAAGATCTTGATATAACTTTTGTACTTACCAGTAATTGCCAATTATCTTGCCCAATCAAAATTTTTGGTTGAACGTCAACTAATGACTTGAATCTGTTGTCTATATATGGATAACGTTCAGAAATCTCACTAACATTCACCGTTTGGCTTGGTAAAGATAAATCTTTGATTGTTCGAACGTGGCGCACATAGAAATTTGATTTTTGATTTGAATGGGAAGATATTTTGAAGCTGACAACTCTTGAATTATTCTGTTCTTCCACTTGATTGTTTGTCCATTGTAATTGAAGAGGTTGTTTGGGACCTGTCAAATTCAATTCATCGGCAAAATCCTCGTCGATTAATGAAACTGTTGAAGCATCGTCAAGAAGGGCAAATGTTTCGACTAATTGTTTTCCTTTATAGATCACCACGGGTAAAATTTTGAGTGATACTTTTCTGTTTGACAATATGTGACAATTAGTTTCAACATCTGTATTTTTTTGAATATTTGTCTCCTGACTATAATCTTTATGTAACAGTTCATGATGAGGCTTTTGTCAGCCATTGCTATTGCACAATTTTCTTTCTCTACAGTTTTTGATGCTATGAAATGGAAAAAGACAAAAAAACTTCTTTTTGATGTTATGAAGGACCATCTTTCGTCTGTTGAGAATGCTTTGAATTTTGGACAAACAGTTAAATGATGAATTTCATTTCTACAACACATACAAGTTTTGAAAACGGTTTTTGTTGTCAGGTTAACATCTTTGCGTTTTTTATTTTTTGAATTACAACCTTTGTCAGAAGTACATGGAATCAAAAGTTGGCATACTGCATTTGCTTCTGATTCTAACCAGGTAGTGAATTCAATCAATTTGCATTTGGATTTTTTATTTGATATATATTCCACCCAATTGAGTTTTTGTGAAGTTGGTAATTTATCCACTAATTTCTTTAACAATATTGGATTGCGCAAATGGTCTTCTTCATCTAATGTCTCAATGGTTGCAACAAGACTCTTTACTTCATCTGAGAACTCTACTAACATATCTAGTTTTCCATCCCTAACATTGAAAAACTTTCTAACCCTGTCTAATAAAAGTGAGATGATATGTTCTGAACGTCCAAAACGGTTTTGTAAAAGGTCAATTACTCTGTCAACATTTTGTGGCAAAATTAGTAGATTGAGTTAATTTTTTTGCATTACCTTTGAAACATTTTTTAAGTTGACATTGATTTTCTTCATTGGAGTAGCCACATATAGATGTAGAATGTTTGTACTGCTGAATGAAATGTGGTCACCACTCTATAGGATCGCCACTGAAAATTGGCAATTCTTTTGGTACACCTTGTCTAACCAAAATTTACCAGAAAAAATTTGCACATGCATCTTTTCCGGTCTGTTTATCTTCTCATCGGCTTCAGCATCATTTTCTGCGTCTTTTTGGTTTCTTTTTTTCGGCGAGTCAATTACTTGTTCTCAATTCAGACATAATTCTGGCTTTGTATTACCAAATTGCTGTTCTTTATAGACAACGAAGGACCATATATTTTGGCTTTACCTGTAAATTAGGTATTATTAGAAATATCCAGTCTCGAAGAACCAAATTAAAATCCAAATTTTTTTGTCTGTCAAACTCTTGTCTATTTTTTTCAACAACGTCACAGCTAACTTATACATATTATGAAAGATTTACAAAACATCAAATATAATTATACAGAATGTAACAATTCTAAACTAAATAAACGAAATAAACTCCAACAGTATTTTATAAGTGTTATTGTTCAGATAGAAATAATTTATGTGGCAAAACAACGTTTGCCGGGTCAGCTAGTATTCAATATATTATTTGATGCATTGGATTTTTCTCAAAAAATAATTTTGAGACGTATCATTAACATTTTCAATAGTGTTTTGTTTCTGAGAGTTATCAAATTTCGCCAATAAACAGTAGAACACAATCACTCACTCATTTAAGAAAGTTATAATCATTAGAATATTTTTCAGTTATGTTCTGGTGAACACATAGGAGCCTTAGCAATGTCAGAATCTGGAGCAGGATCAGACGTTATTTCGATGAAACTGAAGGCAGAAAAAAAGGGGGATTATTATATTCTGAATGGCCATAAATTTTGGATCACAAATGGTTCCGATGCCGATATTATTGTGGTAAGTTACTTCTTGAATGGCTTGAAAGCAGGTCATCATGAAAATATTAAAATAAAGGGTTTATTCAACACTAAAAGTGAGAAACAAATGATTGATAAATGGATAATATGTGGACAATATGGTAATAAATTAGATTGTAGTAAGTGATTGAGGTATCACTCAAATTATCCAAAAAAACAATTCGTTTAGGCCAGTCTCAACTCACCTACATTGTAGATTAATGTAGACATCCATTAGAAATTAGGTACTCCCCTGGCTAATATCACGAAGGGTGTTGGATTATATCCGACACGTGTCAGTGCAGGATTCTTCACTGAAGTTATTCCTGCATATGCCGGAATCAATTTTTAATTATTGAAACACACTTGCAGACCGGTTACCGCTGGCTGTTTGGCCACTCGTCAGTTCAAGGTAGTGTCCATCATCAACATGAAGTCGATTATTTCCCCTAAGTAAAAATCGGATTCCTTTCAGAGTATCATTCCTCGAACTAAGCTAAAGCGAAAGACAAACAACATATTTGTCATCGCCTCATCTGCCCGTAAACGAGGTAAGCAACCGCAAATCCGAATCCCCCAATTCGTCGTATAAGGAAAAAACTTCACATATAGTAAATATTCTGAAATGTAGTGGAATAATTGACTTTCTTGACAAATTTCGACACATGTGTTCTCTCAGTGAGATCAGTAGTGTTTTATGAAGTTTTCCTAATCTCCCAATTTTCAATTATTCTTCCTAGATCTACACAGTATTCTATTTTTTTACTATTCATGTAATGAGCCCGATACTTATATTTATATTTCGAGTATGTCTTTCTATACTCTGTCCAACCAAGCAACGGAGTGCTCTAAAACATTATTATGCATAGTGCACGTGATCTCCTAGACAAGGCTGCTTGTACAGAGTCGCACTAAGGAACGACCGAAATTTATTTTTTTAATAATATGCGACCGGGTATAGGAAATTTTTTTTGGTGGAGTGTAGGAACACAAATTAGCAGTTTCTTCAGTACTTGACATTTTAAAAATTTTGAACTTTGGAATACCGTATATGTACACACCACGGGCGTTAAAACGTAACTGACCATTCCGAAACTGTAACAATGAATTTCTCCAGCCGATTGCAGTTGAATATGATTGGCTAGCGTAAGGAGGCTTGCTTTTTTACCTAATAGATGCAAATGTGCGTGGTGATCATGCTTTAAATACGCATCTATCATTGTTTGGCTTACTTTGTTTGTTGAATGAATACAGATAAGTCAAAATATTTTTGGTTCTCGTGAGTATATCATTCAGAAAAAATATTTCAGGCTATTGATGTTGGAGTAGATACTTCTCATTGCCAAATTCCAGGTATACGCAAAAACTGATGTTGAATCGAAGCCCCAGCATGGCATTTCGGCGTTCATCATTGAAAACACCTTTGAAGGATTCAAATTGGGTCAAAAAATGGATAAACTTGGCATGAGAGGTTCCAGTAACTCAGAATTGTTGTTTGAAGACTGCAAAGTTCCGAAGGAAAACTTGCTTGGAATGGAAAACAAGGGAGTGCAAGTTCTGATGAGTGGGCTTGATTTGGAGAGAGTAGTTCTGGCTGCAGGAACGGTGGGAATAATGCAAGCGTGCTGTGATATCGCCTTTCCTTATGCCCACATTCGAAAACAGTTTAATACTCGTATTGGCGAATTTCAACTCATACAGGTAAATATTTGTCAGTTCAATAAATAACTTGGGTGATGATTCATTTTTCAAAGAAGAAATTAGAGATTTCATAGACCTTTCTGAGCATTTTCACTTTCTACAATCAGAAAAAAATTGTAGAAGTAAAAAGCCAAAACTATTCTTCATAATATTGAAACATTTATTGACATTGTACTTTTGATTGTTTACTTTGTTTTCAAATAATTAACCTGTAGCAATAATCAATTTTTTAGGGTAAGATGGCTGACATGTATACAACTTTGAGCGCCTGCAGAAGTTATTTATATAACGTAGCAAGAGCTTGTGACAAGAAAAAAATCAATAGTAAAGATTGTGCTGGTGTTATTTTGTACTGCGCCGAAAAAGCTACCCAAATGACTTTGGATGCCATTCAGATTTTAGGTGGGTTATATGTTGGTGAAACTCACGTTAGTTTCTTGTATAGAGTAAGAGACCACAAAGTAATTTCCAACTCTTAGACCATGGAAGTCCAAATCTCTAACATCCACCGATTTTTTTTATTTTTCAGGCGGAAACGGTTATATTAATGAATATACAGCAGGAAGACTTCTCAGAGATGCCAAGGTATTTGAAATTGGTGCTGGAACTTCTGAAATTAGAAGGCTCATTATAGGAAGAGCGATCAACTCTGAGTACAAATAAAGTATGAATGTAACATGTTTTTGACAAAAATAAAAGATTTTTATAAATATGATCATGTTGATTACTATCATCATATCAACAGTTGCAGGAAACAACTCTCTTCAACTTTTTTGAATATATAGAAAGGGGCACCTTAAGACTGGGGATTCAACCCACTAGAGTGAAACAATAATTGTCTCTGGGCAATAAAGGATATTCATATAGTTAATCATAGAAGGGATAGGAAGTGTCAGCGAACCGGAAGGACTATGAGAGGAAATGTGTCATCTGAAGAATGCGTTTCTGAGTAACGAAATCAACCGAGCCTTACTAACCCTATAGACGACACTATAGACGTCCACGACGACACTGGCGCGAACAGTCAATGGAAGATCTTTTCTGTTCTAAATAAGTAGAGTCACAGACCGAATTGAAAGGATCCTCGAAAAACATAGAGTTGGGGCCATTTTCAAGCCCACAAGAACGATAGAGAATAGCCTTAGGTCAGCAAAAGACCCCAGGAATCCACTAAGTACTTCAGGAGTATACCGAATACCGTATAGTTGTGGTTCGTTCTACGTCGGAACTACGAAAAGGAACTTGAAAACGCGCTCAACCGAGTACAGAAGAAGTTGCCGCTGTGGCCAAACAGATACATCGGAAGTTGCAAAACACGCTCTCTCAGGCCCAATTCACACCACAGAACAGACGTCTGGCAGAAACGGAACGCAAACCTTTGTTCCTTCCGAGTCTCTCCTATGTAAAGAAATGGTCCAATGTTAACAGAAGTGACGTGGCGCGGACGGTCGCCCTCCCGACCTTGCCCCATTTCTTTGCCGTCTCTCGTGGCATACAAGAAGGGGCACGCCAGTTGATTTTACTTGGCCTGATACACCAAATTTGTTGATAAAATACACCAAATCCAACATATCTTCATCATCTTTGACACTGCTTGAAAAAGCCATGTTGTAGTCCACAAAACCAAAGCATGATGGACGTTGTTCACAGATGGAGCCTGAGGGAGCAACAAAACTGTGATAATCCCCTTCACCAGGAGGAGAAAATTGGACGATCTAACGCCACTTTCCCTCAATGCTGAGATCATTCCATTTGGAACGGAGGTGAAATATCTTGGAATTGTCCTTGAACGCTCACTTGGAAAAAGTTTCACCAGACTGTTCCTAGGGACGTGTCGAAGGATTTGTGGTAAAACTTGGGGTTTAGGTCCCAAACAAATCCATTGGATTTATGTGATGATTTACAGAAAACGGCCCAGGCGAAGCTCTTTGGCTTACAGAAACAGGCTTGTCTGGCCATCAGTGATGCCATCAGTACCACATGCTCAGCGGCCATGGAGATCCTTCTAGATCTACCTCTTCTCCACATTTTTCTGGAGAGAGATGCTAGATGGACTGCATATAGACTTGGGCACATTTCCAATTGCACAAATCAATTTAATACAGAGTGCAACAGACTGTTGGTTGACACTGGAAGTCACAGCATTCTGGAAATGACCTCTGACTGTATGCCTCTAACTGTCAACTACGAACTGCCTTATAAATGACTGTTCCCGAGTAGAGAGGACTGGATCCTCTGAGAGAAGGAAATATTAAGAGCAGATAGTTGTTGGTTTAGAGATAGATCAAAAACACCTTCCGGTTCTGGTGCAGGTGTTTTCAGTCGCAGACCTAGGCCAGAGATGTCAACCTGCCTGGGAATCTAGGGACTGTATTTCAAGAGAAAATTTACGCTATTGAACTGTGTGCTGAGATATTGGAAGAATCCAACCTCATACACAAGTCATTAAAATATTCTCGGACAGTCAAGCGACGTTGAAAGCTCTTGGCTCCTACCGAGCAACGTCTAAATTGGTATCAAATTGCCAAAAACGACTCTTCTCGATAGGAAGACTTAAGAGATTGTCTCTGGTCTGGATTTCTGGCCATACTGGTCTGGAAGGCAATGAGGCTGCTGATTCCCTTGCAGACCTGTCATTGGCATCGGTTTAAGCTTTGCCAAACAGAGATTGAACACCTGAATAGCAACACCTGGCAAAATATTCCAGGATTGGTTCACTCCAAAGCGTTTATTCACCCTTCGAAGCTTGATAACAGACAGTTGTTGGACTACAGTAGTGATGAACTACGATGTCTAACAGGCCTTCTTACAGGCCACTGTCATTTGCCTAACCTAACCACAAAACCAATAGGTTACTGACGTCCTTTCTCGCCACTGTTCCGCCCCTCTGTGTGCATTGCATCCCCACGTAGCATCCGCTACGTCCTTGCCATGCCGAAGCCTCATCCGTTCTGTGTGAATTGGGCCTTAGAAGGCAGCTATGACATTGATTGCGTACGCAGGCAAATTCTTATTAAAGCCAGAGGTTACTATCAGAAGCTATTTCAACCGTGAGGAAGAAACTTAAATGGTCGAAGTGCGCGGTACGTTGCCCGAACAGAACATCCATTTTGACAAAACAATTTCATTATTTGCACATGTTGTTGAATGCTATATCCATCCATGGTGATTTGGCAGAATACATGACAACTAATTTGATAGATGTAGCTTCAATAAGATGGCAATAAGATTGTCAAAGTTTGGAAGTCCATGCTGTAGATAAATAAAGATATGTTATCTCATGTTACTTTACCTGATAAGAATAGAAGTCAATACCTTCGACGCCATAAAACGATTCTTCAGATTTCATTCGTTGAAATAATAAATAATAATAAACCTTACTTCATGGAAATTGGGTTTACACATTTAGGTATAATAGGAAATATAAATAAATATAGTTTAAAAAAACTAAAAAAACGCGCTTTCAAAGAACATCGAACTAAAAAGTTGAAAATATTTTTTTAAATAAGCCTAAAACAATAACGAACAAAAAATACTAGTATTATTGATATACTCGTACAAAAAATATGGCACAAAGCGCTCACGCTTTTTTCGCAATAATACTAGTATTTTTCGTTCGTTATTGTTTTGAGCTTATTTAAAAAATATTTTCAACTTGCTAGTTCGATGTTCTTTAAAAGCGTGTTTTTTAGTTTTTCAAACTATATTTATTTTTCATTTTTCAGTTCCTCATGCTATACTAGCGTGTTTTTCAATGAAGAAACACATGTAAAGTGAGTTCGAATTATATCAAGGAGGATACGTACAACGCCATCTGCCCGCGAATAGATAAAGCAATAATTTCGATAATTCTGTCAAATTCAGATCCCGAGCATTAGAATGGGAAAGAAGAGTTACAAACATACTTACATACAGGTGAAGCTAATATAAGCGTGTAGAAAAAGAGAAATGAAACTTTCTTTCTATGTAAAAAAAAATAGAAAGTTTTACTTGTCATTTTTTACTACCACGTAGTAAGGACTACATCCATCAATTCATTGATAGGAAAGATCATCAACTCTTGATGATACCATAACGGGGAATTTAATAAATCGTTCAAATAGAATTTTTTAGGATGTTTCCCACATTTTTTGTTCAAATTAAGAAGTAGAACGCCAAATAGTTTTTTCCCCAATTTAAATTAATTCTGGTGCACGGCAGATTCCACAACTGCCTACGAATTATGAATCAGTGTTGATGTACGCCATAATAATTCATTTCAGTCCTACCCTGGCAAAAGGTCAAACTTTGAAGTCAAATCGTGATTTGGTAAGCGTTACTTAGTTACTTGAAATACATATTTGGTATTCGACCCATCGCAATGAAGATTACAAGACAGTAATAAACGCTTATCAGTTTCGATAATGAATCTTAGTGAATTCAGTACTGTTTCAGATGTGCCTGATCAAGATGATTTTGAAATCGAGTACCAAGTTATTTAGAACATTCCACAAAATAAATCCGTTCAAACCGAGACAAGTGTCGCAGTATTATCCAATTGACGAACATATATTTGGATTGAATGATGAGCAGATTCATGTACAACACGTCAAGTATTTAATAATTTCATCTTATTGAGTAATGTTCTTTTCAGCTCAGGGATACTATTTTTAATTTCGCACAGAAAGAATTGGCTCCAGTGGCAAATGAAATAGATAGGAATAATTCGTTTCCAGATTTGAGGAAGTTTTGGAGAAAGCTAGGCGAATTAGGAACTTTAGGTAAATATCCTTGTAATGTTAACAGTTTAGGCCCGATTCCTCTTTCAAAAGAAGAAAGAACTCATTCCAGAAGGAAAGGGTGGTTCTGATCGTAGGTGTCCTTGGTGCGACAATAAAAAACAAAACATTTTGGCAAGTAGAATGAGAAGCCAGTGTATTTATATTGATTACGTCTACTAGGTTCCAATAGTAACGTGGTATAGTATCTCAATTTTATCAGTGTCCTGTGTAGATAATTATTATCAATGTTAGTCCAGCTTTCTTTGGCGATGAAATAACGAACCGATGAATGAGAAGCCAGTGTATTAATATTGATTACGTCTACTATAGTAAAACCAATAATGATTGAGAGTAAAGCGCGTTGTCATATCTAAATTTTACGTTACCAGTTTATAGCAGAATCAAAATATAGTAAGCAGTAGAGTTGTAGGTTGTGGCAAATTATAGATAATACACATTACTAGTACGATTAAAAGGTATTATTTATGACAAAAATCAGTAATGAGCTTGTAATGAGTAATACTTATACATTTCCTGATTACTGATCAGTTAAAATTCATTATTTTCTGTATAGTGTTAGATATTTATTACAACTAGTGGCAACGCTGTACGCAACGATATTTCTGTCTTTGTCACTTTACCGTAACTTCCATCTCATCGTTGCAGTCCTCACTAATGTACTTGCAGCCATGAACGTATCATTGGTTTGTGAATTATACAGCGTGAATTGTACGTTTTACAGTTAAGTTAGTCAGCAATCGACGTGTTGTGATAACAATTGGTGAAAATAATAGTGCTAATAAGTGTTTAAGCGTTACATAATTATATTTCTACACCGTTCTCAAACTACTCAAAAAATGGGAGACATGGTCGGGCCTTCCACGTCGAAAAAGGTAAAACGGTCGGAGTCTCGGTCAGTAAGAGAAAAACAAATTGTACTGCGAGTATTTCACTGTCTTGAAAGAGATCATCAGCCACCAAAAGATGACTTTGTGCATATGTGCTGTAATTCTACGTGTGTACCTCCGAATAACCAACCGGGCATTTCTACATCATTCCACAATTACAAAAGATAAATTAGTTGATATGTGCTCTGATTATACCGGTGTACCAAAATCATCGATTTACAAAATACTAAGAGAAGCAGAAATTCATGGGGACGTAGAAACGCCAAAAACTAGTAGCGGACGAAACAAAATCACAGTTGATGAAGAAGCCAAAACCAGTATACGCAGAACTATTCACAGTTTCTTTTTCAGAAATGAGCTGCCCACACTACAAACAGTTCTGGAGGCACTTAGCGATCATGAATTGGTCCCAAAAATGGGTAAAGAAACTTTTAGGAAACTTGTACACGAAATGAAATTTACGTACGGAAAAGTTGACAGGAAAAGCATTCTCATTGAACGTCAAGAAATAATAGCATGGAGAAGAAACTATCTAAGAAAAATTGACGAATTTCGGAAGCTCAAAAAAAAAATTGTACTTCATGGACGAAACATGGGTTAACCAAGGACATACGGCCAAAAAAGTATGGCAGGATGGTAATATAACAGTACACGACAAGCCTTTATTGAAGGTTTGTCAGTTGGGTTAAAACAGCCATCTGGAAAAGGTAGTCGTCTGATAGTTACGCATATAGGAAGCGACAGTGGATTTTTACCAAATGGTGAATTATTATTTAAATCTAAGAAAACAGGCGACTATCATGAAGAGATGAATGCGGAGGTGTTTGAAAAATGGTTTGAAGGCATCATTCAACTTGTGGAACCTGGGTCTGTAATCGTCATGGACAATGCCCCATACCATAGTCGACATTTAGAACCATTACCGAAACAATCATGGAAAAAAGCAGCAATTCAAGAATGGTTAATTAATAAGAACATCCAATATAACAAAGATAGTTTAAAGGCAGAACTACTTCAGCTAACAAAATTACACACAGACAAATATAAAAAGATCGCAGTGGATGAAATGGCGATAAGTCGTGGAATTACAGTTTTAAGGTTAACACCATACCACTACGAATTAAACCCAATAGAATTAATCTGGGCGCAAGTAAAAGGATATGTGGCACGAGAAAACAGAACATTTGAATTAGTGGACGTGCAACATCACCTACAAGAAGCTATTCGAACTGTTTCTGCAGAAGACTGGAAGAAATGCATGCAGCATGTTTTAAAAGAGGAGCAAAAAATGTGGGACGTAGACAACCGTATTGAACACAATATTGAATCATAATTCACTTTGATGATAGCGGTAGCAACAGTGACGAATCTGAGGTTGAAGATTAGACGAAAATTTGTACATTTACATTTATATTATATTCTATTATCAAAAATTTGTAATTTGTATTTTCAAGTGAAAGCTTGAGAATAGTTATAAAGAGTTCACTTATCAATTGCTGCAACCCAATAGTGAAAAAAAGTTATATATATATATTGTGTTTTTTATTAATATTGTTAATTTATTTGGTACCTACTATAATTACCACGATTATTACTCCGTTTTCATAAGGCCCACCTAATGACTACAACGATTAGGTAAATTACGATATTGCAAAGTTTTAATGAAGCAAATAAAAAATGTGTATGAATATTTTAACTAATTATACTAAGAATTTTTCTTTCATTCTCAACCCTCTCAAAAATTAATAAGCACGCCCCCGATTTGCTGTCAACTGGGCTTACTTCTACTCTCAATCATTATTGGTTTTAGTATAGGTTCCAATAGTAACGTGGTATAGTATCTCAATTTTATCAGTGTCCTGTGTAGATAATTATTATCAATGTTGGTCCAGCTTTCTTTGTCGATAAAATAACGAACCGTTTTGATAAGCTAACGATACTCGATAATTTCATCTTGCTCTATATTTTCATGGCATGTTAATTGATTTCAGCTCCCTACTTCGAAGACATTAGTTTCAGTTACGTGATGGAATAGGCCGATACTTGATGAAAATCCGTAACTTATTCAAGAAACACTTCATTGTAGGATTTTCACTAAACAATTTTACAAAAACGCAACACGTGTTTCGCTGTACAATAGCTTCTTCAGGCGTGTATTCAATAGTTTCTTCAGGCGTGTATTCAATAGTTTCTTCAGGCGTGTATTCAATAGCTTCTTCAGGCGTGTATTCAATAGTTTCTTCAGGCGTGAAAAGACGCACCTGAAACGTATTCAAAACACTTAGTTGTGGAAATTTCACTAAACAATTCTACAAAAACGCAAACGTGTTTCGCTATAAAATAGCTTCTTCAGGCGTGTGTTCAATAGCTTATTCAGGCGTCTAAATACACGCCCGAGAGCGCATTCAAAACACTTCATTTTGGGATTTTCACTAAACAATTTTACAAAAACGCAACACGTGTTTCACTATACAATAGCTTCTTAAGGCGAGAATTTCCATTTTTCTCCAAAAATAATTATTCATTCATCAATTTCTATTTTGTTTCCTTCAAAGTAGTCCACGTCAGATTCAATACACTTGTGACAGCGTATGTCTTTTTCTCTCAGCGATTCGGTTTTTATCTCTTCAATCGCCGCAAAACACCGTCCTTTCATGGGTTTCTTCAACAGATGGGAACAGAAAAAAAGTCGCAGGCCACCAGATCTGGTAAATACGGTGGCCGAGGCATGATTACGCTGTTATTTTTTAACAAAAAATAACGAACAAGCAATGACGAGTGAGCAGGTGCATTATCGTGATTCAAAAGCCATGAGTGTTTCCACAAAACTGGACGTTTTCTTCGTAGTGCTTCTCGCAAGCGGTGCATAACTTTCGAAGACCTTCTGTGGAGAGCTTGTACCACTCGTGAACATTTTTCTGACTCACAGTACAATCACCATATGCCACTGTCAATATTTCAAGTGTTTTTGAGCACTTAATTCCATTTTTTTTTCATCTCCCTCACCATCGAATTAAACATGCTAAACAGCTGAAACTGTGAACATATGTTCGAGACGAGTGTACCAACATGAAAACATAAAAAATCAAAATTTGAACATTCAACTTATTTTTTGAACAGTCCACGTACGTACAAACCGAAAGGAAAACATATCAGACCTATTTTTGAAACAGTTTTTTCTACGGACGTTAATTTTCTCATGGTGCATACATTGCATCTAATTTATTGTTCATTCATTGTGTTGGTTCCGTTTGTATCTGGAAGCAACAAATTCTTATGATTTGAATATTCCTCCGAAATGCCTTTAATTTGTTAAGCAAACTTACGAAAAGTTTTACTTTTTACAAAATAACTTGTCGTAACTGGTATCACAAATAGTGGGCCATTGTATTACGTAAGCATATTTATTACAATATTTTACTCTCCCCTATCCCTCTTGTCAGCAAAAGTAAGCAAATCTCTTATCCCCCCTCCTATGCTTATGTAAACATTGTTAGTCATTGTCGGACTTGTAACTTATAATTACACCACACTGTGGGTTGGGCTATCTATCGGGCGCGTCCCCAGGTGACAGATAGGGGAACGGCCAGGGGACTGGGGGCCCTGTCCGGGAAGCCAATGTGGTCTTAAGGACGGGATCGCCGGACCTCTGGTCAGTGGCAGAAATAAATAGGGTGACGGGAACTAAAACTCCCCAAAAGCCACTGCGAAACATGCCACCGTGGACCAGCCTAACCAGCAACTCCAATCTTAACTTGTGTATGTGACGATTTCCATGCTTGTAAAAAAGTCTCAGGGAAAATAAAGCATTGTATTGTATTGTATAAGGTGTAAGGAATCGTGCCGACAACCGAATGGCCGCAGGGTGATATGCGGTTACGAACGATCCCCTTGGGGAACTGGGCGAAATCTCATTGTAATCAGCCTTCCTCTGGAAATGCGGGGCTCTGCCAGAGGTGACCAACTCTTCCCTTGCTACTCGTGGGAACACACATGGATACTCACACATAGATACTGCTGCACTCACAGCAGACAAGTCCTATTAGCCTTGAACAGACAACGTGTTACCTCAGGGCTAGTACTAGAGTGCCACCAAGATTTAGCCAGAGCCTCGGCTCTGAGGTGGGTTAAGGGGTACGACAGGAGTAAAGGTAATCGCATTGCCGACTCTTTAGCCAAGGAAGTGGCTGGACTAAGAATTTTAGGACCCAGTGGCATCTACGGCCTGATGACTTCGACAATTGCGGAACTAGTCAAATGTTACACCCATGCTCAATCCCTAAAGATATGGGATGGAATCAGAGGACGCAATATTGCCAGAATCACCCTGGGCGACCCTGGGAAGCTGGCACCGAAGAAATATCTGGCGATGACCAGGAAAAATCTACTTTTAACAGTAGGATTTCTAACTGGCCACTGTCAACTAAGGAAACACCTCCATAATATGGGGCTAGTGGACACACCTCTATGCAGGATGTGTGAACAGGAAGATGAAACTGTCAGGCATGTCCTATGCGAGTGCCCGGAGCTATCGTCAATAAGAGAGTGTGTGTTTGGCGAGTCTTGGCCTACACATGCAGATATAAAGGAGATGTCTCCCAGTGACCTGTCCACCTTCCTGGAAAGGACAGGATGGATGATAACTTAGGAGGACAACTACTCGAGAGGATGTATAATGGATCACATGTGGTCTAAGTGCTGTGGGCTTACACTCACTCATTTTTCAAAACTTTCGAACAATTTTTGGTATACCTTAAATTTGTCTACTTGAAACGTCATCTCAATTAAACAGTTCATCTTTGGCGAAAGTGGATTAACGGTAATATAAACATTAAGGTACTTTGCTTATAACACGTCAAATCGAACAGTATCGAAACGAAACAATAGATTGACGGAAGAAATTTAGACAGGTGAATAGCGCGCGTAAATCCTTTTTCTTGTATATAAACGAAAACATTATTTGTGGGAATACCCAAAAATACGTTTCGTTTTCAAACATAAACAAAGTGTGGGTTACCATATGTGTAAAAAGTAAATAACTACTGCTGACGTAATCCCCATCTAGACCCCTCCGCCCCCCATGTCTCCAAGAATACAGCTACCGGACTGAGTCATAACCATTGGGAGAAATCGTACACACATACTTATTGTATTGAGGTAGGGGCTTCTCACCGGCAATGACTTAGTCTGGCAGCTGTAAGCAAAGTAAAGACCCCCACGCCCCCTTATAGTGCTTATGTAATACTTAAACGGCCCCTAGATATTTTAAAGTAACCACCACTACACTTTGAAGTTTTATGCAGATATATAAAAATTTTCAGGAATAACTGTGAATTGTGAATATGGTGGAACCGGTGGAACTTATTTGGACCATATCATTGTTATGGAAGAGATGTCTAGGGCTTCTGGTGCCATTGGTTTGAGCTACGGTGCCCATTCCAATCTCTGTGTCAACCAAATTCATCGAAATGGAAATGAATCTCAGAAGACGAAGTACCTGCCTAAGGTATGTTCCTAGAGACTTTTCCTGATATTTTTATTGTCAACATATTTTTTCGTTTAGCTCTGTTCTGGAGAACATATGGGAGCTCTTGCAATGTCCGAACCTGGATCTGGATCAGATGTCGTCTCAATGAAGCTCAAAGCTGAGAAGCACGAAGATTATTATGTATTGAATGGTACCAAGTTTTGGATCACTAACGGCTCAGATGCAGACGTACTGATTGTGAGTATCAAAAATTGCAGTGGAACTAAAAAAAAATAACTATCATCCACACCCAGGTTTACGCCAAAACAGACCTGAAAGCGAAACCTCAGCACGGAATCTCAGCATTCATAGTGGAGAAAGGTTTTGAAGGGTTCAGAACTGGCCAGAAACTCGACAAACTGGGGATGAGAGGATCTAGTACAGCTGAACTCATATTCGAAGACTGCAAGGTACCGAAGGAAAATCTTCTTGGAGCCGAAAACAAGGGTGTTTATGTACTGATGAGTGGTTTGGATTTGGAACGGTTAGTTTTGGCAGCTGGTCCAGTTGGAATCATGCAAGCTTGTTGCGATGTTGCATTTTCATACGCTCACGTCAGAAAACAGTTCAATACCAGAATTGGGGAATTCCAATTGATTCAAGTAAGTGAATGTTATTTCATATTCACCTGTTTAACTTCCGTTTTCTGTAATATACAAGATAACGTTTGAAAGTCATCTGAAAGTCGAATCTCTAAAGAAAAAAAATCTACTTTTTCAGAGACTCTAAGTTTCTCTAAAGTTTTCTTTTTTCAGTGGTAACAATAATACTATTTTTTTTTGTTCAAATCTCTCCATGCAAAAGGAATAATAACCCATGAAGATGCTTTATTCATTAATAGTATTTGTTCATATTGTTTGAAAGGCATTTCATGCCAAGGAGTTAATATTTTTTCATTGCTTTTTTAATTCTATACCGAAAAATGAACGATAGAGGTTCTGCTGAAGGGTAATGAAGGTCAAACTGAAAAGTTGGAGTTCTATAGAGTTTTTTGAGTGTTAACGGCATCGACTGTTCTGGTCATTAGCCTCGTGTTCTGGATAAGCAATGTCAATAACTCCTCGGTATACCTAGGGAGCATCATGGCTATTCGCAGTTCATCAGCAATGTAACGTTACAGATTCATCCCAACTTCAACTAGAAAAATTCTCTCGAGAAATTATCTGGTCGGGGAGGGATCGAACTCACGACCTTGGCGTAGAGCACTACGCCTTACGCCAATTCATCGCTCTCTATAAAGTTACAGAACAAGTCAGTAGTCTGTGTCTCTCATGATAAAACCTGGTGCCTGACATATTCAGCATTGTCTCATTATGATTGAAGTGGTCTTCACAAATGAATTTATTGGATTTTGAGAATGAAAAAAGGTAGTTTTGTGAAACATCAACCAACTAATTGATGCACTGATGGGAACCTTTGATGTAGTAATGAATATTACTGGAGTTTTATCCCAACACCAAACCGTTATTTCATAACCTCGACACGTGTTTCGATCAACAAGTGATCATCTTCAAGAAGAGGATTAATCTTCCTCCACTGACTGATTGGATCTTTTGGTGATTTATATTACGCAGTAACTTTTTGGGTTGAACTTTACAGTTTATCTTTCGTCTCATCAGATTCAGTACCGAGTTAGCTTTGTTATAGGCATATGATAATATGGAATGGACGTGACGTCACTTTCACATATATTCCACCTGCGGATCATAGCACTATGTGACATGGAAGTATGCAACACGTAAAATATAACCTGACTGACGTTTAGGGTATGAGTGAGCTAAATACCAGCACGTGAATCTTTGCATCTTTTTCTAGTTGTTGGAGTCAATGTTCTCTCTTCAATGGCCAGTCTATATTATGACGTTTATTTTTCAGACTGTGAAAGGCTATACACCCAAAAACAGCGTCAATAACTGTCATGGTTCTAGCTTTGTATAATAGACAGGTGCTAAGTTTTAAAACGCAATTCAAAGTGAATGGCATGTGAAGTGAAGTAGTTCTTGACAAGTGACATAAAATAAATAGCATAGAATAGACGTGAACACCAACAATAAGGATATGTTCCAAAAATAACAAATTTAAAAGAATTGGATTGAAAAATGAAATCGCTTATTTTATTTTATTGAGAAGCCACACAAAAATCTTGATACAAATATTGTTTTAGGGGAAACTTGCTGATATGTATACAACCCTAGGTGCGTGCAGAAGTTATCTATACAATGTAGCAAAGGCGTGTGATAACAAGAAAGTCAATTCTAAAGATTGTGCCGGCACTATTTTATATTGTGCTGAAAAGGCCACTCAAATGGGATTGGATGCCATTCAAATATTAGGTAAGATAATTTTTTGGGAATTTTTTAATCAATTAGAAACTCTCGTCACTAATAAATACTTATTGCAATATTAATGTATCACATTGATTTTTGGTGCATCAAGAGTGAAAATAAATTGAAATCATTAAATTTTCCATCATTTCAGGTGGCAATGGTTATATCAACGACTACCCAACTGGCAGATACCTCAGAGATGCGAAACTGTATGAAATTGGGGCTGGAACCTCTGAAATAAGAAGAATGGTTATAGGAAGGGCAATAAATTCAGAATATCCATAAAATAAATATATTTTTATTTGAATATAAACATATTGGTACGATAAATAATTCAACATTCCACGTTCAACATTACAATAAAATTCGTTATAATAAGCATAACAATTCGAAAAGTGTTCAACTTAACCTATAAAAATATTACTTATTTTTATTCCATTATTTGACTAGATTACACTCGTTTTTTGAATTCATCAAATTAAAATAATAACAACTCAAAAATTTCCCAACAACGACGAAAATCAAATATCACTTGCATACACAAATAATGTGATTTTTCATCAGCAAAGAGAATCGTGATTTACAAGCTAGATTTAATGAACCCATTTGATACCTATCAAATTCATCCGTGTGAGTAAATCGACAGATGGCTTTACGTGTTTGCATGTCATCATTACGGTTGATCAATTTGAAAGGTAATCGATATAATTATTATCTTGGAATATTTTTGAAATATTCGTCGGTTTTCGGAATACATATTTATCAGAAGTTACTTCCTGGAAGAACACTCCACATCAACCTTTTGAACGATCCACTTTGTTGAATCACATCAGGATCTCCACCTGTTATCGAATTGGTATATTGGGGGTTTTGGTTAACTACCAAGGCTGGTTTCTGAAAATTTTGATTACATTTCAGTTGGTGAAAATTCTGAGATTCTGGAAATGGTCTATTAAAGCTATTTTCCGGGTTTTTTGTTCATGGTCCACAGGTTTTTATATCTGACTTAGATTGAGGAAAATGAATCATGGCCTGTCAACCTTGGAGTGGACTATTCTCGACAAGGAAAAGTCAGGTCCTGGTCAAACATGGACCTCCGCTGTTGATAATGGATCCATGGCCGTGTTGGTGAGGATGGGTTTCAGACCACATTTTGGTTTTGGGCAGGTCTTATTTCGCCCTTAAACCCGGGAACCATCCCAGCAGGCAACTACTCAACCGAGTCACTCTAATGTACCCATTAAAATAAATGAAGCGGGGCCGCGTGGCAATCCACCTACGGAGAGGAGATCAATGAAACCTCCACCAAACATAGAGGTAAACCAGCGCCTCATACCCATCCCAAGGTTGGAAAACTAGTTGGTTATCAGAAGACGAAGACGGCTAACGTATCGTCGAGAAAACTAGGGAAAAAGGCTGGACTTGGCTCTTCGATAGCGGAGACGGCAATCGTCTCGTCAAAGGAATTCAAGAAACCAGCTGGCAATTCAGCTTTGCCAAACAGACATTGAACACCTGGGTTGCAAGAAGATTCATTTACTTCTGGTAAAATCTTCCAGGATTGACTCACTCCAAGTCGTTCATTCACCCTTCGAAGCATGAAATCAAATTCCTAGTTGTTGGATTATAGTAACAGGTGAACTACGATATCTAACAGGTCTCCTCACAGGTCACTGTCATTTGAATCATCAAATGCAAAGACTCGGACTGTCAGAAGACAGTGTGTGTCGCCTCTGTTTCGAAAATGATGAAACAGCAGAGCACATACTACGTGCTTGCCCCGCTGGGAACCGAATCAGGTTTTCAGAGTTCGGCGGAGCCGTACTCTTACCATCTGACCTAAAAGATCACTTACTATGTAAACTAATCGGCTCCGTTAAGAAGCTGGGTTTATTAAGTCGAACTTGAATAGGTGCAAGCCACAATACACCCTTGCGTGTTCTGGTGGAGGGTCAAATAGACCCACTCACTTTTGATCTAATCTAACCTACCTAGGATCCCCACCAGTGATTGAATTGGTATATTGGTGGTTTTGGTTAACTACCAGAGCTGGTTTCTGAAAAAATTGATGAAACTTCCTTTGTGGAAAGTTCTGACATTTTGGAAACTGTCTACATTTGTTCCCATATGTCTCTTGGTGGTTCCCACAAGTGCATGTTATGCGATATACCCCTGCTGCTGATAAGGCTGACCTGATACTTTGTTGTATTTTTTTGGTGGGTCTGAACACCGATTCAAAGTTGTGTTTCCTCAAGTGTTTTCCAATTCTGTCTGTGACCCTAGGGATATATGGTAAATAGGCACGTGCAGCCGTTTGGAACCGAGGAACTTTTCCGTTCCATGGCCTTGTTGATTTGGAGTACACTGTATCCATTCAATCTCAAGGTCACTTGGAACGTCAAGGCTAAAGGAGCATGATAGAAACTGCAGATTAGGCCAAAAGTACAAGTCGGTTGTGGCGGAACACGCACTCAGTGAAGGAGACCACAGGATATTGTTTGCTGTAAACGTCAACCAAATATGGAATCCCATTCTGAGATTTTCAAGAATAGCAAACCGAATGACAGAAGATAGAAAAGGGTTAACGAATATTATTGACAATTTTCCTAATCTAGGTACAGGTATTCAGTACAGTAAACTACCTAAGTCACCGTAAACACGCTTTATGGATTTTATCTAATTCAGTTGCAGGTATTAGCACAGCAAACTACCTGAGTCGTAATATCCATTCGTCGGAGATAACTCAGAATGAAGAAAGTAGGGGGAGTAGAAAGCCAATCAGCTTTTTCACAAAAAATTATACGAGAAAATATAAACAAATGAACACAGGCGATGAAAATCACGAATTTTACAACGGGAAGCAGGGAAAATTCAGAACTCTTTTCCAATAGGGCGTCCAGAAAGATTGCCAGGTGAAAGTAGTAAATTTGGAAAAGATTGAATGTGGTTTACTCACTGCAACCATAAATGACAGAAACTTGATAGCATATTCTAAAAAACTGCGAAAGAGCCGTAAAAAACCAAATCCTCAAACAAGTTTGGTTTCCGATTTCTACATTTTTGTTAAGAGTTAATTTTGAAGTTGTTTTCTTTATTAGGCATGACCCCTCTTTCCTTTTAATTTTTGTCCCAGATGGCGCCTAGTCGCCATCTTGAAAGTGTCATCTGTCAATTTCACTTCAAAATAAAGTATTCATGCATCAATTTCATTATCCCTAATTTCAATTCTTTGAGTTGACCCGTTCAAAAAATAAAAGGGGGGAACATTAAAGAAATGCACTGTATATGGTACTGTAAAGTTCTTCAATAATACTATTTTAGCTAATAGTTCATTCCAGAATCTGAATTATTGTCAGCAGATATATGCTGTTATAGTGCCCAATTTCAACAAACGAATACTATAAACTCAACAAACGAATACTGCAAACAAATTTTTCATGCTGCAAAAGCTACAATGAATATCTAGACTTAGATGTCATGCGATTACTAAGAATCAACTCGACGCTTAAAGTTCTCATATAAACCACGAACTATCAACACCACCTTGCAGGATGGGTTTATAAATAATCTCTCACTAGGCATCTTTCGCTACCTATTTCATAACATATTTTTGAAAGGTTATATCATGCAACTTATTTATAGCAAAAAAGCATAAGCGAGACGTACTTTAGCGAAGCCAGCCAATGACGCTAATAATTGTTGTTTACCTTGCTCGGGATAGTTTTATTCGGGGCATAAATTTTACTTTGAGGTGGGACAGTTACTTCTTGCACATGGTCTCCTAGAGATTCTTCCTGAAGAGCTTTGTAAGTCTCACTTTCTGCCGGATTGAATTTGACCTGTCTGCGCATTTGGCTGAAATTGGAAAATTGTTATTTTTAACAATCATTTGGTTATCAACAAGAAAGATCGACTAGAAAAAGTCTTCACTGAAAACAGAATAAGGAAAATTGTTTCATTATAATATTGAGGAAACAAAACTCTGTTAGGCTTTCCATTTTATGGAAACATCTTCGGAACCAAAAAAAAACAGGATTATTGATCCATCTACGTGTCTACGTATTGTTTTTCTGGTCGGTATATAACGGGTGATTTTTTAAGTGGTATAGGATTTGATTTTCAAAACAACACAAAAAGTTTGGAAAAATTGGCGAAATCTTTATTGGAATCGATGGAACGATCAATATAATTTAATGTTTGAAAATGATTTCATGCAAATGTTGTCCGCGGCTCCGCTTTAGATGGCCCATGCGCAAGATCCAATTTTGGCACACTCTCTCTAACATATCAACCGTTGTTTCACGTATAAATGATTCAATATCGGCTTCCAGAGCGCCAGTCGTTGCTGGTTTATCCCTGTTGACATGAGCCTCAACATGACCCCACAAGAAATGATCCAAAGGCGTTAAATCACACGATCTAGGCGGCCAATTGACGGGCCCCAAACGTGAGATAAACTGTTCACCGAAGGCGGCTCTTAATTGGGCCATTGTTTTGCGTGCCGTGTGGCATGTGCCACCGTCTTGTTGAAACCACTGGTCAGGCATGTCCAATTCTTCCATTTCGGGCAACACAAAGGCGTCAATCATCACATGGTAGCGCTTGCTATTCACAGTAACTTTCCGGCCATTGTCGTCTTTGAAGAAGTACGGCCCGATGATGCCACCGACCCATAATTCACACCAAACAGTGACTTTTTCGGGATGCATTGGTAGCTCTTGCAATGCTTGTGGCTAGTCTTCACTCCAGATGCGGCAATTTTGCTTGTTAACATATCCATTCAACCAGAAATGAGCCTCGTCGCCGAACACAATTTTTCGATAAAAATGTGGATCTTCTTCCAACTTTGCTAGCGCTCATTCACCAAATGTTAGACGTTGTGGGAGGTCGTGTGACTTCAATTCTTGCACCAGCTGTATCTTACGAGGTTTTACACCCAAATCCTTTGGCAAAATTTTCCACGTAGTGGAGTAACAGAGGCCCAATTGCGGCGAATCGACATTTCACGGTCATCACGAACACTGGCGGATACAGCCGCAAAATTTTCTTCGGTCCTCACTTCACGTATGCGTGTTGGTGGTTTAATGTCCGATAAAGTAAACTGGGTTCGAAATTTATTCACAAGCTTTCGAATAGCTCCCTGAGTAGGCTGACGAAACTGCCCATAAATTGGAAGAAGTGCACGATGCACTTCCTCCACCGAGCATGACTTTTGGTAATAAAATTCAATAATTTGCAAGGGTCTTTCATTCGTAAGTCGATTTATGGTTAAATTATAGACCAAACTGAACAAGTTTGACAATGATCCAAGACACGATTCACGCGTGATCTGTCAAAAACAGTGTTGCCAATAAGATACCAGCAGTTTAGTCCTCAGAAAAAAGTTGGAAGGAACTTTCAATGGTGTTTCTATGGTCTGAGTACTTTGATCCTCTCGTTTTGGAAAACATTCTTGAATGAAATGCAACTGGCCTTTCATTGATTGAACGATGTTTGCATTTAAATTCAATACATGGGCTGAAAAGTCCCGGGCCTAAGAAAGAAAACGCGTTTTTTTTCAAAGTTGGCTTTATTTATTAACTTAATCCTCATTCATTTCATTTCAATAATACTTTTCTAGAACGATTTACCTTTTGCTTCAAAATAGGTCTGAGTTTCAGCAATAACCTATTTATTTGAGCGAATTTTTTTACTGGTGAGCCAAATCTGGCGAATACGGTGGACGTGGGAGCAATTAGAAGGATTCACTGTCGATGGTATTTCCCTTCTCAAGATAGTCGATGAATATTTGGAGGCTGTTTATGACCACCTGAAACTCCAAATCGAAACGGCTTTTGCTCGGCATTAGGTTTATAGGTTTCGACATGGATTTCAGTGAGAACGGTTCCAAAACCTGTCATCCAGATTTATTATCTTGTTTACTATCTGGTAAATCCTCAAAGCCTTCATTGCTGCTTTGTTTCATAACATATACATGTGAAGGTACAGAATCACATCTGAGGCAGCTCTGGGATAGGAAGGAATTGCCTCTATAATTCCCAAACAGTTGAGTCTGTACAATTTCTCAACTTCTGTTGAAAGTTGTTCCATTGTATACCGTTCCATTGTTCCATTGTAGGTACCAGTTTATGTTGATTTATAATTCCATAACAAAAAGTTTCTATGATCTTTTCGCTGAACAGACGGACTGATCAGGTAGAATTACACTGATACCCAGCAAAAAGGAAAATACAATTTGGTTGCATATAACAAGGGCTAAAATCCATCGACCAATACTATTCAGATGACGATCATTTTAATTCCGGAGTGAAGTAATGAATCCATGTTTCATTCATTGTCACATATCAACGCATAAATTCCGGTTTGTTATGTTTAAACATAGCCAAACACTGCTCAGAATCATCAAAACCATCTTGTTTTTTGTCAACAGTGCGGCACCCACTTTGAACCGAGCTTTCTCATGGTCAAATGCTATGAGCTAACTCATGCAACTTTACTTTTCGATCATTCAAAACTATTTTGTGGATTTTTTTATGCTTTCTGGTGTTGCAATAAGACTAGCGCTATCTATGTGTTAGGCCTTTTGGCACCCATGAATTGATTAAAAAGTGACTGACGGTAAGAGTAGTGGCGGAATACAGTTTTCGATACTTACGGCTTCAGCCCAGTTTGTTTCTGGATGGTATCTACAACATTTGGTTCGCTATACAAGTTGATCGGCGAATTGAACTGCTTATGAACTAGCTGAAAAATGAGTAACAATCAGTATTCAGTGACAAAATCTATAAAATTAGAAATTGTAAAGACAAAATGGTGTCATATTCTGTTCAGTATGGGATAATAGGTACCTAATTCGTTTGATAATTATCGAATATAAAATATTAATTGTATTAACATTATATTAGGTATTGTATCTGGTATCTGTAGAGTAGGGAGGGTGAGTGTAGACTCACAGCACTTAGGCCACATGTAACCAATTTTACATCCTCCCGAGGAGTTGTCCTCCTAGGTCATCGTCCATCCTGTCCTTTCCAGGAAGGTGAACAGGTCACTGGGAGACATCTCTTTAATATTGGCAGGTGTAGGCCAAGACTCGCCGAAAACACACTCTCTTTGGCAATCTTGAGGTGTCTCACGGTGGCCTCCGCGAAGGTTTTGGAAGGTGCAGCGATATTACTGTCCTTGCGCGGCTTCTTCAACCTTCTTGGGGTTTCCTCCGTGGAGGTGCACAAGTGAGGGAGCTTTCCTGCAGGGACAGCCGGTTCCTTGCCTTTATTCAAGGCGGAGCTCTTGGCGCCCGCCACAGGAAGTGCCCTTGCTGTTGGAGGTGATCTGCTATGTCCAGCCTCATTCGAAGTGGTAGATTGGGGTGGCATTTCTGTTCATCCCCAGCCACCGCCTTAGATTAAGGTGAGCACTTCTGTCCAGCCTTTTGTTGTTTATGTTGTTTCATTCATGTGTATTCCCACGAGTAACAAGGAAAGAGTTGGTCACCTCTGGCAGAGCCTCGCATTACCAGAGGTATTGTTATATAAATACAAGTAAATTGAGGAATGTTAAAAACCGAAAATGCTAGGACACTAAACAAAAACATCTGTTTATTTTAGTAACGTCGAATATTTTGTTACATGCATATTAGAATGTCGATAAATGATTCTTTTCAAGTACCGCCTCAGTGGGGAATAGTGAAAACACAAACACATCGCCACACTAGGTTTGGGAACTATAACTTTGCAGGATCATGGAAATAATTTGTTTATGAATAATTTTCTGATAAAACCGAAAAATATTTCAAAACATTGGTTATGTTTTAATGATTTTTGATGTGTGTGTGTTTTTAATAATGAATATTGAAGTTATACGAGAAGGGGGAATTCTGTTATTTGAATTACAAAAACATGCTCTTAAATGGCCCCGTTTCTTGAAGGCTTTATAAAACAGTAATAGAAACAAGCAAAACACTCATACAAAGAATAATAACCTGTTTGTTTGGATCACCAGTTGAAATTCTGTCTAAGACCGAGGAAGCGACCTGTTTGTGAAAAATTACAGATCAGTTCAAAAATAATTCGCACCGTAATACATTCAATACAATCAATTTTACAGAATCTCATACAGGTACAGCTGGGTAAATCTAGCTATGCTCTTGAGATGCGCGAACGATAAAGAGAGATGGTAACTGTCCTCTAACAACTTTCATCAGGAACCACAATCCGGAAAAGAATTTTAGATAACCTCAGCAAGTATTGACAACTACACATATACCAGTATGGAATAGGAACCTTAATTCTTCTTTTTGTGCAGATGGAAAATGGTTGAAAGATAATAGAGTGTACTACACGAGTTCCTCGATGTTATTGAGCTTTTGGGCCAGTCCACCTGCCGGTCTACTGCGCATTCAATATTCAGAGGCACATCTAGATTTGCCAAGCTGTACTGTTGATGAATGATTTATCATATGAAGAATATGGTCTGTAAAGATAACAAAGCCACCTCAAACATGTTTAATATTCAATAAGTAAATACACAAAATTTATTATACTCACAGATTGATAATAATAGCATATCTATATTGCAAAAATGTGTCATTGATGATATAATGAAAACGAGTTCACAATTGTTGCATTCGTAATTCGATAATAATCGTGATTAGTTCAATCTAGTCAGTGGTACTCAGGATTTCAACATCACCTACTCTTTAGAAGAACTATCCAGGGTGACTACCACAAACTTATCAGGGATTCTAATAACTATTCAACTATTTTTGTGTAACGTGTTTTCAATTTGACGAATTCTTGCTGGTCTGAGATTGATACAGCGTTCAGAACTATAGAATCCATAACTTCTGCAGGGGACCGAGTAAAATAAAGTGAATTTTAATTTTTCTCGAAAATCATCGTAAAAAGCCGTTCTTTTATGGGTCTCTTCATCTTTGAGAATAGGAAAAAGATGCAGGGGGACAAATCTGGTGAATACGACGGCGGAGACATGTTTACGGTGTTGTTCTTTGCCACTGTTAACATTTCGAGTGTTTTTGACACAAAATTTTATGCAACTTCTTTGATCCATTTTTTCGATTGCAGAAAATGGCCGACGCGCAAACACTTTCAACTTCTTTGTTTCTCACCAAAAAACTAAACATGCAAAACAGCTGAAACTGTGAACAATTATTCGAGACGAGTGTACCAACATAAAAAAATAAAAAAATGCTAATCGAATATACGTCGCCCGCGAAATTCGAAACTTAACCTAATTTTTTGAACAGCTCACTACACTGAGCTGGGAGTGAAATCTTAATAAAAACATAGGAACCTCAAAAACGGTAAGAGTTACAGAAAAGGTGGAATGAAAGCAAAGTTGCTTTCCTAACATGATGTGCTAGGAATCGCAAGTTAAATGGTAAGACCTCGTTGATCCTCAGCTCGCACAAGTTTCGACTTTTGAGAGTTGTCAGGTTTCTAGAGATTTTTGTCAAATGGAGCACATTGAAAATGACGTTAAAAATTCCAGATAGCTTTGATAGTTTGAAATATATACTGGAAAAACAAAAAATTCCATTTAATTTTTTATATACCAGGTTCGACTGATTAGATTTCCAAACGCTGTTTTACCGTGTCATTGCAACTTCAATTAGACTATAGAAATATGCTTGATACACTGTTTTACAGAATGTTATAATATATTGCGTGGCACATCAAACTTTAAATTCTTTAACTTTCATGCCATGTTTAATGATGTCATGAAATGGCTACGTCCTGGAAAAAATATAAGAGATTAACGGTGTTAATAGCTTGAAACTGCTTTTCATAATAACATTTATTATTATACCCAGTTTATCGAACATACGACATGTGCCCCACTAGTTCAAGGGGGCTCGCTACAACTGTACCCGTAATCCCTTTACTGTCACCGGGCCTGCTTGTGCAACTGTTATTTCTGTATTCGATAAACAGTAGCCTTTTTTTTATTTTTACAAAAAGTTCTTCCGCTGGCGGTTCTGTCTTGCAACAACTATTAAATCTAACAGCAATAGAAAAGAGTGCGTGAGAAGGTTCTATAACAAATCGTAGATTAAAAATGAGTTTTCAAATGTTGATTCAATTCCCAGTTTCATATATTGTCTCATAATGTACGTAATGTCGCGTAATATACGCCTTTCAAATAAGTCAGCGACGAATCGTGATTTACCATCCAAAAATAACATAAAGGTCAAGATAATTTATTTCAGAAATTATTCCTCTGGTACTGTAGAGCTTATATATGTCGCATATTCATTCAATAATGTTAAGTAACGGGTCTTTCACAAAGCAGTATTTTTTCAAACACAACAATAGAAAATTTAGAAAACTTAGATTTTAGTTATTTTTGATTACTTGTTTATATATAATCAATGAAGAACCCTATATCAATTTGAATAATGTCGATCTGAACGTTATTTCCATAGGACAGATAGGAACAACTAGGAATATATATGAAATAAATTTAAACTTTGAATCATTTGTGATACTTCTAAACGATGAATATTGGAATGGAATTAATTACGGGTCTGACTCCTCTGGACCTGTACGTTAAGGAGGTTGCGTTAATGGCCATGTTACTATTGTGCACGGCTGGTGTAAACCTCGAAGTAGGACTGGGTCAATTGAGGCTGAGCCTTTGGCGAGAAGCACTTACTCTGCAACCTCTGTTGCAGGCAACCAGTGATGCAATTGAGCTCAGGTTTGTGTACAAAATACAACTAAAACAGAACACAGAGTCAGATGCTGCAAATGCAATACGCATATATACAGACGGCTCAAAAACCAAAGAAGGCTCAGGATGTGGAGTGTACTCCAGATCACTAAGCCAGTTCTATTTGGACCAGCGTGGTCCAAATAGAACTGGCTCGTATCTAATCGCCACAAAAAAAATATCCAGGAAAGGAATTTGTGGTAAAAACATAACAATCTGCACTGACAGCAGACAAGCCCTATTAGCCTTCAACAGGCAACGTGTTACCTCAGGGCTAGTACTAGAGTGCCACCAAGATTTAGTCAAAGCCTCGGTAGATAATAACATTATCCTGAGGTGGGTTAAAGGGCACGACAGGACTAAAGGTAGACGCATTGCCGACTCCTCAGCCAATGAAGCGGCTGGACTAAGAATTTTAGAACTCAGTGGCACCTACGGTCTGATGAGTACACCTGCCGATATAAAGAAGATGTCTCCAAATGACCTATCCATATTCCTGGAGAGGACAGGATAGACGATGACCTTGGAGGACAACTCCTCGGGAGGATGTACAATGGGTCACATGTGGCCTAAGTGCTGTGTGCTTACACTCACCCTCCCTACTCTACATATACAAGTCAGATTTTTATTACTATGTATTCAAGTACAAATACCATGCAATATGCTGCAATATCATTCAGCATTATGAAAATCCCCTTATCTTTGGAAATGCGCCATATTGAACTCAGAGTGACGTCAAGATATGATACACTTGTGTCAGCGTTTTTTCCAATCCTCAAAGCAGTTCTGATATGCACTTTTTGGTATGTCCTTGGGCTCTCTCTTAGCGACTCGGTTTTCATCTCCTCAATCGTCGAAAAACGCCGTCCTTTCAAGGGTCTCTTCAATCTTGAGATCAGGAAAAAGTTGCAGTTTCGTGAAAAGCTTGTACCACTTGTAAATATTTTTTTACGACTCAGATTCAGTCACCGTATGCCACTGTCAACAGGTCGTGTATTTTCGAGCACTCAGTTCAATTTATTACATAAAATTTGATTCAAATTCTTCGATCCAGAAAATCGCCGAATTCGCGAAACACTTCTGACTTTTATGCCTCTCATCAACAAACGTGCTAAACAGCTGAAACTGTGAACATATGTTCGAGGCGAATGTACCAACCTGAAAAAATATAAAAAGTCGCTAATCGACTGAACGTAGCCCGCGAAATTTGAACATTTACCTTATTTTTTGAAAAGCCCACGTACATTGCTTCAATACTTTATGATGATGGAAACTTTCCACTCTCAAGGGAAATTTGCTACGTAAAAGTATTGATATTTTTTTACACGCTTTATATTAGTTTCACCTGTTTGTTTGTCTGTTTGTTTGTAACTCCAGAATTATCGAATTTATTGCTTGATCTATTCGCGGGCAGATAGCGCTGTATGTAACCGCCTTGATATAATTAGATTTTCAGGCTCCCTCTCCGGAATTGGAAAATATCAATGGTAATTTTTCTAAACAATATACGGTTGAATGATCCCAAAGTTTAGGTAAAATAAATATAGTTTAAAAAGACTAAAAAACACGCTTTTATAGAATACGAAACTAAAAAATGAAAAATAAATATAGTTTAAAAAAACACGCTTTTAAAGAACATCGAACTAAAAAGTTAAAAATAATTTTTTTTAAATAAGCGTAAAGAATAATTATTGTGAAAAACGTAGGAGCTTTGTACCATATTTTTGTATGTCAAGCGCTCGTCGCTTTTTTCACAGTTATACTAGTATTTTTGTTCGTTATTTTTAAATAAATATTACTGGATTTTTTTCCCAACACCAGTTTTAATCTTCCTCTTTGAAGATGATTATTTGGTGATCGAAACACGTGCCGAGGTGTTAAAAATAACGATTTGGTGTTGGGAAAAAACTCCAGTAATATTCATTACTACACCAAAGGTTCCAAACAGTGCATCATAATTACGTTATTTTTAAGCTTATTTAAAAAAAAAATTTCAACTTTTTAGTTCAATGTTCTTCAAAAGCGTGTTTTTTAGTTTTTTAAACTATATTCATTATGTTTAAGTTGATCAATTATGGAAGGACGAATCGGTTTTCAGGATTCTGCAAATAAGTTGTCTGGTATTGAGCAAATATTCAAATGCTATTTTGGTAGTTTACCCAAAACTAGAAATCGAATCTCAAAAATTGATAGTTTTGATCAGAATTAGGAAAAACCAGTGTTTAATCGTGATCAGTAATAATCTATTGTTATACCTTTTGTTTGATAAGGAGGTCGGAATCTAACACATGTGGAGGTGCTCTAACCGAAGGATTTGGGTGGTGTCGGAGATAACTTTGTATTGGTCCTGGTTCACGTTTAACTTTGGCACCTGGAAGGACTAGCGGGGTCGTACGGTAGGGCTATAACAAAGGAAAAGACAACATCAATACAAAAGGACATTACATAAAAGAGTACAACACATAAAACACTTTACACAAAATCTAGACGGGAATAACATTTAATAGGTTTCCGTTTGTCAAGATGGTTAATGGCAATGTTAAATTACAAGAAAAATGTACACTTATGTCAATACAGTCACGGTAGCTTTGTTGATACCGAACTCAAACAAAATTGTAGGCTCCCAATTAGTTTCATACATATCTTTGATTTTTGGGAAAGAAAGTTTTTGGCTTTCTACTACTCCATCTGATACAAAAAAAGGGATGAGAGAATCTTCCAAAGAAAGGAAGGAAGTAATCAATTTGAAAATAAGTATACATGGATGTGTAGATCATGCAAAGAAGTAACTTTCAGACACAAACTGAAAGAAAGTCCTCCTGAAATAGCTACTTTTCCAAACATTTGTTGTGGAATAAGAATCAGATATCAATCACAAGAGTTTACTTTGAATGAATGGTAATAAATTGCACTCACATGGAACACTGTCACCCTCACTGGTATACACCGATGTTTCGCCTTAAGACACTTGCCCTAAGGCTCTTCAGTACCGATTTGGTACTGCTAAACATTGGTGTATACCAGTGAGGGTGATAGTGTTCCATGTGAGTGCAATTTATTACCATTCATTCAAAGTAGAACTCTTGTGAATGATATCTGATTCTTATTCCACAACAAATGTTTGAAATACAAACTGAGTAGAGAAAAGTATCTTCTGTTTAATTCAGTGTTCATATAGAAGTATTTGTTTCGAAAGAATTTTTTTTCTTTCGTGTAATTCAATGTTTATATGAAAGTAGCTGTTTCAGGAGGACTTTCTTTCAGTTTGTGTCTGAAAGTTACTTCTTTGCATGATTTACACATCCATGTATAAAGTTACTTATTTTCAAATTGATTACTTCCTTCCTTTCTTTGAAAGATTCTCTCATCCCTTTTTTTGTATCAGATGGAGCAGTAGAAAGCCAAAAACTTTCTTTCCCAAAAATTAATCACTCCTAAAAATATAACCCCTTCAATTCAAATCTTTGATTTTGTTTTGTTTATCAATTTCGTAATTTTTGTTTCCCTTTGGAATCGATTGATTTTTAAACTACTTTTCAAGTTTATTAGTGAACAAAAGTTATCTATCTAAGCTCCTCTTCTTTGTCTGAGCCAATATCAAGCCTAAAGTAACCCTATCTATCAAATATTTTTCCTACTCTATACAACCATTTGATTCTCGCCTATTTCAACATCGACACGGTTATTTTGGGTTGCCCGAAACTGTTACTGACTGACGTAAATAATATTTGGATAAGTTTCCACAACTTCCGTCGGTTTCAGCGTTTTTGTAAACAAATGGAATATCCGAACGGGATTAGTGCCAATAGTCTCTTAAGATATTTTACCTGGACATTATATTATGTTAGGTCATAAAATTCTCACAGTTTATATAACTGGTCGTATAATTAATAATAATACTAGTTTGGTTTTGATTCAATTTTTATAAATATACAAAGTGCATAGATTACTTGAATAATTGGCACAACATATAGGGTCTACCAACATGGACTTCTGAACTTTCACAATTGATAGTGGTCATCTTGTTGATGCTACATCTGTCAAATTAGTCGTCATTTATTCAATCTCTTTTGCTTAATTACTATGGACGGACACATCATTCAACAATACGTCCCAGCAATAAAATTGTTAGGACGTATTTGTTTTATCAAAATGGGTGTTCCGGCAACATATATTTTACGGTCACCATAATTGTCCTACCGAGAGAACTACTCGCATTGTGGTGGATGCATTTGAGTCCGATGGTTCAGTAAACGATTGACCAACACTCGTACATCGACGAAACTCAAGATCTACCGAAAACATCGCTGCTGTCTGTGAGAGTGTGCAGAAGAATCCGAAGAAGTCGATTTCGCGTCGCTCACAAGAAATTGACCTTTCGCAGACCACAACTTGGCGAATTTTGCGTCGTGACTTGGACCTGACCCGTACAAAATTCAACTGACCCAGGAAGGTAAACGACCATAGACAATGACGTATGTTCGCTGAATGGGCTCTGCAGTAGTTGACAACTGATCCAAATTTTCATTGAAAAATATATGTTGGTATATATATGGAGTGGTTTGGTGGTGAAACTAAGAGGCCATTGAATGTTCGCATTGCCGAGCACAAGAAACACACACAGCGAGGGAAAACCAGCCAATCAGAAATATCAGACCATGTTTGGACCCATCAACACAACATCGAGTGGTCCCAAGCTGAGATCATACACAGAGGGGAAAATTGGTTTACTAGAAAATTCAAGGAAGCCGCATACATGTTGTCCAACAACGTATTCAGCCAAGCTAGCGTAGAGATACGCAACATATGGAAACCCATCAAGCGAAAAATGGCCAACTCCCGCGGTCATCTCCCACTGAACCAGTGAAGCGGAAAAAATGGAAAGCGGGGATAAGTGAAAGTACTCGAACGACCCATAAATAGTCATCTTTCATTTCAGGTTATTTTTGCTTAATATAATTGTTATTTTCAGCTATTCATTTTTAATTCTCCTTTTTTCAGTTGTTTCGGGGATTTATCATTTTATATATTAGACAATGGAAGTCGGAACTAGTGAAAAGTTCATTTTATTCGGTACCAACATCTAAAAAATCTTATTGGAAAACCCATCAGTCATTTAACATGCGACCCTCGAAACGAATTTAAACCTAGTATATTCCTTGGCATAGGTTTGAAATATTTTCTTATATTCGCGATTCTCAGACAAATTCTTGGAATTTTTTTAAGTTTTATGACCCGTTCGTCTCGACATATATATTCTCGTAATAAACCCGTAATAAATCGGCTTACAATATTTCAACACTATCAAAGCGCAAATTAATCTAGATAATATTTTAGATGTCCCAAATCAAAAATAAGTTCCACAGCAACTAATTTCACATAAAGTGGGGCAGCTATTTGGAGAGCAAGTAACATAACCTTGATAAATTTTAGCACAATTTCCGTGATAACTAAGTCCTAGTTTTCACTTTTGATTCCTTCATTTATTTATCGATAATGATTTATTTAAAGCCTTTAGCTGAAGCGAGTACTACTGTAGTTGGCATTAAAAGAATTCCTAAAAATTCGAACTGTTTTTGAAACAATATCTGGATGCAATTGTGTATGTTAATGAAGTTGAGTAATGGGTCCTTCATCAAACGCTTCATTTCCCTTAATTCAAATGAAACAAAGTCTCTGTGAGACATAAACTATGTTTATGTTGTCGTAAGATTGTCGAAAATATTTTATTTGTGTGGATAATGTCCGAATATGGTCTCAATTGAAATTTCAGGTTCATCAGAAACGTCTAATGTATCATCCACCGTGAATCAGCCTGAATAATGAATAAAATACTGGTTTTTAGAAACTTTTCTTTGAACGCTTATGTGATAAGAAAAATCTCTCGAGTATAAAATTACCATTCGTTCATTCTTCAACGAGGTGTATATTCCTGAAAAAAAACGTGTGTTGCAGTCCAGAGAAACCTATATTAATTTCTCAGCTCCTAAAAGAAATATATCATTTTTTTATAGTGACACATAATTTATTGTCCTTCAAATTTGCATTGATTAAACTGTATTGTATTTTATGGGTTTTATGGGGAAAATCCTTAAAATATGTGACACAAATGTGTATCATACCCTGTATATAGCGAAGTAATAGAAAAGAGATTTCCATTAAATTTCTCAGTGACAAAAAATCTCACCCACAAAATCGGAGAATCGTCTTGTAGATTGTGGAAGTGATCTCTGGAATGATTTCTAGATAGAATCATATTTTTAGCTTTCCTCACAACACCACTTAACTCATCGAAAATCCAACTTTAACTGAATAAATTTGCGTAAAATAGTGTAGTCATAGTGCCAAAGACGTGAGTTGATATTTTTGTAGATAAAGTAGGTATGTTACATAATTTTATCCGATATATAAAGGTGACCGCAAGGATAAAGTAATTTGAAAAAATTGATAGTCATGATATTGACATACTGGGTGTTTCAAATTCGATCCTCACCATTGGGATCTCGGAAACTATGAGAGATACGAAGATGGTTAAGTTAGAGCAAAGTTGCGCATTTACTTGACTAACAATATGCCGTTGAGAAAGTTCTGAAATTTTGAGTATATCCGGAAGATGGTTTTTATTTTTTTTTTGACTTTATTTTTCGAGGGATTGGATAATAAAATGCACTTTCATATTGCCACTTTTTCCCTGCTACATAATGGTGTTTTCAGATATGCTATCCGACTATCCGACGTTTCGTCTTCTGGCCACCATCATCAACTTTATTTTTTCTTATGGGCGCTACATTGGATTATTTCTGTTTTGAATAGAACTAGATTATAGCTTTTCAATGATGTATCATAAGTTATCTTACTTTTTCGAAAAATTGGAGATGTTGAAGCCAATGAAAAAGTACGGAGACAGAATTAACAATCAAAATTTGATAAATGAGGTATGTATGAGGTAAATTAGACATTCAATGAAAATAGAACTTTGGACAAATAACAAATAATTAACTAAAATAAACAAAAGTAAATCACAGCAAATGCTCAAACTGCTGACCTTATTCATGATAACAAAACTGTGCCCTTCTTCGAATATTATTCACTGCACGATTAATTTCCCTCCTCCTCAATCTTCCGAACTCTCTAACAATGCTGTGTTGAAGGTCCTCAATATTTTGATATTCCCTCTGACCATAAACTCTACTTTTCAGTGTACCCCAAAAGAATGTATCCATAACACTTAAGTCTGGAGACCTTGCCGGCCAGCTCACTAGCCCATTATCACCAAACCTTTCAGTCAGATTATTAGATACTTGTCTGTTAGTGTGCGGTGGAGCACCATCATGTTGAAACCAGATGTTATAGTTAACCAAAGGTAGGTCATCCAAATAGTCTTTAAAAATCGACATTAAAAACTGGTGATAGGTTTCTTCATTCAGAATTCCGTCAAATAAATGGGGACCCAAAATTCTATCTTTGTAAATTCCTACCCTCACGTTAATACTAAATCACACTTGCGTGGGGTCGAATTTCTCGGAACTGCTTGGGATTGTTTATGTTCCAAACGTGTTCGTTATTTTATCCCACAATTCCTAAAAGCGCTTTCATCTGTCCAAATTACATTTTCAGGAAAACAGGAAAATCAGGTCTTCTTATTAGCCAATTACAAAATTCTGATCGCCTTTCGGGATCACCTTTATGCAATTTCACTAGTTCGGACTTCCATTGTCTATTATATACAGTGATTTGAAATCCCTGAAACAAGTAAAAAAGAATAATTAAAAAGAGAATAGTTGAAAATAACAATTATATTAAGCAACAATAAACCTGAAATGAAATGATAGTTTTCATTTCAGGTTTATTGTTGCTTAATATAATTGTTATTTTCAACTATTCTCTTTTTAATTATTCTTTTTTACTTGTTTCAGGGATTTCAAATCATTTTATATAATAGACAATGGAAGTCCGAACTAGTGAAATTCATCACGAAACATTGTCAATCACCTTCAAACAAACCTTTATGCAATTTTTGAGACATGTGTATTTTGTAACATTTTAAACCGCTTTTTTTGAGATGTCTCCAAGTATGACAAATATTCATTTCGGAGGAAATTTGACGTGTAAATTTCCCTGGGTTCACGTTTATCTACAAATTATTAAGTTTTATTGAAAAGGAGGCAATGTCTAACTTACCTCATACAGACCTCATTTATCAAAATTTCTTTAGTTTCCTGGTCCATTTTGTCACCGTATTTTTTTCTCAACTTTTCAAATGCAAGTTTAAATACACTGTTTCTATCGTATTTGTAATAAATTTGTATCATATCTCTTTTTTTTCATTCGTGAAAGCCATTTTTCGCCAAAAATTCAATTATTTGTACTATAAAAAATGTCATTAAGTGTAACAAATTGAAAGTCAAATTTAGAAACATCAAAGTCAAAACCTATTATGATAAGAATAATTTTTTTTCAGTAATTTTTCGAAAAAGAATGATAACTTATGATACATCATTGAAAAGGTAAAATCTGGTTCTATTCAAAACAGAAAGAATCCAATGAAGCGCCCATAAAAAAAGTTGATGATGGTCTTGTTGATTCTGAGCAGTGTTTGGCCATGTTTAAACACAACAAATCGGAAATTTTGCGTCGTTATTTGACAATGGAGGAAACATGTATCGTCATCTGAGGGGATAGCAACTGGTGAACCTCGTCCAAAGCACTCGAACGCACAACAATGGACTGGAAAGGTTACGGCCGAATTTGCGAAGAAACGACTACATATGGCAAAGAAAAAAATTAGTTTCATCGTGTCACAAGCGAATCAAAACAATGGGAAAACTACATGAATTGAACTTCGAATTGCTCCCACATCCACCATATTCGCCAGATTTGGCTTCCAGCGACTACTGGCTATTCACAGACTTTCAAAAATGCCAATCGGTTAGAAATTTCGTTCGTCTGAAGAGGTTATTGCTGAAACTGACACCTATTTTGAGGCAATAGATAAATCGTTCTACAAAAGTGTTATTGAAATTTAAGAGCGGTGCTGGGATGATTGTGTGATTCTTGATGGATAAAGACAATTTTGAACAAAAAAAAACGGGTTTCTTTCTCATGTCCGAGACTTTTCAGCCCATGTGTTATAGGTCCAGATGAAATGAAAATTACCAATTTTAGTAAATTTCTGGTTGCCAGGAAACTCAGGAATCACAGACAATTTAAATGTTTGAGTCCCAATATCCTGTGTATTTCAACTAACTCTAAAAGTATCCGTATCCGGTATTCGGATCCTTTTTTCCTGTATCCGACCCAACTCTGGTATTTAATACCTGTTATCTTTTATGTTAACCCACCAACATCTGCACAATTGAAGTATGTTCTCTAGCTCTGGAGTTCTGTATGCAAGTTTTAGATGAGATGCCCTGTATCTATAGGATATTTAGGGAAAATGACAAACACTGATGAACATGCAGGAGTGTAAATAACAAGCTGAACATGACTAATTCCATTCTATGCCATCCTTGAAAAAGGTCATTTATAATTAATTGATGACTTTGATTCAGTCACCAACAATGTAACAAGACTTCCATCAATAAACAAATTTACCTATTTCCTGGATGACGGCCAAAAGTTACACAAACAAGACGATATTATACGTGTTCTGCTTATAGACTTATAGATGGCGTATGTGTATTTGTTATTTGTTTATAAAGATATAACGCTCTTAGGTAATACGACTAACTGCAGCAACTTGAGTGAAGACCTTGAAGAAATTTATATAATTACGTATCTAGATTCTTGAAAGATTTTCTAATAACACTGTTGAAAGTACTTATTGATATCTCCACTTTTCAACACGTTGGAATCAGTTGCCATAGAATTACTGTGACTTCGTTATTCAGGATTATATCTGATAGTTCAAGGAAAACGAGATCATCATTTTTCATGATGATTTCCTACCACGTAATAACGGCTACATCCATCAACTTTTTGGTGGTTGGATGGTCGGTAACTGAAGAATCTGTTTGAAGAAGTTGTTAACTCAGACGTTCTCGATCAGCCACATTCGATGACCTCCAATTTATATTCATAAACCAGTAAAACTGAGGAAAATATTGTTGTAGTGAAACGCCTATTGGAAATCAAGTCTAGGTGTATATTGTGAAGATACAGGAGAACGAATTTTTCCTCGTGAAAATTTCAAGATCATAAAAATAGTTGCTAATCAAAGAAACTAAGAACGTAGAAGCAAAAGTGAGAAACAAGTTATAGACATTTCTCTAAATCTAAACCAATTTCAAAACAGAATCCAGACTATCAAGTTTGCAAGTGATGTTTGTGTCTCCAATCAGGCAGATTACTCTTTTCTGGAAGATTTGATCTGAGCTTTATAAAGCATCAAAAGTTGCTGAGGCGTCAATTTTAACCCCCAACAAACTTATTGGAGCAGAACGCGGAATTGTCTATACCTGGTCCAAATGAACGAAGCTCAAACACAACGCATTTGTTATCCAACACCAGACAGGGCTGTTTCGATCCACCAGAGGTATCATCAGTGGTGCTAGATTGAACCACAAATGCATTGCTGGATTCAATCGTCCTTAAAGAACAAGCGCCTGAGATGACATCTCCTCTAACAAAAACGTCATCTATATGGGATATATACTCACCTGTTTAGTAAGATGAATATCCTCTTCACCATCTTCCTTTCTGGTTGGGTCATATTCGTACGGGTCGAAGTAATTATTGTCGATTGGGGTTAGAGGCGATGAGTAATAGGGGGTTAGAGCAGGCGCTCCAGGGCTATACCCTGGAGGGGTGTATCCTTTTGGGGAGAGATGGGGTGAGACTGAAAGCGGACTGTAGTTGTGAGAGCTAGTTCTGGATGAGCCGGTGCTAGTAGCTTGGCGAGGAGCATTTTCCCTGCAAAGAATTGTATTTTTATTCGAGTTTTTAATCAGTCAACACAGTGTTTGAAGTGAAATATAGGAATATTGGGGACAAAGAATAGGGTAGCTAGGTGCAAAAATAATATGAATATCGCATGAGATCATCATGCATTTTGTGAGATGTTGTGGGGTACTTGACAAAATAGGAAAATGTCTTGAACAACTGATATCATTTCAAGCGACTCGCAACACTTCAACATCTGGTCAGAAAAATCCAAATAGAGCAGGTGACTTACAGGCCACTGGAAAAAAGATTTCTATCATTTTTCAAGGAATGAGGAATGGAAATTGATGATACTGCAAGACACTTGTATCATGTTTGTACAATATCTAGAGCTACAAAAAATTAAAAAAAAGAAATTATAGAACGAAAATAGACGAAAATTGAAACAGAAATGAAATAACAAGAGAAATAATAGACAAAAAAATGAACTAGAACAATATGAAAGGAGAAAAAATGCAGGAACAAGAACAAACAAAGAAGAATGTTTTCAAAGAAACTGAGTGAATAGAGTGAATAGAACGAATGATGAATACATTTGGAGAAGGATAAGTTACTCGAACATCTATAAAGGCCGCATAATGAATTCAATGAGAACTTGAAGAAAGAAGTAGAACAAGTAGAACTCAAAATATATGAGGTTGAAGATAATATCAAAGAATTTCGAAATGAAAGTTTTTTTAAAGTACCGTTGAATTTAATTTACTGTGTTCAAACTATATATCAGACTTTTCAAAAACTAAAACTAGAGAGAGAAAAATCAACACGAGATATTGAACTTCTGAAGGCTTCCAACTATAACATATATTGAAATTTATCGGTTGAGAAAAGAGAAAACGCATTGTGGCTATAGAAAATCGGGGATCTCGCTAATGGATTGCCAAAACGTCAAAGACGTTTGAAGTTTACAAAGATTGGATGTTTCAGACACAAAGTGACGAAGAAACCAGGTCAAGGACCATAGTTCATTGAGAAGTGAAAATAAAAATGTATCTATTGAAATTTAAATCTAATGTGATAGTCATCCTATATAATTTATGATAGATTTAATCCACAAATGAAGAAAAAACCAATTTATCCATGAATAAATTATAAAATTGAATGAGAATAGAGAAAACTTTTTACAATCTTTGCACACAATATTTATTTTATTTCATATGACATAGACACAAGAACAAAAGAAAGGAAAAACAGCGAATTGTGAAATTAAATAGATTATTGGGAAAGAAAGTTTTTGGCTTTCTACTACTCCATCTTAATATAATACTGGGGGAATCTTCCAAAGAAAGGAAGGAATTCGGCCTGTTTAGAGTAGACATTGCTCAGGCCTTTTGTTGAAGTAGTCCATCACAACCATCACGTACTTGTTATTACAAGTGCCAGTTGTTCCAGAATTCTCACGACGTTTTTGTTAAAGTGAGTAACAATAATCTACCACTTCAGCTTTAGTCTGAGTCTTGTGTTTAGGAAGATTCCCACATCCTTTTTTTGTATCAAGATGGAGTAGTAGAAAGCCAAAAACTTTCTTTCCCAAAAATTAATCACTCCTAAAAATATAACCCCTTCAATTTAAATAGATTAGTTTCGATGTTCATGTCAGGAAAACGAGCAACTATTAGGATAAAGGAAAAAATCCAGACTCGTTGGAATCTTAAATTTTTATTGGCAAGTGGCCATTGAAACTGTGGTAAGTGTATTTATAAATTACGTCACATAGTTAGTTGACGTTTTACCTAGTTCTTTAACATAAAAACAACAAATTATTTGTTGGAAATTTATTTTCTGAATTTGAAGTTATCTTCAACATTTCATTGGTTATCGAATTCATTTATTTTTCTACTAAGATTTGACATAAGCAGTAATTAATAATTTCCTAGTTATAATCAAATTAAAAGAGAAAGGTAACATGAAAGCTGCAAGAAAACATCTGAAGAATGTACTTAAGGTTAATTACTGGAAATTCCAATTATGTAAATCTGAAATTGAAGAATAGACAAAGATAAGAAATATAAGCGTACAGCTATTTGAAATCCTAAAATTTAGAACTAGAAGTAATTGATTTTGATCTAGATATTGACTTATAATATACAGTTATTAGTTTATAGTTTAGCATAGAGTTACTAGTTTTCAGAAAGTTCATTATCTGATATATTTTTTCAAATTTCGGGCAACTAGAAGAATGTTTTCGATGTCGAAATTTTTATGAGAGGTGCATGTTCAATGTTAGCTGCGTATATTGAACTATGTTAGTTCGCAAATTTATTGAACCTCTTGTAAAAAATTGTGAGTGGTGAAAAGCCTCACCTTTGAACTACAACTCGAATGTTGCTCCCGGCATTTTTGAATAGGTTTTGTGCATCTTGATGGCGGATGTCTCTGGAATCATAGTTTCCCACCTTCGTGATGATGTCACCCCTGTGAAGGACTCCCTCCACGGGGGATCCGAATCCGACCTGAAAAAAAAATTAAAATTAGTATTGTGTGCTTGTGTTATCATCGTGTTTTTGGCTCATCCATAAAAAAACAATAACTCTGATATACCCGTACGTCGCAAAAACGCAAGATCTCCCGAAAACATCGCAGTTGTCTGTGAGAGTGTGCAGGAGAATCCGAGGCAGTCGATTTCGCGTTGCCCACAAGAACTCGGCCTTTCCCAGACCATAAACTGGCTAATTTTGGCCTGTACCCATACAATATTCAACTGACCCAGGAACTGAAGGTAAACGACCATAGAAAACGACGTGTGTTCGATGAATATGCTCTGGAGTAGTTGGCAACTGACCGTAAGTTTCATCTAAAAATCATCTTCAGCGATGAGACCCATTTCTGGATGAATGGGTACGTGAACAAATCCACATGAGATCCAAGACCGTCCAATGCATCCCGAAACATTCACTGTTTGGTGTAGATTTTTGGCTGGACATGTCATAGGTCTATATTTCTGTGCTGTATTTTCAATACTGTGATCTACGTTTTTTTAAGAAAAACCTAAACACAAGACTCAGACTAAAGCTGAAGTGTTGGTTATTGTTAGTCACTTTAACAAAAATGTCGTGAGAATTCTGGAACCACTGGCACTTGTAATAACAAGTACGTGATGGTTGTGATGGACTACTTCAACAAAAGGTCTGAGCAATGTCCACTCTAAACAGGCCGAATTCCAATGTGACACCTGATCATGAAACTATTGAAAAAAATCAAGACTAGAAATACGGCTTTCCTCTTATTGAATGGTTAAGAATTGTCTGTTCTTGCTTGTCTCTACAAATCAAATGGACCTTGCTTTTTGTTAGTATCTGATGTAATATTCGGTAGAACCGTGTTCGAATTTGCATGATCCGAGATAACTAAGTTTGATAAAGAAGTAGCACCAATGAACTTCAAGAATGGCGATGTATTACAGATTTTCCAATACCAATGACGAAAGAGTTCAAGTCCTAAATTTCAATCCTAGGATGCAAGTAAGATGCATAGAATATCTCTGGTATGATAACTTGTAACCCTTCTCCATATCAAAAACTCTTGACCTACAGACTCTGGATAGGAATAAGAAATGAATTTCAACATTCCATGCCTAGATGCTGAGTAGACCTCTGACAAAACAAATGCGAATCGGTAAAAATAGCAGGGTTTCTATGCATCTTGGATTCAAGATTAGTAAAATAAACGATCTAGCGAGTAGAATTCGATTATCACGTAAAAGAAATCCCAAAGTCGTTCTGCTACGTCATGTCCCGTGGAGTGGGTTACCTATCGGGCGTGTCCCCAGGTAGCGAATAGGGGAACGGCCAGGAGACTGGGGGTCCTGTTCGGGAAGCCAAGGTGGCCTTACGGACGGGGTCGCTGGACTCCTGGTCAGTGGCAGAAATAAGTAAGGTGAGGGGAACTAAAACTCCCCAAAAGCTTTTGTGAAACATGCCACCGTGGACCAGGCTACCCAAGCTAGGGTGTAAGGAATCGTGCCGACAGCTGAATGGCCGCAGGGTGATTTGCGGTTATGAACGATCTCCTTGGGGAACCGGGCGAAACCTCACTGCCAGAGGAGACCTACTCTTCCCTTACTACTCGTGGGAACATAAATGAATGAAACAATCACAAGAACAGATACAACAAAAACCAATCCCGAAGCTTGACAGAAATGCTCACCTCAATCTATGGCGGTGGCTGGGGATGAATAGAAATGTCCACCCCAATCTACCGATCGGAATGAGGCTGGACGTGGCAGATCACCTCGTGATGTAGTACAAAGGCCAAGGCGTAAGCTCATTTGCGGCGCCGAGGCCAAAAGGAGAAAGAGAGCGATAGAAGCAGGAGTGGCAGGAACTATAAGAGCATTCTCCTCCTCCCCCACTCCACCTACAACAGCAAGGGCACTTCCTGCGGCGGGTGCCAAGAGCTCCGCCTTGAATAAAGGCAAGGAACCGGCTGCCCCTGCAGGAAAGCTCCCTCACTTGAGCACCTCCACGGAGGAAACCCCAAGAAGGTTGAAGAAGCTGCGCAACGATAGTAATGTCGCTGCACCTTCCAAAATCTTCGCGGAGGCCGCCGTGAGCCATCTCAAGGTTACCAAAGAGAGTGTGTGTTCGGCGAGTCTTGGCCTACACCTGCCAATATGTAGGAGATGTCTCCTAGTGACCTGTCCACCTTCCTGGAAAGGACAGGATGAACGATGGCCTAGGAGGACAACTCCTCGGGATTCGTCATGACGTTCCGGGAATGTCTTATAGAACACTACAAAACAAGGTCATTATACCAGGGCATTACGAACATTAGAGAGGTGAGCTCAAGCGCCTGAATAGTCGTAGGTAGTTGACGAGTGACAAGTGACGTAGTTTCCAACAGCGTAGTGACCATGTGGGCTAATAAAACAGTGGCGCAATGATCTAACAGTGGCGTGGTGAAATATGTAAAAAATTGTTTGTAAAATGAAATAATCTGGAATACAAAATATCACTTATTAACGAATGAAACACTTTCATTCTAGACTGGAGATTCATTTGGTTTCAACACACAAGGCCGGCAATTCTGATTTAAACAACTTTGAAATTTTGAAAAAAAAATAATTTAAAGACAACCAAACAGTGGAAACATTGTATTTAAACATTCAAACCAAATCATTATTCAATTTGTTCATTCACTGGAATTTTTAATTGATTGCTTTGTGGTGCCAAATTTTATTTTTGGCACACCGATGGGTACATATGATTGCAGCAAGTTTGACTTGTGGGTAGAATTTATTGGAATTATCAGGACCGTCATAAGAACTATGTTATCTTTATAAAAAAAAAGGCAATTTCGGATTGGAAACTTCGAAATAATCCGAGCAAATTACAGTAAATCTGAATTTTACAAAGGTGAGCAAAGTGAGCAAAAGTAGAATTTCAATATTTTGTTCATATAACTCGAAGATAGATTATTTTTAGGAGAGAGAAATCTTCACCATGAAATAAAAGTGTGAAGTTCATTAGCAAATGTAGCAAAATGTTTGATTTTTAATATCTTTCAAGAAAAATTCTTCAATTTTGCAAGCGATAGTATTAAAAAAATAATTTTAAAGTATAGAGTTATACAATTTTATGAAGTAGGTACCCACAGATGACAGTGATGGAAAAGTAGAGGTTAGGGTTAAGTTAGGTCCAACTGCAACCCGCAAGGGTTTATTGTGGATCACAACTATTCACACGGCTCTGCCGAACTCTAAAAATCTGATTCTGTCCCCAGCGGGGCAGGCACAAAGGAAGGAAAGAAGCAGGAAGGTATTTTTGATCCATCTGTGAACCAATAACTATCTGCTCTTAATATTTCCTACTCCCGGAGGGGATCCAGTCCTCTCTACTCGGGAACAGTACGTTATAAGGCAGTTCGTAGTTGACAGTTGGAGGCATAAACTTGAAGAGAAATCATTTTTAGGAGAGAAAAATTACAGAAATTACAGAGAAATTAAAATTTGCATGTAGTACATGAAGTTCATTAGCAAATGTAGCAAAATGTTTGGTTTTCAACATCTTTCAAGAAACATTCAATTTTGCAAGCGATAGTATTGAAAGAAATAATTTTAAAGTACCTGTAGAGTTATAGAATTTTATGAAGTAAGTACCCACAGATGACAGTGACGGAGAAGTAGAGGTACTAGAGAAATGGGATGTGTGAGCTATGAATACAAGAGCAAATAACCACGACAAGTTGGCAAAAGTGTCCTAAATTCATGAATTCTTGGGAAACAGGAAAGAACGAAAGAAAGTCAGGAGATGTGGCTAAAACAAATAAAGCAGCAATAAATCAAGATGAAGAAAAAATTGAAAAAAAACGAAATTCAAAAGAGAAGAGAGAGATATCTTTTGAGAAAAATTTTCAAGGCCAACAAATATTCAAAAGAGAAATTACAGATTAACTTGACGCAACGCAATAAGCCAATAAGCGTCGCGTCTACTGTGAGACAACGGGGGACGATGCGCGAAGGTAGAGGGGCGGTCTAAGCAATGAAGCGCCATCGCCGAGAACGCGAGCAGACGTCGTTGACGGTTGTGTTAGTTTGGCGAATTTCTTCATAGGTAACATAATTCGATTCTAGAAGCTATTCATCACTTAGTGCATTTGGCATAATTTTTTAGTTACTGTATTTTTAAAGTAAAAATATTAACTACTAGCTGTTGCCCGTTCTTATATTTACGTACAGCCGAAGCTACTGAACCTAGAATCTTGAAATACGCAGGTAGGTTTTTTGTATAGCGTAAATAAGCATCAAGGAAGGGGATCAGGAATTCCCATCCCCACGGGTAAAAAAGGGTTCAAAAATTGTATTTAATTTCGTCAGTTTTGAAGTTGGGTTAATAAAAAAATATTTTAACTATTTGTCTACAATGGTCTGTCACGAAACTTAATCTGCTTTAACTTTGGATAAATTTGGTTCAGAATAAAATATGAATACAGTTGGAAATAGCTCGTACATGTAAACACTTAGTAACTCAAATATATTTTAGTGAGCCAAAATGAAATTAGGTATAATTCACCTCACAAAAACTGTAAAACGAAAACTTACTCTTGTAACGATTAACGGTGTTTTGACATCCGCCCCTCCAACTAAACTGAAACCCCACTGTTCATTAGGGGAACTTCTTTGCAGTATCAAAACAACTTCATGTGTTTTTCCCATGGGGAGTAAGATTTTTCACTAAACCTGATCAACGAACAGCATAAACACTACTATTTTACGATGTCGGCTCTGTTGTGATTAAAATTTAAAAATAACCGCCAGAAGGAAAATATATTTAGAATGTGAAATGTAGCGACAAACTTCGATTTGTTGGAATCCGGTTATATTTTTCGAGCAAACGAAATGGAAATCAACAGGTTTCGAATAACTGACACCATTATTATCTGGGCAAAGTCAGGACGAATCTAGGATAGTTGTTAGTTATGAGTTGCCACTTCTCTCTCTTGAAAAGCATTGTGGCAGAAATAACTTGGCTATTATTGCTACTACGCTTAAATTTTCTTACATACATGACTGTACTTCATGGCATGATGAATTAGCTTGTAATTACTAATGAAACATTTGGTATTTTTGGCAAACTTCATAACGGACGAAAATCTACAGAAAAGTGGAGTATGCGGTCAAGTTTCTATGAGAATAGAACTTGCGGAAAATTAGAAGAAGCTGAAAATGGTTTCAGATAAATGTAGAATTCGAAAATACAATTTAGAAAGGCAGTGTAAAGAGAACGACGTCCCGTTCACGGATGAAGTAGAAGAAATAGAGACACAGGTGGAAACGACTGTACGTAGACTCAGAAGACAAAGAAGGGACAGCGCGCAACCCCTGGCACCAACATCTCCCGAGGAAGTGAAAGATATCGTAAGACGTCTAGCTACTCGCAAAGACCCAGGCCCAGACCAAATAACAAACCGGGCTCTGAAAGTCCTACCACGAAAGGGTATAGCAGCTATAACAAACATCATAAATGCTATACTCAGACTGCAGCACTTTCCGTACCCTTTTAAGGAGGCGACGGTCATCCATATCCCGAAGTCAAAGAAGAACCACCTATTCCCAGATAATCACAGGTCAATCAGCACTGCACAGGGATGACCCCAGATTCCAAGAGAGGGACAAACACAGTAGGCCAACGAAGCAGAACCAAAGACGACCCCCGAGAGTCGCTGTCAGGCGGCTCCTGTAAGTATAATTTTCTAACAGATAACTAACACTTCCTTTTCAGGTTCAACGAGAAGCACTCGACCGCGCTCGCCCGGTTAGTTTTTGGAGACCCCATGCAAAAATTCAGTTAGGAAAGTCTAGATGAAAGCACCTAGTGGCTGACTTTCGACCAAAGAAGGTCAGATGTCAATCTTGCTGAAGTGTCCATTAGTAAGTAAGTTGAGGACCACTCCGGATGAGCGGGGTGGATGGACACTCAACCCGGGAGGGGGCATGGGAGGATCGATACCTCAGTTCAATCTAAGGAGAAGGCAGATTGAGGCCCTGGAGTCAGGTCGTCAATTTCTTGAAAATGTTTTGAAAGTAAATGCTGTTTTGAATTTATATTGTTTACAATTATTCAGTATTACAATAAATACACAATATTGAGTAATCATAAAGTAATATGTATATTTGTGTATGTACAGTGATATACTTGTTGAATGTTTGTTATATGATAAATCGTATTATATTATATGTAATGTTCGGAGGATCATCTTCTGCTTGTTTCTTCAAATTTTTCATCATCACTTTCGAAAGTGGTGATAGTTTTACGTTATATTCTCACTGTCAACAGTATATGTCGTCCACACACTGAATATTCAGTCATGAGAAGAGAGGCGAGAGAATCGTTTATCCAAGACACTTAGAGTGAGGAGAAAGGGAAACCAGTCATACTGGAGCCGTTATGCGTTACGTTACCAAGAGGTTTTCCCTCCCTAAAGAAGTTATCACTTCAAAAGCAGGTAAGAGTGACTTTGGTGTCACGTAAATACGTGAATCATTCTAGCCAGATTTTCCATGAGCTAGACGTGATCCTGTTTACGATTTTTTCTGTTTACGGCGTTCAATGTCCAATGACTCATGAATTAGTCCGTGTACTGGTTATGATAACTCCTCAACGCCGTGACGTTCCTCGTCAGCGAGCTCTTCGGTAGAAAGAACTTGAAGAATTTATGAGCCTGCTTCTGATATTATCAGTGACCGGCTCTACTTCATCCAGATCTAACAGATCATCCAAAGAAATGTATCTGTCACCATTGGTGCAAATTCGGAGCACCTTGTTTTGCATTCTCTCAAGTCCCAACAAAGAAGTCCTCTTGAGGTTACATATTACAGGACAGGCGTACAACATAGCTGGTTATAATTACTTGTTTGTAAATGAGAAACTTGTCAATACTGGGCGTAGAGTGCCGGATACGTGCGTTTTACCGCCGCAGCCGCTCTGTGGATCGCCACGTCAGAATAACTCCCAGATATCGCGCGCTCCTATGCTCGTCAACACAAATTTCTCCAGACCTCACTCTCTTAGATTTCTAATATCTTGAGGTTTGTCAATGGATGGATCTACTATGCGAAACTAACGACAGTGTTTTTGCTCTATTACAAAATAAGCATTAATTGCAGTTTGAAAAGAAATTGAAGACATATTCAATTTATGCATAGCTCAAAATAAACGAGTTTTTGAACATCTCTTGTAGATTTATGTCTTTTCTCAAGCATTTCAGTTAACTCAGTTACTTATTTCAAATGAGGAAACAGCTATCATCCACCCAGAGATAGTTGATACCCTCTGTACATGACAAAACAGCTCATTGAACTGAAAAATAGGTTGGATACGATTTGATTGTTGAAATGTTGTTTTCCCGACTCCTATCGAGACGGGCAGAAATCCTATCCATGTCAGACGGGAATATCATTAGTTCACGGAATGTATCCACCATGAGACAATGTTTTTCATCAAAATGTGGAAATATAAAGATATGGAAAGAGATTAAAATGCTACACAGGAAAAAACGTAGTTTGTCCCTGACACCAGAAGAAAGAAATTAGGTTCAAGAAGAGTTCAAATTATTAGGTTGTCAGCATAAAAATTGGGTACTCAGGATTCGTTGAAGCTGACGAAGGCTCTTTTTGCCTCATACTGATTGGCGAAGGTTCTACCAGTGAGAAACTTATCAAAGTGTTTGAAAAGATGGTAGTCTGTTGCCGCTCAATTCATTTAATTTTCGGACGGTGATTTGTGATACGTGCGGACGGGCGTTGTCGTGGAGTAGGATCAGACCTCTTCTGTTGACCAGTGCCGGTCAACAGCTGAAATAATGTTTGGTACATTTCATCGATTTCCTCACAATACCTTGTCTTCCTCATCAACATCTTTTTCGGGTATATTATCAAGTTCAAGTGTGACTTGGTTATCAGCTAGACCCTACAGACTGGGGTTGGAAGGTGGTCAACAATTCATTAGAACTAGACCAAACTTTACTTTCACCTGCGCCGGGAAAACTGCTGAGCACAATTTTTTGCAACTGCAAAAAGGGTTGCAGTGCTAAATGTGATTGCAAAAAAGCCGGACTGTTTGGTTCTCTGGCATGTACACGTTGTCAAGGACGGTCGTGCTGTAATATTGAATCACCAACAGTGGAGGATCCGTTTAATTCCAACAAGGCGACATGCGATACATCGCTATTAACGCAGTTTACATGCATTCAGGATGAAGATGAAAAAGAGCAAGAAGAACAAGACGAACAAGAAGATCAAGAAGAAGAACAAGACGGAGAATTTGAGAGTTACGACTCGGACGATTAAATTTCACTACTTTTTTTTAACTTAAATTGCTTTTATCTCTGCTAATATCCATTATTTTGCAATAGTTTCAAATTAAACAGGATCACAACTGACCCGTGGACGATTACAACTTTTACAAATTTTTGAATCGTTATAGGTATCTCAAAAACGGTGGCTCACAGGAAAAAAGGTATTGATACATTTTTTGTAGATTATTTTATGGCCTTCAATTTTTGTTTAAATTATTTTCAAAACTCACCGTTTTGCTGAAAATCGCGAAAAAAATCATTTTTTGACATTTGACCTTGAATCAAAATGTTTCCATAAAGGGAAAAGATGGGGAACTTTCAAATTTTATTTTAAATCATATTTTGAACAATCTTACTGATTTTCAACTTGGTGGGAATTTAGGTAGCTTCGAATGTCTAGATTGACCGGGCTAATGGATCACAGTAAGCTGACGCCCAGTTCTTCCGTCATCTCACGCACCGTTTGTGATGGGTCAGTCTCCAGCAGGGTCCATCAATGTATAGAGGTCACAAAATTCTTTGTCGATCAGTATATAGTACGACACGTTAAGTCCCAATTGATAATCAGAAGTGAAGAAATAGCTCATCCAAAGCTATTATCAAACAAAATTTTGAAAGAACTACTTCTCCGTCATTGACGATATTGAAATTTGCGTAGGAGGTGAAAAAATCAACTTGCTTTGAAGATCATTTCTATAATCTCTTGTTCAGCGTTTTGAACAGAAAGTTGTCTATATGTGAGCTGAATCTAGTTGAACGACCTCGTATAGGGAGACCATTATCGATCGATTATTACAACCTTTAATAGCTTATTATAAAAATGTCCTTTCAGCGCTATAATTTTTTTCAATCTCGAAACATCGACTGTTTCAAATAGCACGACGATATAGATCCACCCTCTCATACTAAAGTATCGAGAGACTAATATGAATAACTTCCACGTCAACAACTTAATCGTAGTGAAAATGAAATATTATATTTCCTTCCTTTAGAAAATCAAATTCGCCAGGTTATTAATAGAAGAGGTACATTATAATAATAGCATATAAGCATTCAGTTCTGCGAATTGAAATCGATCCAAAAAATGAGGAACAAAGGATGCAATGAATTTTTACTCACTTTTTTCTTATTACTTTCTGGTCTCCATTGCCAAAATGCCGGTCGCTGATAGGACATTTTTTTATATAAAAGCACTGTAAGTCTGGCAAAATACTGTCGTGATATGTGGAATAATTGCTGAGATTTTTATGGTGGGGGAGGACCAGGGCCTAGAATTTATATTTAGTCAGTTTTATTGTAGTATGAACGAACAGCTGTTGGCATTGGCAATCTTTGTAAATATCAGATCAATCTTTTGCAGGTTGTTTATTCGAATAGGTTAACACAGGGTTTCAATTCGGACTCAGTGGAAGTTATGCTTGAAAAAGAAATAGTTAAACGACAAATTTTCTCTCCAATATTACTCGTTGTCAAAATATGTTTATTGAATTCACAGAAGATAGTAAAAATCGATGAAGACCGTTACAAATATTTCAAATTCATTATTTTCATCTGTGTATTGGAGTCGTCATTGATGGTCTATATATGAGTAAATCCGATTTGAAAAGTGGCTTTGAGTATCTAATTTTAAGTCAGGGTCCACATGATATTTGGTTGCCAATTATTTACACCGACAGAGCCAAAAACCACTGCCTAAGTTGCAAATCTTGTTTAAAAATATTCTCAACAATTTGTCACAATAAAACACGACCTAGAATCTCTTTATTAAATAACCCATATCAACATTCATCAGTCCTAAATGTTTATAGGAGTTACATTTTGAAAAATAACTCTCAGAGAGAGTACTCATGACAAAACTGAACTATCTGTAAAAATAAATATAGTTTAAAAAACTAAAAAACACGCTTTTGAAGAACATCAAACTAAAAAGTTAAAAATATTTTTTTTTAATTAGCTTAAAACAATAACGAACGAAAAATACTATTATTATTGTGAAAAAAGTGATATACAAAAATATGGCACAAAGCGCCCACGCTTTTTTCACTATAATACTAGTATTTTTCGTTCGTTATTGTTTTGAGCTAATTAAAAAAAAATAACTTTTCAGTTCAATGTTCGAATTATATCAAGGAGGTTACATACAGCGCCATCTGCCCGTGAATAGATCAAGTTATAATGTCGATAATTCTGTCAAATACAGATCTCGAGCTTGAGAGTTACAAACAAACATACATACATACAGGTGAAGCTAATAAAAGCGTGTTGAAATAGGTTGAAACAAAATTAAAAAACAAATTGAAAGGGGTATATTTTTAGGAAAGATTAATTTTTGGGAAACAAAGGTTTTGGCTTTCTACTGCTACTGCTGCAGTAGACATTTTGAAAGGCGATGCAATACCCGAGCTGGTGCTCTGGTTTTTGTTCCTGTTGTATCCAACGCATCACCTACTATTTTCGTACTGGGTGCTCTATTTATATCGTTCTTAATTGTATTATCTAATCGTGTTCGTGTACTTTCCTAAAAGATACACGAACAGGAACAGCACTTGATTATGAGACTGGCCTGAACGAATTTATTCTTTTAGATGATTTGATTTATACCCAGTCTTCAAGTATGCTCACTGACTATAAGTGAAAAGTTTTCGTTCCTTATACGAAGAATTGGGCAAACTTCGGATACGCGGTCGGTTACATCGTTCACAGGCAGATGGGGCGATGACAAACCTGTTGAACGAATTTGTTCTTTTAGATGATTTGCACTTGATTATTTCATATAATTATGTCACGATGTTTCAAGCGGTAACCTCAGACTGCAGATAAAATGTTTTTCATTACTCTTTTTTGGGTATTTTCATCTTCCATGATATAAAATGTAATAAAGAACTTTATATGGATGCAGAAAGAATAATGGCGTTATACTCGTAATGACGCTATTATAAGACAAAACCAAATGGACTTGAAAAAAGCCATAGAAAGTACTTTTTCCGGTACAAAATCAAAATTAATTCCGTACTACTCGTACTTCAGAGCGTTCCGTACTTATTCAATTAAATTTGATTCATCATCGATATAGAAACCAAGAAATTCAGAAATCGAATATGGATGATTGGACTCTCTACTGTAAGAGAATCATAAATGGATCAAAAAGTTATAATACTCATATAGAATCTTCTAAAATGGACTTCCGAACTTTGACAATTGATAACGGCCATATTGTTGAAGTTACATCTGTCAAATTAGTTGTCATTAATTCAGTCTGTTTTACCAAATCACCATGGACGGGTATAGCATTCAACAACACGTGCAAATAATAAATTTGTTTTATCAAAATAGGTGTTTTGTTCGGGAAACGTACCTCGCGCTTAGCCCATTTTACGGTCGTCATAATCGTCCTACCGAGGAGAATCCGAAGCAATCGATTTTGCGTTGGTCTTTTGCACCCGTATAAAGTTCAACTGACCTAGGAACGAAACGATACCAATGCACATGAGATCCAAGATCGTCCAATGCATCCCAAAAAAGTCACTGTCTGGTGTGGATTTTGGCCATCACTGACAACGGCGAACACTAGGTAGATGATTACCAACTTCTTTTTGGCCTGAATTGGATAATCTGGACACCAACGACATGTGGTTTCAACAGGACGGCGCTACGTGCCACACAGCTCATGACACATTGGATATTCCATACGAAAGATTTGAGGGCATGGTCATATCAAGTGGAGGTGATGTGAACTGGCCACCGAGATCGTGCGAATTGACTCCATTAGACTTTTTCTTGTCGAGTTGTTTCAAGTCGCAAGTGTAGGTATGCGAATAAGCCACAGAGAACCTCAAAGCCAACATAACCCAAGCCATCGGTCAAATTCAGCCTGATTTATGCGACACAGCCATGGAAAATTGGATGTTTCGGATGCATTTCTCGCAGAGAAGCTTTGGCGGACATTCGAAATGAAAAATTTCCATGATCTCAGACTATTTTTTTTTATTTAAATTCAAAGATAGGAAGCGCTTAATGAAAGAACCTATATTTGCTATTTGCTACTTATTAGAGCAAAGCAACTTCAGAAGTGAAATATACTAATATTTGTACACCTGAAAATACTGCACAGGTTATAATTTCATCAAATCCATCATTTACGTTGAACTGATGAGTGAAAAAATATAATTTTTTTATTCTGCGACAGTTGTTATCTCCAAACTAATAAAAAAAGACGACATAAATCCAAAAAATACTTATCACAATCATACACGGAACATAATGAATAGTGGGCTATTAATTTTTGTACAGAAAATTAAATCGTTGACATTTATTTGTCAGAGTCACACATACTTCATCTATTTCATTCACAAATGGTTTTCATAAAAATTTCCTATGGTCCCTATGAGGCGCATGGTGTTATTAGACATAGGATACAGAGATTGCGAGGTCTTCTGAGTGAGTGAAATTAGAATGTCCTCAATCACTTGAATCGCTAATCAATTTTCTTCAAAAGGGCATTTATCGGAATTAGGGTACGAAATTGAAGTGGCGGAGGTGAATCTTTTCAATCGAGTGGAAATTGAGATGTTTGAAAGAAGGATATTCATAGGTGACATCAGAAATTTCAAATTCAACGAGTCCTACGAGGATGATCCCGTCTGTCAAAAAGCCGTAGCAGCTGTAGAAGAAGCTAAATCGAGAATGGCGGTTGAGGAAAATGTTCGAAGCTTTATTCCGATAGAACAAGGCATGAGGTATGTTCAACGAGTGTCCCATGGAATAGATACGCAGGAATTGCTCCTAGATTCAGAATTATTGTTCGAAATACCTGATAAACAAAGAGCGAGTACTATTAAAGAAGAGACCTCAGATGGTGATTAAAAATTATACTAATATAGATCCTAATTTATTTTTAGTGCCACTAAAATTTCATTTCAAGCTTAATTTAGTGAAGGAATGCAATAAAATTCTCCAATCCACAAAAATCCGCAGAGCCAGTGAAATAGAAAACGCTAGTCACTTCCATGAAGACTTTTCCAAACCTGAAAAACATTCCTGCCTTATCGCAATTTCTCCTCCACGTCACAGTATAATGTTATGATATGACTATACTTTGACCATATCACACTGACAGTTTCCTTGAAATTTCGCCATTTGAACACATGCTCAGACAGTATTGAAAGGTAGAAGTAGTAACTCTGGAGCGATTAGTATTACTTCATCTGAAGACACCAACTTGGTTGATGAAAGGCTCGTCAGTAATTGTATTCGTCTTGAGCTCCCGACCATGGGTCGGAACGTCCTTCCTCCTCTAAAAAGAGTAGGAGGAAAGATTCACCTTTCACACTCTGCAGGTCTATCTAGAGTACCTTGATGAAATTGTTCAGATTGTAGTTCTTGGTGGAATGTCTTTTTAGTCAATGATAACTGCCAATCAGCAACCAGCATATGGATAGGTTAAGAAAGTTGTTAGCTGTAAAAAAGACATTGAGGGGAGCCGGAAATATCGCGAAAAGATACACTTCTCGATTATTTGCAAATCAAATTGAACTTCATGTCTCGGGGAAAAGATTTTCCATCAATTTTTGAAGGTGATGAAGCTATTGGGTTGGACTTCGTTGTAGACAATTGCGCAACAGTTCATTTCAAAACAGATCGATGAGGGGAGCTTAGCGATGTGCAGCTCGTAGATGGAAGCACCACACCACTGGATGCCCGAGAGTTGTATACTTGGCTCAGAGTAGAACAACGTCAATGTCAACTATAGAAACAAGAACAAAGACCGTACTAGAAATATGCTTGTCGATCTGATCTTATACTTTACTCTTTTGGAGTGGGGAAGTGGGCTCAGGAGAAACTATACCAACTCGAAGTGAAGACCCAAAAATGATGGGGATTCATGGAAGTTTTCATTCTAAATCATACAAATGAAAGGCCATGGACTTCTCAGTTCGAAGTGTTTACGTATAAAAATGGCCAGTGACTGCAAAGAAATCATTGGTTGAGATTAGAGCATTTTCATTCAAGGCAGTTGCCCGAGCTTCGTTCGAGTTTTGCTTCACTCCTGCCGTTACATGGGATCTTTTTTGATAACATTGAAGACCCCGGCACATCCAAAAACCTAACCTTTGCTTTCCTTAGGTCACGCGAGGAACTCGAAAACTGAATGATTTCCGATGAACTTACCATTAGCATGTCTTCAACACTTTGGTCTATTGTATTCGGTGCAATTAATATGGAGGTTCCTGATATCAAATGAAGGATCTTCCTCGAGGAACCTGAATCACTATGCACTTACTGTGAGCATGTCTACCACATGTGCTGTCAGCATGTCTAGCACATGCGATTTCAGTTTATATCCAAAGACATCACACATTTTGGTTCACACACATTGTTTCGCCGATATGCACTCTTTGATTTTCTTTGATAATATTGAAGATTTCGGCACATCCAAGAACATGATCCTTGCTTTTCTTAGGTCATGCGTGGAACTCGAAAACAGGAGTTCCCATGAACCTACCATTAGCATGGTTTTAAAACTTTGGTCTATTGTAGTACGAGTAATGAGTACAAAGGTTCCTGATATCAAATGAAGGATCTTCCTCGAGGAACCTGAATCACTATGCACTTGCTGTGAGCATGTCTACCACATGTGCTGTCAGCATGTCTAGCACATGCGATTTCAGCTTATATCCAAAGACATCACACATTTTGGTTCACACACATTGTTTTGCCGATGCATGGGATTTTCTTTGATAATATTGAAGATTTCGGCACATCCAAGAACACGATCCTTGCTTTTCTTAGGTCATGCGCGAAACTCGAAAACAGGAGTTCCCATGAACCTACCATTAGCATGGTTTTAAAACTTTGGTCTATTGTAGTACGAGTAATGAGTATAAAGGTTCCTGATATCAAATGAAGGATCTTCCTCGAGGAACCTGAATCACTATGCACTTGCTGTCAGCATGTCTAGCGTATGCGATCTCAGCTTATATCCAAAGACATCACACATTGTTTTGGTTCACTACTGCCGCTACATAATGCCGATACATTGTAACATTGAAGACCTTGTCACATCCAAGAACCTGACCTTGGCTTTTTTTGTGTCATGCGAGGAATATCTATCTATCTATGTAGATAGACAACCTGTAAACGAACCTGTAACATTCACCAAAAATAATTGTCAACAGAAGTTTGATTTTCTTGTCGGTAGCCAGATGGTTCGACGTGGGTGCTTTGTTCACTCACTCGTATTTACTGTATGGGGGCTATTTTCCGGGTTTTCTGGCCGTGGTCTGCAGGTTTTATTGCCTGACGATTTGTCTACTGCTGCGGTAGATGATATTTTCAAAGGCGATAAGGTAACGGTCGCACCCGAGCTGGTGTCAGTACGGAAATAGTAGTTGATGCGTTGAATACAACAGGAACAAGAACCAGAGCACCAGCTCGGGTATAGCGACCGTTAGCACATCTCCTTTGAAAATAGCTACCACAGCAGTAGACGAAACGTCAGATCACGGCCAGAAAACCCGGAAAATAGCCTCCATGCGTAGGTATATGGTTACGACATCGAAATCATACTCCAATAGCCCCATTGGAAGAGCCCAGGACATCCAAGACTAAAAAACACGCCATTTCGTTCAAATGTCAAGGTTTTGGTCACTGTTTTCTTTGATTACCGTGGCCTAGTGCATCGGGAGTTCTGGCCACATGGTCGTGCGGTCAATAATGAGTATAATCTTGAAGTTATGCGCCACTTGCAAGAAGCATTACGAAGAAAACGTCCGGTATTGTGGAAGAACAATTCATGGCTTCCGCATCACGACAATGCACCTGCTCACTCTTCATTGCTTGTTCGTGATTTTTTGGCCAAAAACAACACCGTAATCATGCCTCAGCCACCGTATTCACCAGATTTGGCCCCCAGCGACTTTTTTCTGTTCCCATAATTGAATGAAAGAGGGCGTTTTGCGAAGATTGAGGAGATAAAAACCGAATCGCGGAGAGAGCTCATGGACATACCAAAAAGTACATATCAGAACTGCGTCAAGGATTGAAAAAAACGCTGGCACAAGTGAATCATATCTGAAGGGGATAACTTTGGAGGGGACAACATAGAAATTGATAATTTTTTTACAAAAATGACCATTTTTTCCATTTTCTGAACAGACCCCTTACAAAAGTGAATTCACATTTTTCACGACTAGGAAATATTGCCAATAGAGCAAAGGGCAGGAAAATCATACTGTTATACCAATTAGCGTGTAGAGAACACTTCTGCCGAAATGTGTTCACTAGTAGACATTTGCTGCATTTATATATTAGCAAATTTCTATCCAATTCTTTTGTTTTCCTTCACTTTACAGTTGATGCTAGCGCAATCTTGTGGCAATGGTGCACTCGAAAAAGTAGTAACGTGTAGGTAGGTGAAACAACAAATGATTAGAAGAACAAAATTTAATATTCCACGTTCATACAATAAATAAATAAATGACAATCTTAAGTAGTTCTTAAAGTAAGATGCACCAAACCAGTCCGGCTGACTGTGTCACCACAAAACCTGTTCCTTCAAATATTTAGAAGCATATATCTTTCATTTTCAATACTTTTATTGGACGAGCCGGTGCAAACATAATACCCATTCAACAAGCAAGATTGAAGTAACCTTAGATCACTTTCATTACCTATGTGCATTGATAGTAATATAACAGTCCATCATTTTGATTAAAATTCATCTCTCGCATCAAATATGTACCATTATTCTACATAAAAGTGCTATATACAATAATTACATTCTTCGATAATCAGTGCACAGGAATAAGAACTGTCTTGAATACTTGATATTAGTCTATGAGAAAAATAATTTACTGAAAGTTCTATGAGTTTTAGTAGCCTATCATAAATTCTATATTGTGAATTTATAGTCGGGTAGCGTCTTCAAATAAGTTGGCTAATTCTTTGAGATGTTGATTCTTGCTTCCGGTGGCTGTGCTTGCAGCAACAGGTCTCCCAATATAACTACAAAATAAAAATTGAATGAATAATGCTGTGTTATAGATCCATCAATCAAGTCATCAATATATACTAGATGGGATAAAAAGTTCTTAGGCTAACACAGATAGCGCTGCTAGTAATGAATCCATATGATTATTAGTCAACCCTAACCTTCAAAAGAGACGCGTACAAATTTCACAGCTGTTGGACTTATAGTTTATGGGATAGAACATGGATATGGGTAAAAAGGAATTTTGTGTTGATAAAGCATTGTTTTTGGCGAAAAGAAATACTGTCAAAGCCAAGGCTTGGCTTGATAAATATTGTTCGGACTTTGCACCAGGAAAATCAACCGTTGAGAAGTGGTTTGCTAAGTTTAAACTAGGTGAAATGAGCACTGAGGACGATGCACGCAGTTGACGCCTCAAAGATATTGTTACCGAGGAAAACATAAAAAAAGTCCGCAAAATAATTTTGGATGATCTCAATGTGACGTTGTTCAAGATAGCCGAGGCTCTGAAGATATCAAAGAAACGTGTTGGACATAGTGTGCATGAGTATTTGGGTATGCAAAAGCTCTGTTCAAAGTGGGTGCCGCGCGAGCTCACAAGTGAACAAAAACAACAACAAATTGATGATCCTGAGCAGTGTTCGAAGCTGTTCCACCTTAAAAAACTCGTATCTATGCGTCGATATGTGACAATGGATGAAACATGGCCTCATCATTTTATACCGGAATCAAAACGAATGTCATCTGAGTGGACTGCACATGATAAACCGACTCCAAAGCGTGCAAAAACGCAACAGTCGGCTGCCAAGGTTATGGTTTCGGTATTTTGGGATGCACATGGTATAATATTAATCGACTATCTTGAAAAATAAAAAAAAACATCAACAGCGACTATTATATAGAGTTATTGGAGTGTGTGAATGGCGAAATCGCGGAAAAACGGCCCCATTTGAAGAAAAATAAAGTGCTGTTTCATCAAGACAGTGCCTAGTGTCACAAATCAATGAATACGATGGCAAAATTAAAAAAATTGGGCTTCAAATTGCTTCGGCATCCACCGTATTTTCTAGATATGGCCCCCAGCGAAGTTTTCTTGTTCTAAGACCTCAAGAGAATGCTCGCTGGAAACTAATTTAACACCGATGAAGAGGTAATCATCGAAACTGAAGCCTATTTTGAGGCTCAAGACAAATCATATTATAAAAATGGTATCGAGAAATTGTATGACCGCTATAAATCTTGTATCGCCCTCGTAGGCAACTATATTGAATGACTTATCCATTTTTTTTCTGTTAGCCTACGAACTTTTGGATGACGACATAAAACACAAGAGCCAACAAGCTAAATGATTCCACTCTGTAACTAAAATCATACTGAGAAATCTAATGAAGTAAGCTACTAGGATCGAGAAAGCACAGTAACGAAGATATGTTTTTTCCCTCACCTAATTACTCTCGTGTCAGGAACAGCGGTTTGCTCCTTCGGTTGAACGTTTGATTTTTTTTCTCCAAACAATTTACTGAACCAACTTTGAGATTCTCTATGAGGCACGCTAAAACATTCATGATGAATCAAAGACTGTAGCTGTTCACAGAGAAAAATCATATCTTCGATCAACATACGTAATGAGTATTCCGAAAATTGTTCATCACGAAAAATAACTCCACCTAATCAACATTCATATTTTGTTGTCATAAAACTCTGAAAGGATAGATACGTACTACTAGGGTCAAATTTTCCTTCAAATACATATTTAAATTCATAATAACATTTCTCACTTGAATGACCCATTTGCTGTTTTATACAGTGTGTCTCAAATTGTTTTCTACAAATGGAAAACTTTTACTCTTCAAAAAAACTTTTCATCGTACAGGGAAAACCAAAAATTTCGTCTAACTAAATGTTTATATGAAAATAGCTGTTTCAAAAAGGCTTTTTCTTTCATTTTGTGTCTGAAAATTACTTCTTTGCCTGATCTGATCTGTGTGAACTTTTTTATCAAATTTAATTGCTTTCTTCTTTCCTTTGGAAGATTCCCACATTTTCTTCTATGAAGATGGAGAAGTAAAAAACCAAAATCTTTTTTCCCACAATATTTCTTGAATTCCCAGTTTCAAAAATATGAAAGAGAGCCAACAAATGTTGAATTTTTCAAAAGTGGTGGATGGCAATTTTTTTGCAGTTAAGTAGTGCAAACTTTACTTTCTGATAGTAATTTTCAATAATGAATGAAAACAATTATCATCATTATTAATTTCATAACGAAGTACGGTTCCTTTAATGTCAGGATTATCATACACCTATTCCATTTTATTTTATATCAATAGCGTTTCTTATTAATTCAAGTATATTCAGTATAAAAAGCCGATGTCCAGTCTGTACATTTTCATACAAAAAAAAACTCACCATATATCTCTTTGACCTGACAAGGTAGTCTCAAATCTCGGTTGTACATAACTCCAAGCACCTTGGTTTTTGTGTTCTTCTTGTAACCAACCAATTTGTGCATGTGGATACTTAGCACATTCTTGTTTCAGCAAATCGAACGGGAAAGGTGTAATCTAAAAATAAAATCCGAGTAATAAAATAAATCAACAGTTACAAGAAAGAAAACAAAAAAGTATATGTAAAGAACTTTTTCCTTGATTTATTGAACTCAACTTCCCAAACCATACATTCATTACCCACGAAATGAATATGAGCTGAATGAAAACTATATCAAAGGAAGTTCCATTCAAAGGATGTAATTTTTCATCGTTAATTTCAATTAACATGCGTTTCACTACACGGTAACTTCATCAGTTGGACTGGTTAAAAAAAAACAACCCAACATTTCTGAATTGTTGTATACTTTGGTTTCAGAATTATTCAGGGTTCAATAACGTTTTATATCATTTATATTTGTATTTCAGTATTCAGTAAGACTGAGCAGGTCGTAATATTCGAGTTTAAGAAAAGTCAAATAAATGATCTCGTTGTTCTCAATCATTCAGAGAATGAAGTTCTTCAATCTCTGTAGAATAATTGATTCAACAATGTTGCAAATTATTGAACATCACGATGAATTATCGACTGAATGTTTGAAACCTGAAGGCAAGTTTGCCTCAATGAATCTTCGGAAACAACTCTGAGCTCAAATTGCTGAAAAATCTATCCATACAAACGACTAAAAGACTACATGACTATGGAAAATATTATTCTCACTGAAAAATCAAATGATTAACTTGGATAACTCAAATAATGCTCCAATTCTTGACAAGTTACAATATCAAAATGGAAAGAATCAATAGATAAGGGACATTATATTATAGCCGTATTTTCAGATCCTAAAAGAGCTTCTGAGACAATTGATCGCCACATATTACTAAATAAATTGCAGAGTATTGGTATCAGGGAACCTCTTTTGTTCTGGCTGACGGATTATTTATCACAACGCAAACAGGTAACCAAAATGAAGGATTCAGTGTCATCATCTCGCGATGTTGTTTTCGGGGTACCTCAGGGGAGTGTTTTGGGATCTATATTATTTTTAATCTACCTGAATGATATAGATAACATCCATGGTTGTGATTTCATAAACCTTTCTGCAGACGACACTTTGTTATCAATTTCAGGAGATAATATAGAAACAGTAGCCGATCAAATGAATAATGAACTAAGAAATGTTTTCAAGTAATATAGTTCGTAAGTGAATTGATATACTTAGATTTCATGGTGGATAATCGTTTATCTCTTCATGCTCATTTTGATTATATATATATATACAGAAAATTTCTAAAAAATTATATTTTTTCTCAAGAGTTTCATCTCTGCTTTCGATGTACTCCAACCCCATTTTGATTACTGTGCTAGTCTTTTATTCTCATTTGACCAAAATAAGTTATCGCTTTACAAAAATTACAGAATTGTGGAATGAGGATTATTTTACAAGTTTATACGAGTTAGTAATGATATTCATTTTCAAACTAATACATAACTTGCTTTCAACTTATTTTGAAGAATTCTGTATATATAAATCTCAAATCCATAATCACTTGACAAGAGCGAGTAGCTCCCAAAAATTCCACCTTTCTCGAACCAATTTGACTAGTACGATGAAGTTTTTATTTCATAAAGGTTTGAATGAGTATAACAAACTTCAACTTTCGTTGAAAGATTCAATAAATGTTTTCCAATTAAAAAAAACTCATGAACTATATAAAATCTCATCCCTGATTTTCTTTTTTCTGTTTGGTAATATATTTGTTATGTATATCCTCATGTTGAAACCATTCTGGAATCATTGAAAAATGCCTTTCTTTTTTTCCTTCTATCATATCATTTTCGTTATCTGTATGTTTATTTATATATTTTTAAAATAAGGTATGTATATTAGGATGTCCTAAAGAAATCAATAAATATTATTATTATTGTTGAAAAAAGGTGCATAAACCTAGTGTACATTCAATGCAAGAACAAGTTGGCATAAAAATCTTGAATGGAAACTGTTCCACTATCACTATGACAATTCTGCTCAAAAAGATAAGACTAAAAACCAAAAATCATGATAAAAATTACAAATTTTTCACAATATAGAATTTACTGGGAAATATTTTGCCTAAAGACACACCTGAAGAAGCTATATATAGCGAAACACGTGTTGCGTTTTTGTAAAACTGTTCGGTGAAAATCCCACAATGAAGAGTTTTGTGAATACGTTATAGATTCTCAACAAATATGAGCTAAATCCATTCCATATTCCTATTATAAATTACTCACTTGCTCAACACGTGAAACAGCAATTTTCGATTCCAATCCTTTTGCTTTGATTTCCTTCATAACTTCATAATATACTTTCCCGGTACAGAACAGGAGTTTTTCAACCCCGCTGGGATTTTGGCTGGCCGGTCCCTGTTCTGGTATAACTCTTTGGAATTCCGTGCCTTCGTTCATATCATCAAAGGAACTTCTTGCATCGGGGTGACGCAACAAACTCTTCGGAGTCATGAGTATCAATGGTTTTCTGAATGGCAAAGCAATCTGCCTTCTGAGAATATGGAACAAGTTGGCGGGTGTTGTACAATTAGCCACAATCCAGTTGATGTCGTGGAGTTGTCTCACTGCAAAATCGTCACTTTCTGGTGGGAAATAGTCTGGGTCATCGGAAGACATTTGCAAGAAACGTTCCAAACGTGCGCTTGAATGTTCGGGTCCTTGTCCTAGAAGAAAATAGACATTCTGGAATGAACTTTCGATTACGATATGGCGTGTTAACTGATAGTATCTTCAAATTTTCATCATCAATCATCAACATCATGATTTTTCAAGGAATCCATAGGCTAGCAGGCAGGAGTTTACTATTTAAACACTTCAAGTGCAGTAATCATATAAAACAACTAGCTAACCCGGCAAACGTTGTTTTACCACCTAAATTATTTCTACGGTAGAACAAAATAACTAACTCATTGTAAGTGTGTGTCAGAACAATTACACAAATACTATTACTCCTTTAATGCTATAGTGTGTACAATATTTTTCGTTAGTCCATGTTTAGTTAACTCATATAAACTAGATGGTGCCACGTATAACTGTCTGTGTGAAAAACATAGTGTGCTCAAATCCTAGCCACAACCGGACATTGTTTGGCCTTGGGACTTATTAATAGTCAGTGCAAATGCCAATCTAATTGGAAATTGCACACGTTTAAAATAAATTGATACATCTGTAGGTATAATAGGGATTCGTGGTATTAATATATCTTCACCTCGGAACTTGCGATTCAAAATACTAGCTTCGACAACGTTTTTTGATGACTAATGGTGTGCCGTTGCACAGCCGTGGTGGATTCAAATTACGGAGTAATCCAACCTCAAGTTGTAAATTATGCAGTGGCATGCCTGGCAAATCCAATGAGCTAAAAAACTCCGTTGTATATAATTCACAGTTTCGGTGGCATCACAAACTGTATCTACGCTCGATAGATAAACAAAAACAGTGGCCGAAAACTGACTTATTGTGTGAGAGAGACAGGAGACCGGCTTCGTTCTCATCCCTACTCCGTGCTGTTTACTCTGAGTGAATAGTGACACATGTAAACGACTGGCGGGAATAACTGATCTACGATTAGAGTTGAAGGTGCTTAAATTACTGAAATGACTGTTAAAAAATTAGGCCATTTGAATAAGTGCACTTTTGCCAACAAAACACAACTCCATTAATTTCATCAGCATTTCAATTGGGAAGGTTTTATCGGTAACGAAGTTATCGAAGTGCATGAAAAAATGGTAGTCGCTTGGCGGGAAGTCTGGGGAGTATGGTGGTTGAGGCAGAACTTCGACGCTCAATAAGTATAATTTTCCGACGTTAATTTGTGAAACGTACGGATAGGCGTTGTCGATAGGCGTCCAACTCGAAAACTTAAGAATAAAAAAACACTTTGAAATAAAAAATGTTGATTTCTCTCACCTTCCATTCCGTGTGGCAAATATAACACCAATCCTGTCTGCCTGACCCATTTGGCCTGACCGCTGGAGAGCAACTGATCTATGATACACTGTGCAGTGTTGGCAAAGTCGCCGAATTGGGCCTCCCATATGACCAAAGCGTTCGGGTTGGTCATAGAATAACCAAGTTCAAAACCGAGAACACCATATTCTGAAAGAGAACTGTTGCACACTGTGTATGGAGCCTGATCAGGATAGAGGTTGCATAAGGGCCTGAAAAGTCATCAATTAAATGTATATAATGTGCTCAAATGAATATTTATCTATCTATTAACCTATATGTTGCTTTATCGACCGTCTGATGATGCAGCACATGATGTCTGTGGGAGAAGGTGCCTCTCTCGACATCTTGCCCAGACAATCTAACGTGGATTCCTTCTTTCAACAAAGATCCAAATGCCATAGCTTCTCCAAGTGCCCAGTCAGCCATTCTATGTTCTACCATTTCCATTCTAGATTTCAAAATACGTTCAATACCTACAAAATTCAAAGATTTTTTCATTTTGGTTCCGTTCATTTGCGACAAGCACATTTGAAATATTTCACTCATTCACGAATTCCACGGAAAGTTACCTTTGTGTATAATGAACTCTGCAGCATTGGGAGGGGGAGAAGAGAACCTTTTTCCAATGTGAACCAACGTATCTTCAATAACTCCAGTCTTATTGACCTTCAACGGGTCTTTGCCTTCGAAGAATCCTGACCAAGGACTGTCAATCCAATCCTTGTACTTGATGTGAGTTTCTTGCCTGGACTGTTCGAATGCTTCCTCGCAAACTTTGTCATATTTATCTTTGACATCTTTAACTTCATCCTCGGTTACAATTCCCTCATTTATCAACTGATCTGAATATTTTTCCAGGCAAGGCTTGGTGGATCTGATTTTACGGTACATGAGGGGTTGGGTGAACATTGGTTCATCAATTTCGTTGTGTCCATTTCTTCTGTAACAAACCAAGTCGATGACAACATCTTTGTGGAACGTAGATCTCCATTCGGCGGCCATATTACAAACATGAATGACACTTTCCGGGTCGTCCGCGTTAACGTGGAATATAGGGGCATTCACTACACGAGCAACATCTAAAAAAATGAAAAGGTTAAAGGGTTTCAAAGAGGAATTCACATGCCGAGTATTGTGACATACCGGTACAGTATGGGGATGACCTAGAGAATCGAGGATCCGTGGTGAAACCAATCTGATTATTCACAACAATATGGATGGTACCGTGAGTGGTGTAAGCTGGTAATTCTGATAAATGCATCGTTTCAAAAACGACACCTTGTCCAGCGAAAGCGGCGTCTCCGTGTAACAAAATTGACATGACCTAAAATCAAATGAAAGATCGTTTGATTAGACAACAAAAAACTGCTAAAAGTCGAATTATATCACCTTCTTTCCTTCACCGTCTCCTCTATAGAACTGTTCTGCTCTAGTTTTTCCTTGAACAACAGGATCTACAGTTTCAAGATGAGATGGATTCGCAACTACAGCTAAACGGATGTTTTTGTTTGTCACTCGATTCAATCTGCAAAAAATTGCGTTCATTTTCTGCCACTAGACAAAACACTCAAATGTATTTTTTATTTACTCTCGTTTGCTAATGTTTTAAAAGGCTTATAACATGCTGTCTGAAGTAGCTACTCATCTGTGAGAACTCCAGCCCATAATTCAAGAAAAGTATAAAAAAACATTTGACATTTGGTGAAGTCAAAATGACGTCTTTGTACAAACCTCCGAGACCGTTTACTGATAACGACATAAACAAAAATTCGAAATATATCTGAAAGCATCTGATAAATCTGAAATTCAAGAGGATGTTGAGATTGCCATTCTTCTCAATTGTATCGGTGACGAGGGTTTGGCTATATATAATACGTTGGAATACAAGACAAACAGATTCAATCCAGGCTAATAAGGGATTTGGATATAAGTGTAGTGAAGATTATAGAGTATTGTAAATCTATTAAACTTGGTGGAGAGCATCTAAAAACACTACAACCTCAGGAAGAAGTTAACGCTGTGAAGAAAATTCAAAAATTCAGGTGTAGGAAGTATCTTTATGAACATATCCCACTTCTGACACCATGTTATAAGCCTTTTAAAACATCAACAAACGGAAACAAACTTTATTAAATTTTAGTATTATCTAACAGTTTTCGTTCCTTCTAGTTGTACCTCTATTCTTGTTAACTGTCGTCATGACAACCACCCTAGCTTTAATACAGGGTAATGAACATAAAACACCATGATTTTGCTTCCACACTTACCGTTCAATGTAAGTTCCCAAGTGATACTTCACATCACCAGACCCGTCATCGGCGGCTTGAAGTCCAGCAAACTGAGTAAATAGTTGGGGGAGAGGTTTCCGGCAGACATTAGCTAGAACGTTGAGACGACCTCTATGTGGCATGCCCATAACTATGCTTTCCACGCCCAATTCCGTAGATTTATCTATTACAGTCTTCATGGCTGGTATGAGAATTTCGCAACCTTCGAGTCCGAACCTTTTTTCAGACGAATATTTACGAGCCAAGAACGATTCAAATCTAAAAATCAGACACAATTACATCGATGGAATCATTCATGCCTATACTTTATTGAAAAAATAGGGTGAATTTTCATTTGTCTCAAAAATATTCATTTATTCATCAATTTTTATTTTGTTCCCTTCCAAGTAGTCCCCCTCAGATATAATACACTTGTGCCAGCGTTTCTTCCAATCCTCGAATCGGATCTGATATGCACTTCAGGTATGTCCTTCCAATCGTCGTAAAACGCCGTCCTTTCATAGGTATCTTTAATCTTGAGAACAGAAAAAAGTCGCAGGAGGCCAAATCTGGTGAATACAGTGGCTGAGGCATGATTATGGTGTTATTTTTGGCCAAAAATTATGAACATTCCGTTTTTCACAAAAAAATAGTTGCAAATTCTTTGAACCATTTTTTCGATAGCAGAAACTCGCCGAACACGCAAAAAACTTATAACTTTCATGCCTTCCACCAACAAACTAAACAGCTGAAACTGTCAGTGTATGTTTAAGAGGAGTGTACCAACATAGAAAAATCACCAATCGAATGTATGTAGTCCGTGAAATTTGAACTTTCACCTTATTTTTTGAACAGTCTTCTTATAATTTCAAGTTTCAAATTAGATTATACGAGTTGATCTAAAAAATACAATTCCGTGTTCAAAGTCGGGAATATCGAGTTTGGAACCGGAATTTCAAAGTTTGAAGCCAGAATTTCCGAGTTAATAGAAAAATATAATTCAAAGTTTGAGATCTAAAAATCAGCAATGCAGCACATCTCCTTTCCTTCGATCCTGCTGGGTGGCAGTATATGTAAGTTTTTGGTGATTTACTGTATTTTTGATTAACATTGTAGTGTAAGTTTTTTCCTGAAGTATTTTCCTCATTTCGTTACAATAAATATTTAATTAAGTTTCTAGAGTTCTCTCATTATTTGGATGAATGATGAATGGGTGAAACAGCGAATAAAATCCTCTCGTTAATAAGCCAAGCGAGTACTGAGTTGCGACACTATTTTTCATTACAAAAAAAAAAGGTTCATATGGTGTATGTTTTATATTTTTGAAGTAATGTATTCTATTGAGTTATTTATCCTCACAACAAGTTCAAGGTAATGTTTTATTAATTATTCATGCAAATGAATATTGTAGTGAGTATTCTAAATATAGTTTTTCGTATCTATTCATGAATGAATTATAAATTCGAGAACCTTCAAAATAATGTTTTCAAATGCTTTCAACTTCTTTAAAAATAATGAATAACTTAATCTCCTGTACCCATCCGTTTTACGAGGGTGTTCTGAAAACTTTCCGGCCTCAACATGAAGATAGCAACCCTCGTAAATAAAAGCTAGTGAATTTCGTTGTTCATCTGTTGACAGTTAATCACCAAAGTTTCAGTCATTTTAGATACGCGGCTGTTATATATTAGTCGTTTGAGTGAGTTGATGTGAGTGTTTTTATTAAAATGGACAAAATCGAGTATCCAGCCGTCATTAAATATTTGTTTCTAAAGGCAATACGCCTACGCAAATCAAAGATGAAGTGGATTCTGTATATGGGGTCTCTGCACCATCATTTACTACAATGAAGTTTTAGGCAGCTGAATTTAAACGTTGCCGTAAGAGCTTGGGAGACGATGAACGTTTGAGACGTCCAAAAACAGCAACTACCGACGTCAAAGTTCGCCAAATAGTTTTAGACGACCGCCGGATTAAAGTGAGAGATACCAGAGGCTATGAACATGTCAAAAGAACTGCCCGCGCGTTTGGTGCCGCGTTTGCTCACGTTAGACAAAAAACGTGTTCGAATGAACTTTTCCACCGCTCTCTTGGCGCAGTTTAAAGGCAATAAATCCGAGTTTCAGCGTCGATTAATTACAGTGAACTGCAAAGGGGAGCCCGTCTTCAAAAAAAAAGTAAAAACTGTTTATCGGCTGGCAAAGTGATGACGACTGTTTTTTGGGATAGTCATGGAGTTATGTTAATCGATTATCTTCTTTCCAAGGGAGCATGCTACGCATCATTACTTGCCAAGCTAAAAGCAGAACTTGCGGAAAAACGGCCACATTTGCAGAAAAAGAAAATCCTATTGCACCAAGAGAACGCACCGTCTCACACTTCAGCGGTTGCCATGGCGAGAATCTGCGAATTACGGTTCGAACTGCTTGACCATCCACCTTACGCACCAGACCTAGCCCCAAGCGATTTGTTTATATTCACTCATCGAGGACAGAGATTTTCGTCAAATGGAGAGGCAATCACATTCTGAACAATTTTTTTCTGAGTAAAACGTCAAGTACTATTTGTACGGGTTACAGAGATGGAAGCATCGCTGGGAGAAGTGTGTAGAGTTAAAAGGAGACTATGTCGGAAAATAAAAGAAAAATCTGAAAAAATGTCTTGAATCTTTGTTAGGTCGGAAAACTCTTTAGATCACCCTCGTATATAGTGTGTAAAAGCCAAATGGAATAAATTAATTATTTCGGTTACTGTACATATTTCAAAAAAATCCCGAAACACATCAAATATACATTATAATTTGACATTCTTCAACGTACAACCCCCATTTTTTTAAATGAGAATATAGGCTTGTGATATATCGTTTGAAAGGTCTCTTCATTCTCTATTCAAAAATGTTATCGCTTTCAAGTTTATTGCAACAATAAAGATAAAGTAAATTAGAATCATGTGGCTACCGAAATTCGATAAAATAGGCTCAAAAACTAAAATGTAATGCAAAACGTAATGAAATGTAGAATACGAAAAAGAACTATGGATGTTAACGAAGTAATGTTCAAAATGTTCACCGCGAACGTCTTGGCAACATCCTAATCTAAAATAGAACTGTCTAGGCGTGATCGACCTAATCGCAAGCATTATTCATTCTTTCAAGTCATTCAAATCTGAAGGTTTAGTTTTGTACACATTGCTCTTTACATATCCCCATAAAAAGAAATCTAATGATGAAAGATCAGGTGATCGCGCTGGCCATTCAATCGATCCTCGCCTCCCTATCCACCGATTGGGAAATGTTGTATCGAGGTATTGCCGGACATTAACTTGGTAATGTGGTGGTTCTCCATCCTGCTGAAACTATATCGTATTCACTGGAACTTGAGGGTTTCCTGGATCAGGATATAAATTTGCTAAACTTGGAATGACATCATTTTGAAGTAGTGCCAAATTATCGACATTCAAGTTGCCCTCATTGAAAAAGAGACCAATGATATGGTTTCCTACAATCCATGCCCAAACATTAATCTTTTTAGGGTATTGTGTGTGTTCTTCTCTCATCTAGTGAGGATTTTCCGTTGACCAATTGCGGCAATTTTGCCGATTAGCATGACTGTTAAGAGACAAAGTACACTCATCAGAAAACATAACGTCTTCTAATTGGATGATATTGTTATCCAACATGTACATCATTTGCTCACAAAAATAACTTCTTCTATCAACATCATCTTCCATAAGCTCTTGAGTAGGTATCATTTTATAGAGATGCATTTTATTTTCTTTCAATATGTTTACTGTCGATGTATGGCTAATATTGAATGTAGTGGATGCCTATCTATTCGATGTATGTGGGTTTTCCTCAAACTCAAGCATCATATCTGATTTGAGTTCATCACTCATTGCATTGGCAGCTGCTTTTTCATCTGCCCCACGTGACCAATCTCGCGAAACTGCTTCTCTATTTTGCTTATTGTTCCTTATTATCAATACCTCAACATAAAATAAGTTTTGAGTATATTGCAATAAGTTTTGAGTGCATTTTATCGAATTTCGGTAACCACATGATTTTAATTTATTTTATCTTAATTGTTGCAATAAACTTGAAAGCGATAACATTTTTGAATAGAGAATGAAGATACCTTTCAAACGATATATAACAAGCCTATACTTCCCATTTAAACAATTGGGGGTTGTACCTGTCATTCGACGGGGGTTGAAGGTTGGGGTAGCATTTTTCCGTTGAAGTATATCAAATTATAATTTAAATTTGACGTGTTTCGGGATTTTGTTAAAATACGTACCGTAATCAAAATAATTATTTTATTCCATTTGGCTTTTACACACAGTATATCCGACTAACATACTTACCCAGTTGCGCGTGTCAAACGTGCCAAAATGAGTCTTTTTTGATCAGGCGTGAGATCCGTCACGCCAGGTGTTTCGAGTCGTTGCCTTATCCAATTACATTGCTCCAAACTGTTGATAAACATGAATTCGACACCGATATGTCGACAATACGTCAATTCCAATCGGCGTAAAATTTCTCGTAGGGGAAGTGACTTTTCTTTGCCACCAATGAAGGTCGTAGACGGTAGTTTGAACACCCTGTCCATGTCCGTTTCCTCTGTTACAAGTAAAAATAAGTTAAAACGTTTGTCTGAAGGAACCGATTCACCCCAAAAAGTGAATGAGCGTCCCTAACAAGGTGCCATTTTGATTAAGCCTAGTTTACATAGCGGTGCTTGTTCCACGAATTGAATACTGTTTCGAGTATTGAATCATCCCCAAAAAATACTCAACAAACGTTATACAAGTCAGATGTCTTGCAAAAGTAATTTAATTACCGCTCGCTCATGTTTTTACTTACTGATTTCACGAAACTGTTTGCAAAATGGCAACAAGTGTTACGGTATACAATAACTTCCTCAAGCGTCTTCATACTGGCTAAGTTCTACTTAATTTGGGCTTTATAGATACATAGACATACACTTTTATTGTCCAAAGTATGTATAGCACTTTAAAGAATAAAAGAAAAGAAACAATTCAAAAACACAAATACCCAGAAACACAATTTTAGCAAAACTAAGTTCACATATCTAATAGATAAAATATAACAATATAAAATGAAATTTAACAAAGTTTGTAGACAAAATAGTATGTATAGTCCCTTTCAAAAAATGAAAAAAACAAATATACACAATTTGAACATAAGTGGTAGTTTGTGGCTTATTTGCATACTCCTGCGACTCGAAAAAACCCCACAAAAAAGTCTAACGGGGTCAAATCGGGATGCATTGGATGCTCTTGGATCTCATTCAACGAATAGACGTCGTTGTCCATGATCGTTTAACTTCAGTTCCTGGGCCAATTGAATTTTGTACGGGTGCAGGCCCAAGTCACCACGCAAAATTTGCCAAGTTGTGGTCTGCGAAAGGCCGAGTTCTTATGAGGGACGCGAAATCGACTGCCTCAGATTCTCCTGCGTACTCTCACAGACAGCGGCGATGTTTTGATATAACAATTTTATCATTTGCACGTGTTGTTGAATACTTTATCCGCCAATGGTGATTTGGCAAAAGAAACTGAATAAATGACAACTAATTTGACAGATGTATCTTCAACAAGATGGCCGTTATCAATTGTCAAAGTTCGAAAGTCCCTGTTGGAAGACCTTTTATAATGCACTAATTGTAATTAGTTCAATATATGTACATTTCACGGGTTGGAAAAATTATCTTTCATGTTCAATAGTTTTCAATTAGTTTTTACCTAAACTCCGCTGGAATTATTAGTCATTAAGTGTTTGTTTTGATAGTATTTAGCCTGCATGAAAACGCTTGAAGAACCTACTGCGGTTTTGTAAACAATCTAGTGAAAATCTCAGGTTATAGTGTTACTATAATACGTTATGGATTTTCATCAAGTACCTATCATACTACTATATTTTATTCATCGGTTAATCATAAATACCACATTATTTTAAACAAAAATGTCATAAGTCGCGATAGTAATTAAATTACCTCTAGTATCAAATTACCTCTGAATATATCTTGATAATAATTAAATTACTTCGAGTAATCAAATTACTTTTATTTCTTCCTGTATTCATAAATACCACATTATTTTAAACAAAAATGTCATAAGTCGCGATAGTAATTAAATTACCTCTAGTATAAAATTACCTCTTAATATATCTTCATAGTAATTACATTACCTCTGAAAATGTCTTCACAGTAACCACATGATTCGAGTAACAAAATGACCTCTAGTAATAAAATCACCTCTAAAATGTCTCGATAGTAATAAAATTACCTCTGGTAATTGAATTAAATTCATCTACGAATTCTCAAATTAATATTTTTAATTGAAACATATCCAGAGACAAGTGTTCAGAAATTCGTACATGCCTTTGATTCTGTAATCTCATATTCAACATTCATCAATCTCACTGAGGACCAAGAAGTCAATTATCGGTTCTTAAAGCAAATATTTAAGGAATCAAATGATTTTGAATAAGGTTGTAATTGTAGCTATCATTTTTGGCAATGAAACAAAAATTATTCAACAAATTTAATCAATCTTAGGGTATTGTTTTTGTAATTTCAATCCAGAAGAATATACAAAAATGTCTTCAGGTTCCGAAAAAACTGACACTATCTTTCATACAGATAATATTATAATTACCTTGATATTCAATTCTTATATAAAATAATTTATAACCTTCCATTCATCAAAAGTGCCCCAAAAAAAATTATTTCTTCCTGTTCAACTATTTTATTTAATTTTTTTCATAATAACTGACATAAAGTAATGGGTGTTTCACTGCCAAAAACAATTGAACTACCTTATCATTAAAAAAAATAAATATATAAGAATCAATCAGCTTGAAACATTTCCTGAAACTGAAGTAAATACGTTGAGTAGAAGCAAATTCGTACAGCTAGAACTGAAAGAGATTCGTAAGGAAAGGATTAGTAAGTTTGAGATCAAGCGTGTTAGCTGGTATAATATAGCAAAGAGTTATCCCATTACCTTTCAGCTATGTTGAAACTCGTTTCTACCGTCTACTTTATACATTAACAAATATAGAGAAGAAATGAAAACATCTTACGTTGCATAAACTGCTGGACTTGCCTTTTCAATTCCTCTGAATAGGTTCTCGATGGGTTGTCTGGGTTAATAGCAATAAGCAAAAAAAAAACAAATGAAAAAAACAAAATTCAACAGAAAGTCGAACAATAATGAATAACAAATGTTATCGATTCGAATGGTCTAGCGAAATATTAAAATTGAGGACAAATATGAACAAATGTAAAAAAAAAGTTCTTCTGTTTGATATCTATCTACTTTTGTTCCACAAGTGTAATTTATTTTAATTTGTAATCGAAGGAAAACTTTTGATTATCGAATGAAAAAAGTTTTTGAAAAATCGAGGTTACAAAAAACAGTTACAGATTTGCTGCAAAATATTTAGTTGACTACAGAAATGTCGTAATACACCTGCTATCGCTTTACTTTAAAAAAAATCTAGGTATCTTCAAATCAATTTATGAAGTATATACTGACTAGAAAAAAAATTATTTCTCACAATTTTCTCATCATTCGTCCATCTATTTTGATTTTGAACAGATGACGGTCTAACTGAAAACCGAAATTGAATAAAAGGTTTTTTATATCTACATACAGGGTGGGCCATCGAAAACTTGACATGGAGGTTTTGGCTACTAATCTTGCAAATCCTAAAAAACGCTCAGACAGGTCGATTTTCATTGGAAGGGGGAGAATTTGTTGCTCCATTTACAGCGTCGTCACTTCAACCCCGGAGCAGAGTGGTGAACAACCCTTGGAATTTTAATAGGGAAGCGGAGGCGAGTCGCACATCGTTTGAAAGACCTTGGAATTCTCTAAACAACGGTGTACATTTTTTTATGGACGAACCATATCAAATTTAGAGTTGAAGTTACTTACTTTATTCTCATGTTAGCATATGCTCAAAATGAGCACCTCCAGCTTCCATGCAATAATAGAGATTCTGCTGGAAACGTTCTTGAAAATTGTGGAGTATTTCTGGAGTGATTTGGCGACATTCATTTGTTTACAGTAAACTCTGCTTTTCAAATGACCCCACAGAAAGAAATCTAACGGCGAAAGGTCTGACGATCGTGGTGGCCATTCGATAGTGCCCCGCCTCTCAATCCAGTGATCCGGAAAAGTCTGATCTAAATACTGCCGAACAGGCAGAGCATAATGCGGACGAGCCCCATCTTGTTAAAATATTAACAGGTCCTCCCGATAATTGTGGTCATGTTCAATAATATCAGTGAGAAGGGGATTCACATTATCTTCCATGAGCTCCAGATACATTTGTCCGGTTAAATTGCCTTCTAAAAACAATGGGCCAACAGCATGGTCACCAAAAATTCCAGCCCATACATTTAATTTTTGTGGACGTTGAGTATGCACTTCATGAAAAATGTGAGGATTTGAATCAGCCCAATAGCGACAATTATGGCGATTAACTGTGCCATTTAGAAAAAAAGAGCATTCATCACTGAAGCAAATGTTGAAAACAAAATGTGGATTTTCCACCGCTCGTTCAATAACCAACTCGCATAATTGCAAGCGTCGATCGAAATCATCTTCATTCAGTTCTTGCGTTAATTTACTCTTGTAAGGATGCATTTTGTGGGTTTTTAAAATACGCCGAACGCTAGTTCGTGACACCCCGGAAACAAATGCTAACTTCTTGTGTTCAAAGTATGGTCAAGCTAAACATGGCCCAGAATTGCCACTTGTGTCGCCTCATTTGTTACTGCTGGTTCGATTTGTCGTTTTTTATTTGCTACAGATCCAGTTGCGCGAAATTTTGCAATAAAATCGAAAACATACTGTCGCGACACATTTTTCCCATGTTGTTGACTGAACAGTTCAGCGGCTCTCGCAGCACAACGTCTATTTCCATAGTACAGTTCAGTCAACTCAACCCTCTCTGCAGTTGTGTAAACCATTGTTTCTTTAGCAACACTATACGTCACTCACTACTAGTAATCATGTAGATATCACTTTTAACATAAAAATGAGAAATAGAAACATCATTTCTAACCATTTCTAAATTGTAATAGTCCTCTTATCAGAGAAGAACTAAAAAATTGTTGCTATTAACAATATTGAAGAAGGTAATTATCGGAAAGAACTCTTTTAAATACGTCCAAATTTGTTTGTTTAGAGAATTTCAACATATTTCAAACGATGTGCGACTCGCCCCCTATTCCCTATTAAAATTCCAAGGGCTGTTCACCCCTCTGCTCCAGGGTTGAAGTTACGACGCTGTAAATGGGAAAAACTGTCCCCCTCCCAATAAAAATCGACCTGTCTGAGCGTTTTTTTGGATTTGCAAGATTAGTACCCAAAACCTCCATGTCAAGTTTTCGATGGCCCACCCTGTATAATTCATTCCATACATATTCCATAAATATTATGTTGTTTTAAAAGTTTTGTCCGTTTTATTGTCATGTGTTTTGGTAGCTCCTCCACATCTCAATGAATATATATTCCAGTGTGTAGTGGTATATACTGGTCGATAGAGAATTTCAATCCGACATTCGGCGATGACCGTGTTGATGAACGCCCTATTCGACGTTGGTTTGAGAAATGTCGTTCTGGAGATTTTAGCCTCAAAGATGAGCCCCGAAGTGGTCGACCTACAATAATCCAAGACGAGGATTTGAAGACACTGGTGGAGACTGACCGTTGCAACCGGCACGTGGGTAGGCGGAAGAACTGGGCGTCAGCTCCAATGAGTTTATTGATGGTTTAAAACTTATTGGACAGGTCAAGAAAGTCGAAAAAAATTGTCACGTTTCGAAATATGTTCTTCTTTGCTTTTGAGCAACCAAAACGATTCTTTTTTGGATCGGATCGTCACGTGTGATGAAAAGTAGATCCTCTACGACAACAGGAGACGTTCAGGACAGTGGATGGATACCGATAAGCCACCTAACCACTTCTCAAATGCGAAAAACCATCAAAAAAAGAACACGGTTACTGTATGATGATCAGCGGCTGGTGTGATTCACTATAAGTTTCTACAACCGACCCAAACCATCACATCGGAGTCCTTTTGTGAGGAAATCGACGATATGTACCGAAAATTGCGTCAGCAGTAGCAAGTACTGGCCAACAAAGAGACTCGATCCCGCTCCACGTTTCACAAATCATCGTCCAAATATTAAACGAATTGATCGTCGATGTTCTGCCTCACCCACCATATTTCTCAGACATCTCGCCAACCAACTACCATCTTTTCAAGCACTTCGATAACTTTCTCGCCTTTAGAACCTTCGACAATCAGGATCAGGCCCGTGGGTTGGGCTACCTATTGGGCGCGTCCTCAGATGGCGGATGGGGAACGACCAGGGGACTGGAGGCCCTGTCCGGGAAGCCAATGTGGCCTTACGGACGGGACAATGTGGCTTTACGGACGGGGTCGCCGGACTCCTGGTCAGTGGCAGAAATAAGTAGGGTGAAGGGAACCAAAACTTCGCCAAAACCTTTGCAAAACATGCCACCGTGGACCGGCCTACCCAAGCTATCGTACCGACAGCTGAATGGCCGCAGGGTGAAATGCGGTTACGAACGATCCTATTGGGGAACCGGGCAAACCCTATTGTAATCAGCCTACCTCTGGTAATGCGGGGCTCTGCCAGAGGTGACAATTCTTCCCTTGCTACTCGTGGGAACTCACATGAATGAAACGAACACAAAAACAGAAACAACAAAAACCAATCCCGAGTCTGGACAGAAGTGCTCACCCCAATCTACCGCTTGGAATGAGGCTGGACCTAGCAGATCACCTCGTGATGTTACAAAGGCCAAGGCGTAAGTGTATTACCTCGTGATGTAATACAAAGGCCAAGGCGTAAGTGTATTTGCGGCGCCGAGGCCAAAAGGAGAAAGAGAGCGAACGAGGCAGGACTGCCAGCAACTATAAGAGCACCCTCCTTCTCCTGTCCCCTACACTTCCAACAGCAAGGGCACTTCCTGCGTCGGGCGCCAAGAGCTCCGCCTTGAAGAATAAAGGCAAGGAACCGGCTGCCCCTGCAGGAAAGCTCCCTCACTTGTGCACCTCCACGGAGAGAACCCCAAGAAGGTTGAAGAAGCCGCGCAACGACAGTAATGTCGCTGTACCTTCGAAAACCTTCGCGGAGGCCACCGTACGACACCTCAAGGTTGTCAAAGAGAGTGTGTGCTCGGCGTGTCTTGCCCTACACCTGCCAATATAAAGGAGATGTCTCCTAGTGACCTCTTCACCTTCCTGGAAAGGTCAGGATGGACGATGACCTAGGAGGACAACTCTTTGGGAGGATGTACAATGGGTTACATGTGACCTAAGTGCCTCCCTACTCTACAGATCAGGATCAGGCAAAAACGGCCTTCGTCGACTTCATTGACGTTGTTACGTTGGTAAAAGTGCACTGATTCAATCGACGCTTATTTCGATTATATTGAATTAGTATTCACGGAGATATTACAGTTCAAAGAAGACTCATGAAAAGGGACAAAACTTTTGAAACAACTAAATAGTTTGAAATTGTTGAAAAAGTTACTTTGTAACAAGTGCTAGTGAGACTACTGTCCGAATAAAAGAGTTGCATTGTAATTTTCTCTACATAAAACTAGACTTTTATTTCTGAATGCCAAAAACAAGACTTCCAAAACTTGAAACTTCCTCAGCCATCAAATAAAAAATTTTATTCAGTTTTTATCCTCACTATCCCCCACAGGTGACCAATATACACTCCTTTATTCCATCTGTCCATATAAAATAATGCCACCTATCTCTATCATTTGTGTACAGAATCTCAATTCATTATGATATGAATTATTTTCAATTCAATTCAAATTACAATTAGTTGAATGAGTAATTCATTTTTATCACTGATAAACTGCAGACAATAATAACGGTACATTTAATGTGTATCAGATTCGTTACAAAATTGCAACATATAAGATAAGTCATTACTTGATGATTAATTCCAAAGATTTTATCTCGCCACACAGACCTATATTTCAATAATAAGAAAAATATCAAATGAATTTGTCAACTATCTATTCTAAGAACCTCATTTTAAGCTGTAACAAGTTATATAGTCGGAGAAGTTAGCATTCAAAATGAAAATACTGTTTTTGGAAGCAACTATATCAAATTATATTGAAGGTTCACAATTTTTTTGTAAAATTCAAGATAAATAAATAGGTCAACCTGTAGAATTGGATTTCACTAAAGCAAATTCAAATCCAAGATAGAGTGGATGTAAACATTGACATTTATTGATTTACATTTGTTTTACTCTATCTTGGATTTGGATAGACTTTAGAATGTGAAAAATGTACCAAAGTCTGTATCAGGTTTTCAGCATTTTCCAAAGTCCCGACTTAGCAGTTGACGTGAAGATTACTCACCAGATGAAGTAATCGGTTTGTTGAGAAGCTGGGATATTTTGCCCGAGCTTGAATAGTTGGGAGTCATAATAAACCCTCGCGGTTGCAGTGAAGGGTCGGATTGACACATTCACTTTGGACCTACCTACAAACCTACTTAGTTTTTTCAAAGGTCGCTAGAAGTTACAGAAAACGAAACAAGTCATGTAAAATTTCTCTCACAAGTTGTTTTCATTTCCTGAGAATGTATGTTTTGTGACTTGCCATGCGTGCCACGTGTATGTTCAAATGACCAACAAATAACTATTACTTAATAATTGATGGCTGAAGAAGTAAAACTGAACATTCAAAGATGTATTCATATGACACTTTAATGGGATTTTCGCTGAACAGTTTACAAAAATGCGACATGCGGTTCACTATAGAATAGCTTCTTCAGACGTGACTGGTACTAACTAACAATTTCTATATTATGCTTTTTATAAATCATAGTCATCTCAATGACTATTACTGTTGGATAAATTTAGGAACAAACAAATTAAACTGAGCATAAAATAAATACCAAACTACCCAGAGACCTGTAATCACCATAATTAAGATATACGGTAATTGCCATATTTATCATTACAAAACTAGTTTAATGAATGGTAATCATTTAAATTCATTTGGTCATTGAGTAGAACTTCTAAATTCTTAAATCTAGTAATTTCCAACCATTCCAAAAAATTGTGTTAAAAGGTATAAACTTATGTAGTAATTTTATTGGACATATTTGTCAGATAGTAATAGTTATCAAGATTCAAATTACTATAATATAGGGTCTTGGATTGAGCGCTTTTATCTTTAAATCAAAATAAAACAAAGTGTGTCTGAGATATCATCAACATTTTTCATTCGTTCAACTTAAATTCCGGTTTACGCCTGAGGAAACTATTGTATATGAGTTTAGGCGGTTTACACGTGTCGCGGTTTATTTGTTATTTGAATATATTGTAATGATTTTCAACAAGTTCCATCACATTGATTCAAAGATGTGTTCATATGGAAAGTAAACAGAAAGTGAAATATAAACAGAATAATCTCACAACACGGTGATGAATGCAGTGATATTAGGTAGCTACTAACAGCTAACATATTCAAGCATTAAAGAGTGATAAATGAGCAATACAGTTGAAGAAAATATTAAAATGTTGAGATAAAAGATTAGTGGCGAAGTCTTACCAAAGTTGTAGTTTCTGTAAACCAAATCTTGGGGAGTTTGGTCATCCAAATCTGCACTGTTGATTCCTAGAGGATCCAGTTTCGCAATATGGTGGCCTCGTATCTAAAAATTTGCCAACACCTGTCTACCCTTGTCGAGTAAAAAAATATATGAAGCCCATAACGGCCCAAGTGACAAATCAAAAATTTTCTCTCCGATTCACATACTTACTTCCTCATATATTTTGCGGTATAGCTGAAGAATTAGTAACGTTTTTTTAAATAAATATTTGAGTGGGTAAACATGAATGATTAGGGAGTGCACAAAATCTACATTAATATAAAACTACCCAATTAATGATTCTGTTCATTAGAGTTTTTTCTGAAAACATATAATTTTTTATAAATTAAAATACAAAAAAACCTTTGATTCGTCATTTTAACAAATTTACAAGCTCCTNCAAAAAAAACCTTTGATTCGTCATTTAAACAAATTTACAAGCTCCTCGTTCCCATACAACAAGCAGATATAGAAACATGCCTCTAGTACACGAAGGGATGTTAGTAAGCACATCAAATGTTATGGAAATGATGCAGACATTAATGCGTAGAGATAATACAACATAATCCTATGAATGTTTCAAACTGAACGACCCACTTTATAAACGAAAATAAAAATGTAAGGGGTCGTACCTAATTTATGCTGACGTGTGATAACATCAGGTGGAGAACCTTTGGTTTCTGTAATGGTGCTACTGCGATCAGAATACATGATAGCCAAAGGATCCAGTTTAGCAACTAAGTGACCGCGTGCCTAAGACAATGAAATAGTAGAGCAAAGGATCCAAGAGATTTCAATGTCAAAAATGAATTGTATGATACGAGTTGAAAGATTCATCTGATGATCCCACATGGTAACACGTATCTCAACCAATATTTGAGTTTTCTAGCAAGGATTGAACACAAGTTCAATTGATTAGTCGAAAAGAGGTCCCAAGACTTTGATTCAGAAATATAAAAACGTTATTTCATTCATTTCTTGGTGAATATTCCATATACATATATATCTTGTGTCACTTTGAAAACTTGTAATTTTTAGGTTAGATCCTAAAAAAGTGAGGTTACTCGTGGTTCAGCCTAGCGCCACTGATGAGACCTATGGCAGGTCGAAAAAGAACTGTCTGGTGTCAAATCACGAAAGCTTTATCTTTGAACTCTGTTTCCATCTAACCAAGTTTCAGAATTGACAAAAGATATACCTACTTTCAAGTGATAACCATTTATGTTAAGAGTGCAAAAATGCAATAAAGATTCTTATTAGGATTCAAATATACAATAACAAGACCCCGTTAAGTTCATACTGCTTATAATACTGAGTTATAATACCCTAGGTTAAGGAAAACATTACGAATACATGAAATAAAAACCTGGACACAAATTCCCCAAAACACCTTTTATTTGATTCACTTCAATATCCCTCATGCAACTAATCTATTAATGACATAACCGATCAAGCCTTACAATCGAACCAATGATTTATGATACTGGTATATCTTTTGAAATGTTCTCGAACAATAATAAAATTTTCGCTAGATACTGTAACTCAAAAAATGGTTGGGAAAATGAATCTTCAGTGCTGAAACCTTAAAAATAATATGAATACAATTTCTGGATCAAAATGAGTATTTCAGATGAGAAAAAAAAACGTATGTAAGTATATACACTATGTCGAACCATCAAAGTCAGATCTGTGTCGAATAAAGAAATCGATGGCGGGAATATAAGAGACAAGAGTCCATGTTATAGAAGTTGATAAAATGGCTGCACTTTAGTTATGGGGACCATGCCCACAAAGAGGCGTGGCATAACCTAACCTAACCTCATCTAACCTAACCCTAACCTAACCTAAAATTCTAATAAAACGTTCAATTTTTTTCTCTCAGCTCAGCCTCAGTGACGCAGTAGTAGCGCCTATGCGTATGGGGGTTCAAAAGTCAATTCAAATCAAAGTAAGTACCTAAATATTAAGCACTAATAAAAGTTTTTTTCATTTACTCGCCCTAAAACCCCTACCACTATGTTCCTCTCAACACCCCATTTCGGTTTTTGTGCCACACCGCCTTGCGGGCGTGGTCTCAGTAACTTAACTCATGCCATAAAAATTAATTATAGATTTTTAAAATAAATTTCATTTTATATTTTGCTAACATCTAGAAAACCACGTTCCAATTGAAGTCTTTTTAATCCAAAACAAGTGAAATTTACATGTCTGCAAACAACATGGAATCAATATATATTTGAGATTTTTTTCAACCAACAATATACAGTGTGTCTCTCGCCGATTTTTCATTAGCAGTTTGAGATGAAAGAGTGGAGTTATCGAAAAACGTTTCATATAAAAGATCCAGATATCAAAATCGACTGCATGAAGCAGATCTCCACAACAAAAGGCCACTTAGATGTCCACCTTTGTCGATATGATAATGATGGAACTAAAACTTTTAAACATCTTCATGAAAAGCAGAATCTGAGTTTTCATTGAAGATATAGACGGTTGAGTAGATGTTTTTGTTGTTATTTTGGAAGTAATTTCCGAATCTCTCGGGAAATAACCCAACAAACACTGTCTCATTCCATTAAAAAAACCTAACTTTGATATGACACGCTTCTACTCGATACCCCATAAAATTGGAAAATATTTCCAATATTTTATATGAAACATTCTTCGATAAATTCATTCCTTCATCTCAAACTTTTGATGGAAGCTTGAATGTGACCCACACTGTATAAAAAGTATATATTTTGTTGAACTGTTGGGATCTGGATATAAGAGAGCTTTGTTCCTACATACTCAGCAGCTTAAAAAGTGTGTTAATTTGTTCTTGATGTTGATTGAAGGATCTGGAGATGATATTAAAAATATTCAATAATGAATATTTATTCAAGTGTGCTTCAACATTAGAAATGAAAAATAAAATGTGTGAATCATGTGAATAAGACTATAAAATATTCTATGAAGCCAAACTCAACACAACTTCTGCAGGTTTTCTCCATGTATGTTCATTCGTATGAAGATAGTAGCATCACAATGAGGTACATGCTACTAGACTATAAACTCATTACCTTCCATCAAATCACATTTCAAATGAACAAGCAAAACCATGAAATTTGCTAACTTTGAATGAAACAAACAAAGCTGAAAATAAATGAATGAATTTCCAACAAAACAATATTGGGAAGAATTCTGTACATGGCCAATGACAAAAATCGTGGTTGATATCGTTTACCTCTTTCACTAATATTACTTACTGCAATGTACTACATGAGCTGAAAAGTCTCGGACCTAACACATATATAGGTCTAGTCTTATTGCAACTTATTCACAACTTTTTCAGTTAATAACAGGTGATTTTTTAAGAGGTATAGGATTTGATTTTCGAAACAACACAAAAAATTTGAAAAAATTGATGAAATCTTCATTGGAGTCGATTGAACGATCAATATAATTTGATGTTTGAACATGATTTCATGCAAATGTTGTCCGCGGCTCCTCTTTATATGGCCCAAGGTCCAATTTTGGCACACTTTCTCTAACATATCGATCGGTATTTCACGTATAAATGCTTCAATATTGGCTTCCAGAGGGTCAGTCGTTGCTGATTCATCCCTGTAGACATGAGCCTTAACATAACCCCACATGAAATAATCCAAAGGCGTTAAATCACACGATCTAGGCGGCCAATTGACGGGCCCCAAACGTGAGATAAACTGTACACCGAAGGCGGCTCTTAATTGGGCCATTGTTTCGCGTGCCGCGTGGCATGTGGCACCGTCTTGTTGAAACCACATGTCAGGTATGTCCAATTCTTCCATTTTGGGCAACAAAAAGTCGTCAATCATCACACGGTAGCCCTCGCCATTCACAGTAACGTTCCGGCCATTGTCTTTGAAGAAGTACGGCCCGATGGTGCCACCGACCCATAATCCACACCAAACAGTGACTTTTTCGGGATGCATCGGTAGCTCTTGCAATGCTTGTGGCTGGTCTTCCCTCCAGGTGCGGCAATTTTGCTTGTTAACGTATTCATTCAACCAGAAATGAGCCTCGTCGCTAAACACAATTTTTCGATAAAAATGTGAATCTTCCTCCAACTTTGCCAGCGCCCATTCACCAAATGTTAGACGTTGTGGGAGGTCGTGTGGCTTCAATTCTTGCACCAGCTGCTGTATCTTATAAGGTTTTACACCCAAATCCTTTAGCAAAATTTTCCACGTAGTGGAGTAACAGAGGCCCAATTGCTGCGAACGGCGGTGAATCGACATTGCACGGTCATCACGAACACTGGCGGATACAGCCGCAATATTTTCTTCGGTCCTCACTCTACGTATGCGTGTTGGTGGTTCAATGTCCAATAATGTAAACTGGGTTGGAAATTTAGTCACAAGCTTCCGAATAGCTCCCTCAGTAAGCCGACGAAACTGCCCACAAATTGGAAGAAGTGCACGATGCACTTCCTTCACCAAGCATGAATTTTGATAATTGAATTCAGACCAAACTGAACAAAATTGACAATGACACAAGACACGATTCACGCGTGATCTGTCAAAAACAGTGTTGCCAAAAAGATCACTCATTACTAACCTTCAAAAGAAAACTGTTGGAATTTCATGATATTCTACTCATAAGTTGAGTAAGAGTGACATTACTTTTGTTATTTTCAAAACAATGGGTCAAAAACAATTTCGTGTTTTGATTTTACACTGCTTCTTGATGGGAAAAATACCGCTCAAGTAAAGCAATGGCTTGAAAAGTGTTATAAGAACTCCGCTCCATCAGAAACATTAATTGAACGTTGGTTTACTAACTTCAAACGTGGTCGTAGGGACACCGATGATGCAGAACGCAGTGGATGCCTAAATGAGACAGTAACACCACTGAGATTGTACAGATATCAAAAGAACGTGTTGGCTTTGTATTGCATGAGCATCTGACTATGCGAGCTCACTGTTGAACAAAAACAAAAACGTCTTGATGATTCTGAGCAGTGTTTGGCCATGTTTAAACATAACAAACCAGATTTTTTGCGTCAATATGTGACAATGGATGAAACATCACTTCACTCCGGATTCAAAATGATCGTCATCTGAGTGGAGAGCAACTGGTGAAGCTCGTCCAAAGCACCCGAAAGAACAACAATCGGTTGGAAAGGTTATGGCCTCGGTATTTTGGGATGTGCGTGGTGTAATATTCATCGACTATCTTGAGAAGGGAAATGCCATCAACAGTGAATATTATATAGCGTTATTGGAGCGTTTGAAGGCCAAAATTGCAAAGAAACGACGGCATATGACAAAGAAAAAAATTTGTTGCATCAAGACAACGCACCGTGTCACAAGTCAATCAAAACAATGGCAATACATGAATTGAACTTCGAATTGCTCCCAAATCCACCGTATTCGCCAGATTTGGCTTCCATCGACTACTGGCTGTTCCCAGACCTCAAAAAAATGCTCACCGCTGAGAAATTTCGCTCGAATGAAGAGGTTATTGCTTAAACTGAGTGAGGCCTGTTTGAATAAAGCCAAAAAACAATTGAAAATGTCAAAAGTAGTGCTCAATAACTGAAATAAAAAAAAAATGAAATAATTGGAATTAACAATAGACTCATTGAAAACTTCAAGTCAGAATTCTTCCCACATATTACTAAAACAAAAAATCTGGAAAGTAAAAAATTACGAACATACCTGATAACTTCTGATGATGGCTTGAACGGCTAAGTGATCGTCGATGACTTTTTCGCTGATTTGACCACCACCAAGAGATAGGGATCCTGCCATAGGCAGCAGGGAAGTGGCGGGTATTTCATTCCTCCCCAAAGGTGCTAATGAAGGGGGTGGTTGATATCCTGGACCTCCTTGGGCTGAGTTTCGGAAAAAAGAATCCCAAGACTGCAAAGTATCGTTCAAAAATCCACAAAATCACAATGACGAGGATCATAAATATATCAATGTAAAACCATGACCATAAAATTTGTATTGAACATCATTATTTTGAATATGTAGTGAGTTTGAGATCAAAGAACCAAAAGGAAATGATAGACTATAGTTTTATTATCTACTGACTCACCAGAATTGATAAATACTGATAAAATGCAACTTATTATGAAGTCTTGTGCAAAGTGTATGGCCGTACACGATACATGAGCCATTCTGAATGCATTTATTAGAAGAACTAAGAGGATGAAGCTGAGAGAATTCATGATTTCATATTTCCACAGTAAATTTTGACAGCCCAAATAACATGACATTTTCAACTCTAAAGGGGCTTTCACGGAGCTTTGTTTGTCGAGCGCTACACTTTCTTTTACCTGTACGAGATTTTATTTCACTTATTTTTATGAGAAAGAAAGCGTCTTATTGATCAAAAATCAACTTTATTGTGGTAAAAAAGCTTTGTGAAAACTTATTGACAATCACTATCATTACTTATATTTTCTAAGACAAATGAAATGTAAATGTGACAGAATTATACGTTTTTTTTTGTATAAAGGATGTTATGATGTTTTCAATCCAGATTTTTAAATTTGCTGAAAGTTGAATAAAGAACGAATTTCCTCCATGAAAAACGACTTTTGTTAAATAGGTTCCCGTAGACAAAGATTAAAAATTGTTTGTAAGGGTTTTGCTAAAGTGATTGTACAGTTTTTTTTTTTTTTATTGTGAAGAAATACATATTCCAGCAGATTTAATAAGTCATTACTGAAAAAATTTAAATGTAAATTAATTCCATTCTCTCGGAAACAGTGTCCTAGACAATTTAAAATCAAAACAAAACATGACAAAGCCAAAGATCTTGGGGTCATGTGCACTTGTTGAATATACAATGATAGGTGCATATTATAAATAACAGTTTTGTATTTAGGAGTTCAAAATATTTCGAATGCAAACTTTACATTTCCAACTGATTTGTTCAAGGTTAGAGTAACCGCCCAGTCTTGAACACCTCAAAATCAGTGACAATGAAATTCTATAACAGGAAAAGTAATATTCAAGAAGTTGTTCTCTTTGATGAAATAGATATGTCACATGAAGTCAAATTTTTGGGAACAATTGTGGATGAATCCCTGATTTGGAACTCTCATATTGATAATGTCTTCAAGAGAGAGCAATAAAATAAATGAAAAACTGTGTAGATCAGAAAAGTCTGATGATGAGCACCTTTCCATATTCGTCTTGGGGGTGCGGTTCGGATTTCAACAGGGTGTTTATAGGGCAGAAACGTATTTTGAACCTGATTTATTACATGAATTAAATATTGTGAAAGTTGTAAACCAGTATTCATAAGAATGAAACTGTTGTCTGTTCCAGCACTGTATATTTTCAAATGTGTAGTCTTTGTCAGGAAAAATCTCACGATTCTCACAACTAATGAATCCTATCACAATTTTTATACTCGTCATGGCGATCAATTGAGAATACCCCCTTCCCTCCCACAGGACAGCCAAATTCCAAAAATCACCCCTTGATAATGGAATCATCCTGTATAATAAACTGCCAATTTAGATTAAAACTTTGAAATCTGAAAATGTGTTCTGTAACCATGTTAAATCTTTGCTTATTGATAAAAAGTGTTACAGTATAGTATTGTAAATCATGCCCGAAAGAAAATAACGTCGGCCGCCACTGGTAGCCATAAACCAATGGTGAAGTAGCTAAGAGCGCACGAATGTACGATGGTTCCCCGCGACTCTAGAAGCAGCGAGAATAATGCTACCGATTTCGACCGAATTTTTCTAGCGCTTTCGATTACGATATATAAACGCTAGCCAGGGGCATATCGACACAGTCAAGTGGACGTTACAATGCGGTACGCGAAGTGATCTAGTAAGGCGATAGACATTCAAATAATAGTTGAAGTTTTAGTTGAAGTGTTTGTTGTATTCAAAGTGAAATAAAGTAAAGTTTGATTATTCAGTGTAATCAATTATTGGTCAACCCACAGAAAAAAAGTAACAATAGTCAACAGGAATACCTGAACGATAATTTGATGTAGTCTTTTGTTCTTTTCCCTAATAAGTCTACTTAGTGTTATAGTAAACTTTCGGTTTTAATTATTGACTTACCATGTGTACATATTGTACCCAATTGGCGAGAATAAATTATTATTACTACTTACCGTATGTACACTTGATGGGTCAGCTAGCCAAGCGTTGTACATATCTTCAACATACTGTCCGGAACTGCCATTCAAAAATGGCTCGGACGCAGCGGGTACATTGTAGTTTCTACTTTGTGAGACTGTGAGGGTCGGAGTATTCTTAGCCAGAAGCCAATAGGCAAATTTTTGTCCAGAAGGACTCACAAAAGTGCTAGCAAGTGCTCTAGCCTGATGCATTTTCAATATCTGAAACAAAAACTAAATCAGTTGAAAACAAATAAGTTCTCTTTGGATGAAACTATTGATTAGAAAAACTAACCAAATACAAGGAAAAAACCCTTGTTAATAGTAATGATCATACATTTCCTAACCTAATCCAATTTGAAGATGAAGGGGACAGATAAAGGTAAATATGTTGTAGGTGTCTTTTTAGATTTCAAAAGGGCCTTTGAAACGATTGATAGAAGTATTTTGCTTCAGAAGCTGAGAAGATATGGGATTGAGGGGATGGTTTATGAATGGATAAGTAATTGTTTATCAAATAGGAAACAGACAGTACGTGTGAACGATTATTTCTCATCATATATAACAAATCACACAGGAGTGCCACAAGGTAGTGTGCTTGGTCCCCTATTATTCATTCTGTATCTGAATGATATTCAATTATTTACAGACTGTGAGTTCTTTAACTTATTTGCAGATGATACCTTATTGGCCTGTACTGAAGTGAATTCAGAAGAAACTGTTGGCAGAATGAATAAAGTTCTAGAGAGAGTAGAAAAATATCTGAAAACCAATAAAATGAAACTTAACTAACTTGCTCAACTAATTCAAGTGGTCAGTATCATGACAAACTTGGAAAATCTGGTTAGTCAAGATACACAAAGTTTATGTTGAAGCCTCATTCAAAACAATTTCAGCAAAGCGATGACATCATCAATAATGCCACATAAAACACTTGAATTAAATTATGACACAGTTTATTTCAGTAACGCTCTTGATGAAATAATGAGGTCAAAAGACGTAAATGCAATTCAGACAATGAATTGGAAGAGTTCGCCTTGCAAGATATATTTGCAATATTTATGAAAAAAAAGTTTCTTGGGCGATACAAAACTAGAATTTACATGTAGAACAATTTCACATGAAGTGACAGTAACCAAGTTAAATTGTTGCTAAGCAAATTCCGGCCTCACATTTCACTAACAAGGGAAAAGTGGCAAAATTAAACCATCAATCAACTAATCAATTCTTCATTGGTGCTAGTAGTCAAAAATGCATTCAAATATACTTTAAAACGAAGCACTAATAATAAAATTTTGTAACGACTACTTAAAATACAAGTAACATCGTGAAAATAATCAATTGGTCCTGATTGAAGTAACCCCGATGGTATAGAACACTGCAAGAAGATTGGTGACTTGTTTTTTTTTAAGGGAAGTGTTCAACTGGCTTAGTTGTCTGGATTCCTTCTAAAACTGCCTAAAGTAGTGTGTGTGTGAGAATTAAACGCCAACTATGGCTGCCTAATGCTTTCGAGGTTCAACCTGATACACCCTCAATTCCTACAGGTTTCATGTATCTTGATGTATAAAGAAGAAGCAAAAACGTTCAAATTTTTGGGAAAGAAAGGTTTTGACTTTCTACTTCTCCCTCTTTATACAAAAAAATATGGGAATCTTCCATCTAGATACATAATACATAATACACAAATGAAAGTATTTTTCTTTCCTGTAATTGCTTTGCAGCCATACTTGGCCGTATACTTCTCACATACACAAACGAAAGTATTTTGCCTTCTTCCTTTCTTTTGATTTCAAATGTCAAAATAAAACTATTGGACAATATCCAATACATCCGAGATGTTATTTGTTGTTTATTAAAGGCATTGTTAAGTTTGAAACATTTTCATTCGTTTATGAAAGTAATTATAGTTTTCAAATAAAAGATATTGTTCATTTAGGTTTTGGTTAATTTTTCCAGGAGTTATATGTTACATAATGTTGAATAAGTATTTAATCACTATCTGAAAACAAATTGAAATGCAATAATGTGATGATGCAATAATGTGATAATGTAGATGATATGATGCAGACTCTGTCATAAAATTCAATCTTCTAATGATTAATGATAATATAAGATTAGATGAGAGCCAGTTGAACAAAATTGTAATTTTGTTCAATAAATTACAATTATTATTATTATTATTATTATGAGATTAGATTTCATGATTTTCTTTACAATATTTCAGATTTTTTCATTTAAATATAAACGAATTTAATCATATTAAATTTTACTTTTTCATAATGCCAAACATAAAACATTGCTTTGGATATATAAACCTCATGGACCAATCAATAATTTTGATATGTTGGTAGGTTGAAAACTTCAAGAAAAGAAATATTTCGAAATGAAAATTCCAAACATTCACCCCCCCCCCGATCAAGCAATCACATTCAGACCGGTTCTTTGTCAATGCAAAAAATAATCAACCAAGGGAGCAGTCTGTCCGGGATACGAATAATTTTATCATGGTTCGACTTTATATACAAGATCTATTGATGACTGGATAACCACTACGTGTCTCGTATAAACAACTAAACCCTTCAAAGACTCCAACTTTATATCATAGCTAAGAAGCCTTGATGTGGAACGATATGAATAAAATTCAGAAGGTTCCCACTCTAGTTCAGAGTTCGGCCATTTTTTATATTTTGTGAAAAATATGACTGACTTGTTGTCCAATGGCTGTTTTTGATGTAATTTATGCTCATAATAAAATGAGTTGTGGAAGAAATAGTTGGTTTTCTACTTCTCCATCATGAAACAAAAAACGTGTCAAATTCATAACGGAAGAAAAAAAACACTATAAAAACTATTTTGGAAGATATGTAGATCATACACTAAGTCTGTTCAGAAAATAAGCTGTTCAAGAACTCTTTCATTTTGAGAACTGTGTTTATGTGGAATAAACCCCACGAGAACGTTTTTCCGAATGATTTAATCTCCACTGATTCAAATCCAAAGTGATTCACTACTTTCGCACAGGCACCGCTCTTAGTGCTTGTGTTTTATCCTTAAAAAAATGTTTTTTCATCAATTTTTATTTCGTCCCCTTCAAAGTAAATCCAGTACTAGCGTTTCTCGATCCTCAAAGCAGTTCTGATATGCACTTTTTGGTATGCTCTTGAGCTCTCTCAGCGACTCGGTTTTGATCTCCTGAATCATCGCAAAACGCCGTCCTTTCATGGGTCTCTTTAATCTTGAAAGCAGGAAAAAGTCGCAAATCTGGTGAATATGGTGGCTGAGGCATGATTACGGAATTGTTTTCACCAAAAATTATGAACTAGCAATGACGAGTGAGCAGGTACATTATCGTGACGCGAAAGCCATGAGTTGTTTTTCCGTAATACCGTAAGTTTTCTTCGTATTGCTTCTCGCCAGCGGCGCATAACTTCAAGAGAATACTCCTTTTTGGTATTACGACAATGTGATGACAACTCCTGATGCATTATACCACGGTAATTGAAGAAAACAGTGAGCAAAATCTTGACGTTTGATCAAAATCGGGGTGCTTTTTTTGGTCTTGGCTTTCCTGGGCTCTTCCATTGGGGCAATTGGACTTTTCCGACATGACGATTCTCCGTAACAATTTTATCCACTTTCTCAACATATCCATAGCGTCGTCATTCACATCTTCTAGACCTTCTGTGAAAAGCTTGTATCACTTGTAAACATTTTTCTCACTCAGAGTACAATCACTGTATGCCACAGCCAACATTTCATGTATTTTTGAGCACTCAATTCCATTTTTTAAACAAAATTTGATGCAAATTCTTTGATCCGTTTTTTCTATAGTAGTAAATCGCCGAACACGCAAAACAAACTAAACATGTTAAACAACTGAAAAAATTAGCTAATCGAATGTACGTATCCCGGGATATTTGAACATTCATCTTATTGTTTTAACAGGCCTCGTACAGAAGTTTTCTCGGATACAAACTGGAAGAAAAAGCCCTTTTGAAACAACTATTTTCATATGGACATTGAATTACACGAAAATCACTTTTTTCCATTCAGTTCGTACTACGAATATTCGTAATGGAATTGAAACAGATATCATTCATTGGAACGCAATGCAATATATGAGAGAGTATTGATATTAAATGTCGTTTATATGAAATAGGGATTACATGCCTGCAATATGTTTGAGTTACTATATTTCTAAATATTAATAACTGATGATTTCTTCAAATTTCATTTAAAAAATGGACAATTTACTTTCAAATTCACCTGGTTTTATACAGGTATCAACTGCAAGAATAGTGCCTAAATTAGTACCTAGTTGATATTATCAACTAGTGATTATAAAATTCATATTTTATAAATCAATTATTCAGAACATAGTAATATTCAAACATGTTTTTTGTGGAATGAAATGGTTTTTAAAAATTAAAAACCTCGAGGCTGAGTCATAACAGTTATTATGCATCTTGATTTATAATTTTGGTGAGATCAATTGAAAATAATGGAAGTTGAGATGTAAATCTTTGGAAAAATTATACAAACAAATGAACTCCTCATTAAATAATCAGTGAATTAGGTCATATAAAAGCCTAAAAGAAAAGGTGAGCAATTTATCTTGGCAGCTGTCAGAAATGAAAACTTATTGAAATGAAAATGTCTTTGGTAATGTGACAGATATTCTAATTAATTAACGGGAACTCAATAAACAACGAATAAGATGACATTATAGAAGAAAAATGGGAATTTGGCACTGATATGTACTTAATCCTTAAAAATAGGCGGACCACAAGCCACATATAGATCAATAATGATTCAGTTATGTAATAGGAAATATTCTTTTTCGATATAATTAGAGAAAAAGAAGACTATCAAAGAGTTCCTAAATAATAAGTTCAAAAAATGATGATTTACCTCAATAAATCACTTTTCCTTAAAACTAGAGGGGTGTCGAAATGTATTGACTTCTAGGAAACGAATGTAGGACTGGAAAATTTGACAGTTGACTTGAAGAAGGTTATGTCTTGTGACGTATTTTTTTTATGCGATCATATGCAATAGGTCACGAGCGCGCTAAACTTTAAGTTTCTGCATTCGAATTAACGTGCACAGTGACCAATGACCCTCTAGCATTTCTTTTGAAACTCCAGGCAAGATTGTTTGCATTTGTTTTGGGTCGTAGGTCGTAGAGGTCGCGGCAGACTATTCGGACTCGTCTAGTTCTTTCTCAGGTGTTTTTGAAACAAACTCCCATTTTGAGTTGAATGTCATCTAATTTCGGGTAACTTGGTCCTAGTTTTATGAATGATTGATGACAGTAGAGCCAAGATTGATACAGTCGTTCTATATTTCAGAATCCATACCTGCTACAGAAAGGCTGGCTGTGAATTTTGAAATGGACGCTTGCTCTCGGTTCTGTTTTCTGTTCTTCAAAAAAACACATAACTTCGAGTTGATTTCTACTGATGGAAGAAAATGACAACTGACAGCAGATAAGGAACCATACGTTTGAAAAAATACCATACAAGCGGACTTTGTATGCATAAACTCTGCCATAGAAATTTGAACGTTCAATGCATTTTTCGATTCATAACCATTCCGATTAGGATTTTTTATTGATAACAAAGACGAGTTGAGTTGCTTATTCGAGGTCTCTCTTATGGTGGATCAGTTTATATAATTATGATGGTTGATGTATTCATGTAACAATATCGACAACTGCGATGAAATAATGTTCTCCTAAATTGTTAAATTCAAGCTCAACCAGTTTTAGTTGTTTTTCCGTTTGTTTCGATTGAAATTTCTGGGAAGTGAAAAAGGTAGACGTTTGTATTTATTCCTCAGAATCAGGATACAGCTGCAGTTGACCAGTTTTATAACCGCCAGTAACTATGCTCACAGACGCGAAAGTTAAAACGGCTTCCGCATTATACATTATGACGTCATTGACTAAGACATTATTATACTACCCTATTACCGGTTTCACCCGAAAATGCAGGGAAAATTGAAGTTTTGTTTCCGTTAGGTCACGAGTTCTCGCACAGAACAGTTATAGATATTGTCATTTTTTTATATAAAGGCACAGTATATTACTTATATACGGTGCTTTCAATAAAACGGACAATACAGAGAGGCAGAAAGAACTAGACGGTTCATATACAAACTTGAGTTTTCCTTTGTACAAGATTCAGGTCCAAGTAGGTACCATTTGGCATGATATGTATGTGTCTTTGTATTGTTTAAACAAATGCTCCAATGCACATAGAAGTGACGTGATGTCACATTTCTCGTTAGCACCAATTTGAGTAGTACTTTTGAAATGTTATCAATATGGCAGTCTGAATAAAAAAACTTATAAAATTGAAATTTTATTGAAACAAAAAAGCAAGAAAAGTTAATGAACATGTGATTCTATTGAGAATTCCATTATATTCCGACCACACAACAAACATTTTGGAAGGTTTTTTTTCAGTATAAGGTAAAACTAAAATTTATTCAATTATAATTACAAACAGAAAGTGACACTGAAAGTCTCAAAGAGTGAAAGATTTCATTTCATTGAATTTTTTATATCTAACATTACTACCCAGTCTGAATCCACCAGTCAAATTCGCAGTAGTGTCTGATGAAAACACTCTCAAGAAATGCAATTTCATCTTGAATCTTTTCAAATTGAAATTCGTTTTGTCTTTGCTTCCTTTATTTTTATATTCGTTCGGGAATTCTGGCTTCCTACTACTACATAAACATTCCTTGGAATTGTTATAACTTCTGGAAGTTCCTGGAGATACTCCAATCTCATTCTTGTTATCATCTAGCACATACATAAGATTTTTGAGAGACTCGGTTTCTCCACTGAAAATGCCAGGAAATTTAAAATAGGATGTATCATGTGGTATTATATCTGACCGAACAGTTTTGACTTCACTTTGATGATGAAGAGGCCTCTTTGGTGTGGAATGCATCCAAACCGTTTGAAACATATCACGGAGTTTTGATGTATTCTCTGAAATACCAAAAATAATTTATGGTAAATGTTAAAACTTATTAAAAAAATTTTCAAACTAATATGTTAAGTACCAAATGAAAACTGCTTTTTTATAAGATGAAAAGAACAACTCTACTCACTTTTATTGTCAGATATCTGATTATATTCTTCATCTTTGAAAGTGTCGTAGTCATCATACATGTATCCATCAACTTTTTTTATAGTTGCATCGGTTTCATCAATCACGTCTTTCCATTCAATTTGGTTACTGGTATCTAAAGAGCTTGGAAAACTGATGTGATTTCTATCATCTTCAACATCTCTCTTTTCATTATCAACAACATCCGCTGGATTGGCGCTATCAATGCTGTGTTCAGATTGGAATACTTCATCTTGGTTAGCAGTAACATAAAAACTATTTTCTGGTAGATCAGTAATTTCTCCAGATATATTTTCATTTTGATCTATATCCAAACTGTCAAATACTGTGTGCTCAACAACATCTGTTATAGCTCCTTCAGACGTTTTACATTTCTTTTCTTCTGTTTGGGAATATACATCTTTGAGATATTTTTTGGCCTGAACCCAAGGTGTATAATGTTGATTCAATGATGTTCTTGGAGTAAATAACTCATTATCTATAGATGTATTGTCGATAAATGTGAAACTTCCATTTGACCCCAAATATTTCTGTATTTTATTCCATCTTACTGTCACATAGAGAAGAAAATGAATCATCACTTTATCCTAAAAAAGTTTTAAATATAAATTAGAAAAGGATATGTTTTTAGGAGCGATTATTTTTTGAGAAGAAAAGGTTTTGGCTTTCTACTTCTTTTCCATCTTTATGGATATCTTGCAAAGAAATTGAAGTCTTTTTTTTCTTTTCTGACAAAAATATTAATATATAATCCTCATAAATTTCTCTGCTTAAAATATAGGTTTGAACATACTCCATTCCTCTTGAACTTACTTTACTTTCTCCATATCCAGGTCTATAAGGTCTTGTGAAAATTGATCCACAATAATATTGAAGCAAACTCAACAAAGTCTGTCTGTTCAGTCCATATGGTTTTACGAGCCTCTGTGACACTTTCAGAAAAAAAATTATTAAAACACTGAACAGCAGTAAATGTTGAGCTGGTAAATTATTCAAAGACCTAAAAATGAGTAAAAATCAGTAGCTTCCATTAATTTTTGTAAATAATAGCAGAATTGAGAAGGTTCATCACTGTTCTTGAAGAATAAATCCACTCTACAAATGATGAGAAAAGAAGTTCTTGTTCTACACTTTCTAATCCATTTATATTTTATTAAATTCTTGATGTGCATCATTTGATTGATATAAGATTACACTTGATATCATCTTGTAGATTTTTATGACTCCAAGGTAAGTTTGAAATAGTCACTGAATTGAAACACCTACTTCACACAGTTTTGTGCTATAGTGGATTGATGGTCCCAGTTTGATGACGGTTTGGTCTGGGATCAAACACCTTGGGATCATCGCTTTCATTTCTCTCTATTACCATAGAAGCTTTTGTTCAGCAATGCCCCAAAAGAGATACCTGTAGCTCAAGAATATCTGTCTCATTATAAAACAAATAGCACCAAGGGAAATTCTTTAAAATAACTATCAAAGAGAAGAAAAGTAATCTTCATGTGGGTTGATTTTCTCTGGTCCGAACTTTCTGTGGATTCTTGAAAATCCACATGAAGAACGAATTCCGACAATAGAAAGACAGCCATTGAGATTGGCGTTTTTTTAGTCTTGGCTCAGCTGGGCTCTTCCATTGGGACGAAGGGACTTTGGTTTTGATGTCATAACCATATACCCATGATTCGTCACCAGTTATGACATTGCTGAATTTTGACCAACATTTTCATTGGTTGTAATGAGCTGAGGCGTCCAAGGTGAGCGTCTTCATATACATCTCGACCTTCTGTGAAACGCTTGTTCCACTTGTGTAAACATTTGTCTGACTCAGAGTACAATCACCGTATGCCACTGTCAACATTTCAAGTGTTTTTGAGCACACAATTTCATTTTTTACACAAATTCTTTGATGGATTTTTTGATAGCAGAAAATCGTCTAACACTTCTAACACCCATCACCAACAAACTAAACATGCTCAACAGCTGGAACTGTGAATATATATTCGAGACGAGTGTACCAACATAAAAAATTTAAAAAAATTAACAGACCTCGTACATTATGAATTTTAGTGTTTAGCATATCATATGGGTTTACAAGACATAGCTTGCTCAAACTTTTGGTTCCAATTGTATCAGAGGAACTACCTTTCCCTGGACCCAATAAGAAAACAAGAAGGATAAACAAGTTCCTCAGTTGTTTCCAAAGAAAGGTCAATGGTTTCTAAAGTTCAATAAGGAGAACCTGAGATATATTACGGCACACCTTAGATGGTAACTACTTTCTGTAACATAGATGAAATAAATGTAACTGGCTCTCACTGCCAAATCTTTTGTTTAATAAACTTACTTGGCAATAAGGTAATCCAACAATTTTTTTTCATCTTGGTTCCTTCTATCATAGCATATTATATTTTTACTGTTTTTTGCTAGTACTTCCCAATCGAAAACGAAACCACCAGCATATTTTGGCAATAATGAAATTGGTAGTAAGCCCAAAAAGTGCCGAATCAACCAAAAATAAGTTTCAGGTTGGTCAAAACGGTAGGACTTATAATGAACTTCAGAGACGAGTATTTCTTTCAGTTTAAGACACTCTTCTAAGGGCACCTTGAAATCACTAGAACAAAAATGAATTTGTTTATTTGTTTAAAAAACCTTAGCTCTAAATTCAATGATATATTTTTCTGATTGATTCGGCCGTTACTTGATGAAGATCCATAGTAATTTCATAAGCTATACCTCACGATTTGATCTCCATAAACTTTATTTGAAAAATATATCATGTCATGCTTTGCTAACACAGTAGCTTCTTTAACAGTGAATTGAATCATCACAAATCACAAGCTACTGTGATGCGAAACGTGATATATTCTTCAAATAAAGTTTGTGGAGATCAAATCGTGAGGTGTAGTTTATGAAATGATGATGACTCTAGTAATGATTAATGTTTATGTAATATTTTCTTTCCACGATCATTCAAACTTTCTTGGATCAGAAAAACCACACATTTCATTATTAGTCTTATTCTTCACTGTAAAAGTTGACTTACCCCAATAACCGGCCAATATTGAAATTAATGTTCTTGGATTTTGTGTAGGCTTGCTGCAGTAGATACTGTAAATGATGATAATAATAAGTAAACAATAATTAATTACTGACAATTATTTGTATAATATACTTCAGGGGCCACAAGTTACATGCATATATACTACTTCAATAATTTATTTGTTAACTTGGAAATTCATATATTTTTTGTTGTGTGTATAGAACAAATTATAATAAAAAGTGTTATTTGACAAGTTGATAAGTCTCTAATTTTCCTATTTCTGCAAAAATATTGTAGTTGGCTCTTCATATTTTTTGTATAGTGCATGAACACTCTGGATACTTTTTGAGGAATATTCCAGAGGAGAATATTTTACATTGCTTTTAATCTAGCCTGAAATAATATTGATGGTTCTGTAACATCAGCTAGAAAGGTTCATTAGGTTTTTTTTATTGCACTAGGAAAATTCTTATTGGAAAATATGTATAGTCTTTGAATCAGTTATAAAAAAGGGGAAAAAATGGAAAACAACTGGAAAACGTTTATTTTCATACCAAAATAGTCCCGACTTTTCAATGTTCATATGGGGGCAAAAGCTAGTTATAAAAAAACCCATTTTTAGCCCATACTAATAGTTTGAAGTGACGCCTGTAGGATGTAGAATGAATAAAAATTTTTTTTTCATCTATTCCATAACAGCATCTTTGAAAATATTGCTTTCTTACCAAGTTGATATCATCAGATGATCGTAACTTTTCAAATTATGCATTCAAGAGTATAATTGAACATAATGGGTCACAGCAAGTGAGTCTCAGTTGGAACAGAAAAAAATACTATTTGCCATTATATTTTTCAGTCAAATAATGGTCGTGAAGCGAACGTATGTGACAATATGTAAAATGTATACCACATATTCTACTATTATCCCCAAGAGGAACACATGAAATACCTATAGACCTTTTTACCTTCACCAGCAAAACAAAAACTAGTGATTTGGAGATCTGAAACTTTTATAATCAACTTGAACATTTTACCTATTCCCGCATTGAAATTTAAAAAATATTACCTTCAACCTGGGATGGATATCGTTGATGGAAAAAATATCTTCCAAGGGTACACCAAAATCGAATCTGAATAAAAATTAAAATGTTATACAACTTCATTTTCAAACCAAACATGAACCTAAAACCAACCTTTTATAGTTTGGATAAAGGTACTCATTTTTAAACGTGGACATATCATAAATTAAGAAACCAAATTGAAAATATTCACATGAGATTCAAAATTTGCTCTCAGATAAAACTTATCTTGTCATGTGTCAAATAAAATTCAGATGAAACTACTTTTGGGACAAATGAACTACTTTGGCATTTATTCTGATCAATCTTTGGCTATTATATATTTTTTGAAAGATCATTTCTGTAATCACTTTTCTCTCAAATGTAATAGATATCCGATATAAATATATAGGAATAAACTGGTCGAAAAGCACCTTTCAGATGAAAATCCGTTCACCTTCATCGACAATTATGATTGTAAAAATTCACGTGGTGCCGGAAAGAATAATTGCTATAATAGAGATACCAGATAAAGGTTAACAAACATCCAAAATCTTATTGCGGGTTCAAAGAAAACCTTAAAGATGAAAAAATTTCACCTGCTGTTTTTCAATGTGAATGTATGTCTTTGCCAACTAAGTTATTTTCACAAGTTGAGAATTCACATCATAACTATGATAACTTCACTTCTCAATATCCCAATTGATATATTCTTTGAAGTCTTCAGCAGAACAAAGTTGAAAAAAACTTAAATACGGTAAGTTGATATATCAAAGAAGAAAATAATAAAAATAATGAAACAACAAAAATTATTTGGCGCACCGGGGCGACTTCGTTGATTCCAGTGGCGTATTTGCTTTTTCAGCTCCAGGAAAACCCGGAAAAACCTGCAGCACCATATCATCTGAAGACATTGATCTGCCAAAGTCCTCTCTTTCATAAAAACTTAAAAATTGCTTTCATTAAGCAATTTCAAGTTACTACTGCGCATGCGTGGTGAATAGTTCGGGGAATTTCATAAGTGGGTAGGGAAATTTTGGAGAATTATAGTTGATAATTTTTATTAGCTTCGCTGAAGCTGCTAACGTTTTCATGTTCCGTGTCAGTGGAACACAAACAAGCTCGGTTGTTTTAATGGCTGTTATGTTACTTTTACAGTATTTCGTAACAGAATAATGTGCTTTCACATACATTCCATCTGCGGATCACATAAAGTTATGGAAACTGCGTGAATACATACAACCCCCCATACAGAGGGCACTCCGGTATACTGTGCTGAGGGGTTGCATTTTACATCTTGCATCTTGCATCCTGTGTCAGTGTCCTTTCTTAATCCTCAATATGATGTCGTAACTGGCTTTATAGGTTATGTAGAATGTTTTAGATGAACATTGTATAGTATAAACATATTCATGTTATAATCAATGAGTTTTAAAACTTGAGAGTTATTTAAAATAATGAAAGTATAAAAATGTTTTGCTACAAATCTCAATTCATTAAAACCAATGTGACGGCCATAAAAACCGTAAAAAACTTTATATTGTTGGGTAATTGAATTAAATGTCTTTATTTTGATCATAGACTTCATAATATCTATAATTCAAGTATATGACTTCAATACTCATATTATTGCAGGTATTGGCACTACATTACATGTGTATCACAAAAATGAAACCCTTTTATTTTACAAGTTGGACATACCAAATACAAGAGGAGAAAATATTCATGGAATAGAATATTTTCAAAACATAATTTTAATATATGGAGGTCAATTTATGACTCTTCTGAAAGTGAATGAAGATTTTACAACTTTCGATAAAACAGCTAATACCGCCCTACTTGATTGGGTTTTAGATGCAAAATGGATTAACAATGGGAAAAATATTGTGGCAGTTTCTTTACAAAACAAACTGTATATTTGGGATTCTGAGCTGAATTCGAAAAAAGTTGTAGACTGTGAAGAAAAATGTATTTTATATAGTGCTCATATCTGTTATGAAAAATATGAAGACTTGACGATCCTATCTGGTACTGTTTTTAGTGAAATATTGATATGGAAACCTTCTAGGCAGAAAAATGGTATCTCTGTTGTACTCAAAAGGCTGCAAAGGCATAATGTTAGTATTAAATCAGGAGTATATTGCACCAACTGATTGGCATCGCTGACTCATCGGTAAAGATTTTTTTAGTGTTATGAATATAATGTTTAGAATTTGCTGATTTCTCAAGGCACTAAAAATCTGTGAAATTGTTAGTGTTTGTAGATCATTAGTGTCAAAACATCAATACTGCATTCTATTTGTATTTAATTCCCTCACATAAGATTAAGATTTTTTGTTTTGTATCTTCTACATTTAAATGTACAAATGAAAGCCAAATCAGTTCCATGAATTATTTATATGACCTACCAGTACAACAGAATTTTAATCAGCATATTGATTTTCAGGGTGTGATATTTTCTATACATCATAACGAAAATGCGGGTTTCATATGCTCTTCATCTGATGATAGAACAGCAGTTCTATGGAAGATAAACAACAAAAGTCTGTTAGTGGAGCTAGAACAAGAAGTGATTGATATAACACCCCAATGCCGGGTGTCTGGTCATTCGTCCAGAATTTTTTCATGCAGAGTACTGAATAATCATTTTGTGACAGCGGGAGAGGATTCGCTATTGAACATCTGGTCATTTGATGGAAAACCGGTGAAAAAATTCGAAACGCATCAGTGTGGTCCGATATGGTCTCTAGATTGGGATGAGGAAGAGAATAGAATTGTAACAGGAGGTGGTGATGGTGGAGTAAGCACTTTTTCTATCGATTTCAATGCTGAGCAGGAAAAGTTAATGCTACCAGATGGGGAAAACCCTAAAATAGTTGGCATATTGCAGTCTTTCAATTTAGTAATTTTCTCTGAGGGTGGAGTTCTTTACCTCTACATAAAGAGTCAAAGAAAATATAGAAAAATTGTTGATCATGAGGATTTGAAGAGGTATGCGGTTATGCAGGTATCCAGGTGTAGAAAAATGATTGCTCTAGCAGGTTTGTGAAATAGGTAAAAGGTAGTAAGGGCTGTATATTTTCAGTTTACCCAACTCATCACTAAAAACAAGTGGTTATTCATTTTTATATTCATGTATTAACTAGACTCAACAATTTTGCTATCAACTGAGTCATCTAAAGTTTTTCGTCAAAATCATTTTGAATATCAAGTTAGTTGAATCGGAAAAAGCAACAGTTAATCTTCAAGACCGTACTAAAAAAGTAAAAAACGATCAAAACAACGTGAAAAATCGGAAATCCAGAATTGAACTGAAAAATATGGATAATGGATGTTTAGTATCACAATTTTTAACGTTCAGTAAATTCATAAAGAACTGTATGATTGTGTTTTTGGAAATATTCGTATATGTTATTTTGTGTTTGAATAAGTTCATTTTTCTTGCACCTTCACTATGTTTAATAACGTTTTAAATCATTAATAACCATAGATTCGAGTTATTTCAGAACTTTTACTCTGGAAACTAAGACAATATCATTATTAGGTAATAAATGCTTTTGGTAGTTAGGTCCTTCAGTGTCCTTCACTGACAATTTCATGTTTTTGTAAACTGCTCTCCATTTGAAAGGAATGTTTTGTCAAATACGAGGGGGTTTTGAAAAGTTTTCGACGTCAACATGAAGATGGCAGCACCCATAAATAAAAGCTAGTAAATTTCGTTGGTCATCTGTTGACAGTTACTATCCAAAGTTTCATCCATTTCAGACGAGCCGTTGTTATGTAACAGTCGTTTGAGAGAGTTGATGTGGGTTTTTTTTTATGAAAATGGACAAAATCGAGTATAGAGCTGTCATTAAATACTTGTTTTTGAAAGGCAGTACGCCTACGCAAATCAAAGATTTGTTGGATTCTGTGTAAGGGGACTCTGCGCCATCTTTTACCACAGTGAAATTTTGGGCAGCTGAATTTAAACGTGGCTGTAAGAACTTGGAAGACGATGAATGTTCGGGACGAACGAAAACTGCAACTACCGACGAAAACATCGCCAAAGTTCACCAAATGGTGCTAGACGACCGCCGAATTAAAGTGAGAAAGATAGCAGAGGTTATGAACATGTCAAAAGAATACGTTTGTTACATATTATATCAATATTTAGGCATGAGAAAGCTGTCCGGGGGTTGGTGACGCGTTTGCTCACGTTTGACTAAAAATGTGTTCGAATGAACATTTCCAACGCTCTGTTGGCGCAGTTTTTTTTTCAAGGACAAAACACAAGTACCACAGGCGCTCTAAGAGCGGTGCCTGTGCGAAAGTAGCGATTCACATTGGATTTGAATCGCTGGAGATTAAATCCATTTGGAAAAACGTTATCAGGAAGTTTATTCCACATTATGAAGTCTATATGCATTATATTTGTTCAAACAGTTTACCATCAAAACAATTAACATTTTTATAGAATAATCTGAAAGTGTATAGCCCAAATATGATTTTTTTTAAATCTTGAAACACATTTTTGTTCAATTACACTGTTTTTCAGGTATCAAAGGTCAAATATATGTCTACAAAGAACACCATGATACATTACATCTTGTATCCAGCGCGAAAACCAATGACCAGTCGAGGATCGCTTCTCTACATTGGTTGACTTGTAAATCTTTCCTAATTTGCCAAGCCAATGGAAAAATGACTCTATTACATCATCATCAGATGTCCTTGAAGCCTGCATCAACATTTATTCTACCTCCAAGCTCTGAACGATGGTCGACAACAGCAACAATTTTCAACGACAACATCATTGTAGGAGATCGAAGAGGAAACATACATTTATATGAAATTGGTAAATCAAATCCACTGCAAACATTGAGAAAAGCCCACAGTCACCTCGGTGTTACTAAACTGATTATCCAACAGGATAATATCATCTCTCTTGGACGAAACGCCATTGTGAAACATTTCTCGTTGAACAGTAATGGGTTGGAGTTAGTTTCTTGTAATAAACTTCCCTTCACATGGTTGTTGGACATATTTGGCAGCACGCTGATTGCGTTCTCTAGTAAAAATTTCATCGTCTGGGACTGCAACTCTGAAAGGGTGTTGTTCGAAACCTCGTGTGGCGGTGGACATCGATCGTGGGATTTTTTCAAAGCTACCAATGGATTGATGTTTGTTTACGTCAAGGATAAAATGATTTGTGAAGTCTGGCTGGATGTGCGTTGTTGCATGCCGAATAATTTGATCGAAGGATTCCACTCCAAAGAAATCAACAGTGTTACGATGTTCAAAGGGTTGTGTGAATATATCTTAGTTTCTGGAGGCGAAGACACTAAGTTGAGAATAAGTTCGATACGACAGAATGGAACGCTGTTCAAAACGCATGTTGCATTGAAATCGCATTTATCCAGTATAAGATCCATAGCTGTTTACAAATTTGAAGGAGATTTGAAAAGTGGCAAAGAAACTTATTTGTTGTTTTCTGCAGGCGGCAGAGCGCAAATCATGTGCTGGAAACTTGATTGCTTCTTTGATGACGATTCTCTACAAAACTTGATTTGTAGTCAGCAATGTTCTTATTATAACACAATTGATGCCGAAGAGTCTGAGACGAGGATCATGAAATTGTGTGTGGCAGACACCATAAAAGCAGTTGTTCTGTTCGCAGCCTGCTCTGACGGTAACATCCAGGTATTTCACGTGGAACACAACAATTTCAATTTGAAATTTTGCAAAAACATGTTTTATGCGCTGAAATGTATTATTTCAGTTGCTCATATGAATGTTCTAAACGAAGATGTTTTGATTAGCATGGCAACAGATGGTAAACTTGTGTTTTGGAATGTCACCAATGTATTTGACTCAACGGAATGCGTACCATTCGAGAGCCTTCCAGCACATCAGTCAGGAATAAATACATTTGCAATGAGAGAACTGAAAAATTATTGTTTTTTGCTGTTAACTGGCGGTGACGACAATTCGATTATTTTAAATTATGTGAAATTTTCCAGAGCAGGAAATAACTTGATTCTGAATCGAATTGATGAGTATGTGAATGTTGGTTCTCACTGGGCACAGATTACTGGTAGTTTTTTGAATGAAAAACATTTCATGACTTCCTCTGTGGATCAGAGGTTAGTGGTTTTCAGGTGGAGAATCGAAGATGAAAAAATAATTTGTGAGTGTATATCGAAGTATAATACCCCTGTAACAGATCTGAAAGGGCTGATATGCTTTGAGAATTGTGATTTGGATGTTTTTCTTTATGGAAACGGAATAGAATTTGTTAAAGTTGTTGAGGAATTAAACAGATTTTGAAAAGATTTTTTTTTATATTTTTTCAATAATCACCACAATGGACTATCACAAAACGTAGCCCCACGATAGCACATGACATCCGCGTACCCTCTTTGTGGGCCGACGTTATCAGCACGTCAGTCCACTACCACGAAACTCCCTTTTAAAAGGTGACACTTTCTAAACAATATATCAGATCCCCGATAGAAATAACGTTGCTGCGTCACTGCAGAAAAAATGCAATGTTACAGTACTTACATTGAAAATCAAATTTGTAACACTTTTCCAATGAGAAATTATTCAACGTTTCCGAACACCAGACTAAACTCGATCTTCAATAAATAGTTCATAAATGATAGAGAGAGATTGAAGATAGGTAGAGTACTAAGATATTGCAGATCACATGAATTCTATAGAAAATTGGTTGATGAAATATGAAATTCTTCCAAAGGGTTTTGATGATGTCTACAGTGACTTCCTGGATAAGAAATAATACCAGAAAATTCATTGTTCATATTTGTTTACCAGAAGCACTAATTTATAAAAACCAAAAAATGTAGAAGTCTACAACACGGTTGGATTCATGCAAAATGGAGAGAATAAGCGAATATGTATTCCTTCATTTTTTGAGAAGAAACGATGCGTACTTTGTTCTCAAAAGAAAATCAGACCAGAACAACAATTTGTTACGAGCATAATGTAAGTGTCGATTATATGAATAAATCCTGTGATTGATAGGTCTGGTTGTTCTTTTTGAAGTACTCTGTTGGACTAGTGGGTATGGTATATACCATATAATCAGGGTGAGGAGGGCAGCATAGGAAAATTAGAAACCATAAGGGATACAAAGTCGGTTAAATTAGAAAAAAGTTACCCATTTAAGAGCTCATTTGAATAGTGTTTTGAAATCTACAACGCTACTGTATACTGCATTCAGCCAGAGCAGCACTTTTCGCCTTCTTCTTACCTTCGTTTCGTGATGTGGACGCAGCTGTCATTGTCCTACTCCATGTCAGTTGTCAATAAACACGGAACACGGAAGAAATAAGGAAAAAAGGAATAATAGCGACTGCCAGGAAGTGTAAGTGGTGTTTTCCTTATTAAAATTTTCAATATTTGCTGAACATATTATATTTCAGGGGAAGTATTAATTGTAATAATGGTTTTGGAAAGTACTATGATATGGTAAGATATTGAATTATTTATAATTTAACTAAAGAGTTAACCTAACTTTTTTCAATGACTTCACAATTTTGACCTATTATTCCATACACTTAATAAAATTATGGAGCTATCTTACTATTTTTCATTTGTAGTGTTGATAACAGCGATTATATGAGAAATGGGGACTTTGTTCCCAGCAGATTACAAGCACAGCAAGATGCTGTGAATTTAGTATGTCACTCAAAAACACGATCAAATCCTGAAAACAATGTGGGGTTGTTAACTTTGGCAAAGTAAGTATTTATTCAGTCTAACAGATACTTTGCTTACTCACCATTATTTCTAGGGTTGAGGTATTAGCTACTTTGACTAGTGATGTTGGACGAATTCTATCGAAATTACATCAAATCCAGCCTGATGGTGAAATAAATCTGCACACTGGAATTAGAATTGCTCATGTAAAAATGATAATGTATTCCATATCAAGTACATATTATCAAGTGTTCTGTTTTAGCTTGCTCTCAAACATCGTCAAGGCAAAAACCATAAAATGCGCATAGTTGTTTTTGTTGGTAGTCCTGTAGAAAATGAAGAAAAAGAGTTAGTCAAACTAGCCAAGAAGCTCAAAAAAGAAAAAGTCAACGTTGATCTTATTAGCTTTGGGGAAGACGCTTTAAACTCCGAGATCCTTACTAATTTTGTGAATACTTTGAATGGGAAGGTAAGTTCATATTTCTATTCTAGTTAGAAGTTTGTTCTTGAATTTCAGCTGATGAAATTATTTCAAGGACGGTACTAGCAGCCATCTGGTAACAGTTCCCCCTGGACCTCATCTGTCTGATGCTTTGATTTCGTCTCCAATTATCCAGGGAGAGGATGGAACAGGAGGTGCTGGCCTTAGTGCATCAGGCTATGAATTTGGAGTTGATCCCAATGAAGATCCCGAATTGGCTTTGGTGAGTTTGAAACATAGCTGAAAAAAACTTATCGGCGAGAGAGATAATATTCAATAATTCAAATTCCGACAATTTCAACATAAACTATGATATATTATATAAAGAAAAGAAAGGAGAAAAATTAAACTCTGGAAATCAATGAACGACAATAATCGAACTCTCTATTGAACAACCAACAAGTAGTTAATCACTCATCCTTACTAAACTAATTATTGTTATAAAATTCCGAGAATTAATTCTCATTAATCACTTATTCAAAGTTGCCGGGTGGTTCGACGTGTGTGCTTTGTTCACTCAGTCAATCAGCCGATGAGTGAGTCGATTTTCACTTCCTATCGTCCAACCCTTGTGTTATGGTATATATAACTTTCATGAGTGCAAACATACTCTTTGTAAGGGTTCATCAGGGTTCAATTACAAGTAATCACTTTATAGGCCTTGCGAGTCTCCATGGAAGAGCAACGCCAAAGGCAAGAAGACGAGGCTCGTAGAGCTAAAGATGTTGCTGGAACAGAAACTGGTACTAAAACGGAGGCAATCAAAGAGGAGCCCACCGAAGAAGCCCTATTAGAGAGGGCTTTAGCCATGTCAATGGAACAAGGCGAAGAACAAAGTACAACTAACAGCGCAGCAGTTGATTTTGCTAACATGACTGAAGATGAGCAGATCGCATTTGCCATGCAGATGTCCATGCAAGATGCCCGTAAGTATAATTTCTTAATAGTCCCAATCAAGTCAATACATTATTTTCTATTGCATCTCAGAAGAGTCCTCAACTAGTGCTCCTCCAGCTAAAGAAGAACCTATGGAAGTTGAAGCAGATGAAGATTATTCTGAAGTAATGAATGATCCAGCCTTTTTGCAGAGTGTTCTAGAAAATTTGCCAGGTGTTGACCCTCAATCAGAGGCGGTACGTCAAGCTGTCGGCAGTTTGAAAGATAAGAAGAAAGAAGATAAACCTGACGAAAAAAAGAAAAAGTAAACTTCAATTCAGTAGCATACAAATTCTTATTCAATATATTTGCTATTCAAAAAGTATGACACGAGTAGATTTGAAATAATCTTGAATTAATGTTGTGGGATTGAATGTATTGAAACTACAATTTCAACATTAATCCAATCTGCTATTTCAACTTCACTGTTTGTGGTAACATTTCTAGAATATTATTTGCAAAAAAATTGATCTTGAAATAAGAGGTTTTTCTAAAATGTTGTTTTTTTTTATTACCAATGAAAATGTTCAATGGTGTGATTGTTTTGCTAAAATGCCAGCCGGCTGACTTTTCCATATTTTCCAAGTCTCAACGCTGTAACCTCATGGTAAATTAAGAAAAAAAAAAGCTTTTTTCCAAAAAAAACTATTTTCGACCTGAAAAATGAACACTTCATCCAATTTTTTGAGATTGGAAGGTAGAACTGCAGCCTTTGGCATAGAATAAATCCAAATACAAGAACTGCAACACCCTTCTTGACGCACATTTCTGTGACCAAGTTGGCTGTGAAATGTTGCAGTTCTGGTACTTGGAAATAGTGCTCGTTTTGGATCTAGGTTCTTGAATATAAAGTCAAATGTGAAATTATAAAGTAAAAATCTAATTTCTCCCATCCTGACTTTAAGTGATCATATGTAATCTACTTATCTTTCGAGTATTAGTTCATGAATTCTGATTATAGTAGGAACTCTAAGACAAAAATCAGAAGATTTTCAATATTGAGATCACCCTTGTGGTATTTATTGTTTAAAAAAAAATCTGTTTTAAAAATATGTTTTTCCGTTAATCAGCTGTCGCCCCCATACGAACGACAACTCTCAGAAGTTGAGAAACTTGTGCGAGCTAAGGACTAACGAGGTCTTACCTTTTAACGTGTGATTCCTAACACGGTTGAATGAACATTCTGCACGGCAATTTTCAAACTTGATTATTCCTTTAATAAACTTATTTCAGAGCATGAGGAATTCATCAACGCCTGCTTTGCATTTTTTGTTGTTTGCCATAGCTCCATAAAAAATAGTTAAGGGAGAGTTCAGGTGATTCAGCCAATCATTCTGTAGATCAAACTAAACGCCTGGATATACTAGATGAGACGAAAAGTTCGTTGGCTAACACACATATGGCGCTACTGTTATTAAATCCATATGTTTTTTTAGCTATGCCCAACCTTCAAAAGACAGGTGTACTAATTTCACAGCTGTAGGATTTTTAGTTTGTAGGATAGAAATTTTGAATGAAGCAACTTTTGTTAGTTTGTGGAAAAACAATTCATGCACGATAATGCACCTGCTCAGTCTTCATTGCTTGTTCGTAATTTTTTGGCTAAAAACAACACCCTAATCATACCTCAGTCACCGTATTCACCAGATTTGGTCCTCTGCTACTTTAAAATGAAAACAAAATTCTCTTTAGTTTTTGAGAAGACCTCGTATAGCATTTTCAAATAATCATCTCAAATTTAAAGATCTAAAGGTATTATTGAATCTGGAAATGGAAGTTGCATTACTACTAGACGTTAATTGATTCGAATGAAGGAGGATCATTGAAAAAAAAAGGTAAATATTCCAAAAATTTTATTCAAATATCACACTTTCACACCTACATTTCTGAGAAGTCAAATTTAATAAATTAAACACAAATTCCCTGTTCTCTACTCAATAAGTTACCTATCAATAAGTACTATATTTACTTGAGGTTATCATGTGACTTTTTTTGTGGAAACCATGAAGTATGTGCTTATCATTCATCTCAATCCAATATTACGGAAATAATATTGCAGAAGTTCTATCTCAACACCAAACCGTTATTTTTAACACCTTAACACGTGTTTCGATCACCAAGTGATCATCTTCAAGAGGAAGATTAAACTCTTGATGATCACTTGGTGATTGAAACATGTGTCGAGGTGTTGAAAAGATAGCTCAATCTTTCTCTTGAAGATGATCACTTGGTGATTGAAACACGCTTCGAGGTGTTAAAATAACGGTTTGGTGTTGGGAAAAAACTCCATTAATATTCATTACTACACCAAAGGTTCCAAACAGTGCATCACAATTATGGAAAGATTTTTGAAAACTTCGAATGACAGTTCAAAACAGGTAGAATAAGGTTTGAACAAAACAAAAATATCACATGACAAATCATTTAAAAAATGTTCATTTTCATATATTTCCTTCGCTATCATTGCAAATAGAAATTTGTAAACCTTCCATTGTAGCAAGTTTGGTGAATCACATTCACAAGAAAATGTTTATTTGGAAGTGGAAATTATTTTAAATTTCACTTTCATCTTGGTAGCGGACGAATTATATTTTTCCCAAACTATCTAGAATAAATACTGAAAGTACCTCGACGTCCAGAAATAAATATTCTAGGAGATGAATTACAAGAATAAATACGGGAACTGGTAACGGAGACATCCTTGGAACTGAGTTCATGAGATACCCTCACAGTCAAAACGTCTTACTAAACATTATTCAGAGACTCTTAATTAATACAGTAAGGTGGTCGATGAAATTAGTTGCTTTATGTCTTCATGGCAGTAATCTTGGATTGAATCTCCCTATATGTAAAATGAGTCCAGTTGGATTGTGCCTCACGAAGTAAAGGAACGGCCTGTCGAATTTCAGTCTTGGTGTATCTGGCACTCTTGCTTGCCTTGGCCTTGCTGGTAAGGGCAGATCTAGGAAACGAGGCGTGTATAATGGGTCGATGAAGTCCCCTTGGTTACTGTCTAATGTCTCATCGTTTGAATAAATGTCCTCATGGCCATCGTAAGACAAAAACCTGAAATATACAAATTTGAATTATTATTATTATTATTCAACGTAAAAATGCCACCTCTACCTTCAACCCACCTTCGAATAACAGGTAACAACAATTAAGATAAAATGAATTAAAATCATGTGTTTACCGAAATTCGATAAAATACACTCAAAAACTAAAGTGTAATGAAATGGTTAACTATGGATGTTAACGAAGTTGATGTTCAAAATGTTCACCGCGAACATCTTGGCTACATCTTAATCTCAAATGAAACTGTCTTCTAACATTATTTAACATTGAATGTAGTGAATGTCTGTCCACTTGATGTATGTGGGTTTTCCGCAAACTCAAGCATTACATCTAATTTGAGTTCATCACTCATTACATTGGCAGCTGCTTTTTTTATATGCCCCACGTGACCAAGCTCGCGAAACTGCTTCTCTTTTTTGCTTATTGTTCCTTGAGATATGGGCGGAAAATTAGGAAATTTCTCGTGAAACAGGCGAGCTACTTCCTGTTGTTTTTGAGTTTTATCTCCGTAACCAATCATTTCTAAAACTGTTATTTTATGCATTTCCGTTAATCTAACCATTTACCAGACTTGAAGTTAAGGAACTTTGAACTTATATTAAAATACTGACAACTAATGTAACATACAAAACAAGTTGACAAGGCGTTTTAAACTAACGTTGCCACGAAAATTATTGAGAGTTTTTTAAAGGATATCATCCAGAAGAACATTGTTATGGTTTTTGCTTACTTTCTTATTATCAATACCTCAACATGAAATAAGTTTTGAGTATATTGTAATAAGTTTTGAGTGTATTTTATCGAATTTCGGCAATCACATGGTTTTAATTTATTTTATATTAATTGTTGCAATAAACTTGAAAGCGATGTCATTTTTGAATAGAGAATGAAGAGACCTTTCAAACGATATATCGCAACCCTATACTTCCCACTCGAAAAATTGGGTGTTGTACTTGTCATTCGACGGGGGTTGAAGGTAGGAGTAACATTTTTCCGTTGAAGTATGTCAAATAACAGGTAATTTAAATTTAACGTGTTTCGGGATATTATTAAAATATGCACCGAAACCGAAATAATGAATTTTAATCCATTTGGCTTTTACATACTGTATAAGGATAAACAAAGCTATTCAAATAAGAGTTGGATAGTACTTGAGCAGAGTACTTGAAGAATTCTCAAAGTATTTGTACTTTGTATTTCAAATACTTTTTGAAATATTTTTCAAGGTTCAAACATTTTTTCACGCGTCTTCCAACAGGGATTTTCGAACTTTGACAATTGATAACAGCCATCTTGTTGAAGCTACATCTGTCAAATTAGTTGTCATTTATTCGGACTGTTTTGCCAAGTCACCATTGACGGATGAAGCATTCAACAACACGTGCAAATAATAATATTGTTTTATCAAAAAGGGTGTTCTGTTCGGGCAACGTATCGCCCCCTTCGTTCCCCTGGATAAATGCGTACGTGAACGAACAAAATTGTCGAATTTGGGATGATACCAATCCACATGAGATCCAAGGGCGTCCAATACATCCCGAAAAAGTTCAGGCATACTGGCGGCGTTATGCGTTACGTTACAAAGCAGTTTACTCTGCCATGAGAAGTTATCACTTCAAAAACAGTATTTTCCGGACTTGTTACGTAAATTACTATTATTGTTTCATTCAAAAGGTTGTCATGTCTCACCTTCTTTGCCTATTAGATTCTGCCGGATATATTTCGAAATGATGCTTATCTCCTGCTCCCACATCCCCGCAGGTTGAAAAACTATTAACTTGCAGTAAATCGGACAGGAACAATTCATTGGGAATGCCATTCATGCCGCTCAGATCAGCTCGTTGTTTATTAAATAATTCTCGCATTCCCATTCTCTTGAGAGCGGATGTTGCATTTATTATCGATCGGTGTCCGATTCGAGGTATTTGAACTTCTAAACCTTCTCTCGGAATTAGTGACCTCAGAAGTCTTGACCAGGCGCCTGAAAAAAAAAACATTTTATAATATTCAGGGTCGGCTCCAGGATTTTTGGCGCCCTAGGCGAAAATAAATTACCGCCTAAATGCCTTTTTAGATATCTCGCCTTCGTTATCGGTTGCTGTGTATGGAACACCGGAAAAACGTTTTTGTTGATGATTGTTGTATTGATTTCATTACCTTCGATCAATGACCAAAATATGTTAACGAAATGAATTTATCAGAGGGATTGTAAATTCCATGCAGAAAAAATTGGGGCGGTACAAACCATATGACGAATGAATAAAATAATGAATGGTTATATAAGTTCACTGCTTCATTAACAAAATCAGTTACTGGCTAGCCTAATAATTATTTACTACATAATGTTTGTTGCAGTTAATTAACTTTGCTTAAGCTACCGGACTGAGTCATGACCGGTGGGAAAAATCGTGTCTGCGTAAAGTTTGGGTCGGTGTATGACAAAGAAAGTATTAGGAAAAATGGAATAGAAATATGTTTATGCAATTCACTTTTATACTCCATCACTAACTAACTGAATACGGTCCTGAATTTGGATGTCTACGGCTCGAATAATCTAACAGACTGATAACAGATTTCTACATCTCTACTGCACATCTTGAAGTAGGGACTTCTCACCGGCCATGACTCAGTCCGGCAGCTGTACTAATGATAATTATTGAGTAGCCAGTTTCTTGTGTAATTAATTGCATTATTCCTGGATAATTCATAAGAGCTTTGTCATGTTTAGGAATTATAATTTGTGTATATCATGAACATACGCATTATATTTTATACATTTTATGTACATTAATGTATAAACATTTTTGCGAATAGTCAATTTTTCCAATGCACAGAAAATGACTATAGTTGTTATTTTGTTTATTCATATAATTCCTTCCTGGTAATAACTAATCAATAATCGATAAGTGTTAGTTTCAAATTACCCCTTACTTTCAATGTCACAGTTGAAAATTGTGATTGGTATGTTGAGAATCGTTTCTACCGAAATTTGTATATGCCGTAACTTTTCGCGGTGAAGGTTCAGACTTCCACTACATAAAAATCATTGACATTCAACAAATCTAAGGAGATGAATGGAAAAGAAGAGAACAAAATTTCAAATCAAGATATTTCACAACGTTTCGATTGTTAGTAGGTTTTCTTATTCAGTGCACTGTGGTACATTTCAGTTTAAGACTTGCTATACTTTAATGCATTTTATATCGTTCTCAAATAATTCATTTATCAGGTTGTGAAATATTATTTACCCAAAAACTTTGAATAAGATTATTTCCTTTTCATTCGCATCACAGTAATTTTTGATTCGTAGAAGTAAAATCACAAAACACATTGGTGATTTATAAACAAATCAGATGAGCTTGAAAAGCACCTAAAAGCAACATAATTATTATTCTTCTATAAATATGTCGATTAATTTCTCACTCGTTCCGGCCCTGTCCGATGTCCAATAGTACCAATTACTATAACCATAACACCATGTAGGAAGTCACATTAAAACTTCATCATCAAATAATTTATGAATGGTATTTGAAAGACTGATATGTGGCTTGTTCTGAAGATGTGGGTCAGTAGTTAAATAAGTTCATCGAGTTTCTAACCCTTCTAGGCGTAACAATGGACAATAAATCAACTTCGATGGCGCAGACAATACATGTTTAACATTCTTGAGATGCAGTCAGTTGAAAAGCTAAACTATTGTACTATTGAAAATGAATGGTAGACTCACTAATTTAGGAGGCAACCTCACTGGCTCATGGGAACTTGCTCAAGAATTTAAAGTGACACAAAGATACAACTTGTAAACACCAGTACTTATCGAAACTGTCTGTGGTTTTTGAACCGTTGACTGTTGGAATTTCTTCTTGACATTTCGTCGGTGTTTGGCTGACATCATGTGAACATCCAGTCTTGGAAGCAATGACAGACCTCTGGAGACGTCGACCACTCGCGCCAGCGAAACGTCAGGAAGAAATACCAACAAACGACGGCCTAAAAATGTGAAAACACAAACAGTTTCAAAAGATGGCTATGGAAGCCTACGTTTCTACATTAGTCCTTATTACTTCAATTACAATTACTGTCGTGTCTGCACTAGAACTGACTTGTTGTTTGATTGTCACTTCTGATTTTTCAAGTTTTGGTAGTACTTGCTTCGCTGTTTGTAACACACTCTCCCCATTGTTATTTATTCGACCACTGTGGTGTACTATCTGGAAGTGGTGTCATCGACAATGTGGATCTCTGATCCAATGTCGAATTAACTACGTGAGGTAAAGACATTTTTAGAGTTTTGAAAAATGACCCACTCACCTTTCTTGAAGGAACTCTCCACCAGACTTTTTTCAAGCCTCGCCAGACCATCTCCAGGGGCGGGCATTCCTTGCTGTCCGGGTATTACGAAGATAGTGCTTGTTATCTGATCCTTGGTGCCTATCGAGACAGCTGTGACATCTAAACTGGGCTCGTATCCGGCTAAAAATCCAGACTTGTAGACAGCTGCTGGTATGGGAACTAGTCTCCTTTGTCGAATTGAAGGTAACACCACAAAGTGTAGTTCCCCATCGCGGCCTTCTGTTGAAGTTTTGGCACAATCCGTCTGTAAATAATTAGAATTAGAAACTGATGGAAAGAGTAGGTTTACAGTAGGGACAATAAAAGAATGCACATACGTAGTCAACAAATTATGCGATAAAACACATACTTTTGAATAGCATCCTTTTCTTCTACAAATGAAAAAGGGAAACGAATCGATTAACGTTTATGTTTTATCGGAGAGAGCTCTTATTTGGATAATATTTTCTTTCTTATCGAGAAAAAATACCTGTCTACGCAAACTATTTCTGACCTTGATATCTTGTCCCTTTCAAAAGTTGAGAGGGATGGAACTGTTTACGTTCGCACTATGTATTGCTAGTGAGACACAGAGGACCTTTCTGCTTGTCTCATGTGGGGCTTACAGGACGACGCCGACGGCTGCGTTTTGTGTGATCTCAGGTATGGCCCCTCTTCACCTCGAAGCCTGTGCCAGATACGATAAATAGGGACTGAATTGAGAGAGAAAGATTGGGAATAGAGTGAAAGGAGAAATAAGGTATTCCCCTGGCTGCAAGGCATGTTGCTGGAGGAGATGGAGGATGAAAGAATGGCTGAAGTATATCTTGGCGTCGGGGCAAGAATGGAAGCATGGGCTGGGCGTATGAAGCGCGAGTATGAGTGGGTACTGGGGAATGATAGGATCCCCGGACAGAGCAGTGCGAATGAGGCAGAACTGATAGCGAATGAGGGAGTTATTGGAATATGGGATTCGAATGAGAGTGTAGTAGTGATCAGCGATTCTGCCGTGGTTGTGGTACGAATGAAAGTAGGGCGAAGGGTAACAATAATCCAACGAATGATTGAAGAAAGGAGTGCAAGGGGAGCATGGACCCGAATTATCTGGAAGAGAAGCCATGACAACAACAATTCTGGTAAGAAAAAGACCCATCAAGAGGCTGCAAAAGGAATAGAATGCAAAAAGAATGCATCAGGAAAGAGTGGTAGAGAAAATGGTAGGATGGCAGGACTGGAAGGCTGTTCTACAGGTTCTGTAGAACAGAAACGGCAGAGCATGTGATTGGAAGATGCATGAAACGGGAAAATGAGGAAAGAAAGAAGAAAATGGAAGGAGCAAAGAATGGATCCGGTTTTTCAATCAGTGGGCAGACAATGAAGTGAGAGACGAACGGGATGGATGAATGGTGAGCTGCTAGCTCACCGCAGGTGATGATCATATTAGAATAATATTATTTACAGGTTACTAGCATTACTGTATCGTTTTTTTTGTTACTAGGATCATCCATCAATTTATTCAATTAGTTATTTATGTTATTCCTTTTATATTATGTTATATGAGGTTAGTTAAGATATATAATGTATTTTTAAGGATTATTCATATGCGGAAAATCATTAGGATTAGGAAGATGAAATGAAGCTGGGAAAGATAAAAAACTATCTTCCCTGGGCGTGTGTGAGAAGAGACGTATGAAAGTTACTAAGAAGAAACGGACTGAAAGAGCTTACAAGCCGTATGCTCTGAATATAAGTTCTTTCAAACCACTCATGTGGACGAAACGCTGAACAACCTACTCAATACGAACTTCAGTCAACAATACTGACAAAACAAATACCTATTCCCAAAAATCTTTCTCAAGATATCTATATCGTTTTACACAATCGTTTGAATTGGCTCAGATACAGAAATGTACTTACTTGGAAAATGTTGACGCTAACTCCTGCTAATGGGGACCGAGCGCTAATGGAAGCGTCCTTGAGGAACTCCCTGATCTTTCCCTTAGTATACTTCTTCACCTGCAGGTTGGTTCTTCTCCTAATAACATCACCTATTTCGTTGAAGTTGACATCTTCGACAAATCCATCGTAAAACGCCTTGGCCCTTTCCTTGTAGAACGGTAGCAATTTTCCTTTCATTTTATCGCTGAACAGCTCCCTGACGATAGCTGAACTAACTACTCCGGAGTTGGGTTTATCCGTTGTGATAGATTCACTAACATCCTTGAATATCAAATGAGGGTTGAAGGTCACCATGTCGTCAAGTTTCAATATTTCGTTCATTTCCCCAGAAGTAGACCCTCTAGCACCTAGGAATATCATAGCTAGTAATGACATGGCTCCGAAGGGAGACAGGAAAACACTCCTTGCAGAACTCAGTTCATTGGTAGCAGTTTTCCAGAAGTCGAACGCTAATTCGTTGCAAAGCTGAGTGAATTGGAATATATCAGTGTCTAGTGACGTGGTAGTGTCTTCCAAACCGAAACCTTGCAGAGGTTTTGCTTTCAGATCTATTGGTGTCGAGGGTGCAATAAAGTCTGCATAGCTTTGTTGGGGCTGTTGCACTTTTTGAGGGGATATTACACTGGGATGGGGAGTTATGATCGAAACGAGGGTCCAGGCATCATCAGCATCTGGTTGTTTCATTGCTTGTTTCTTTAGATCTTCGCTGTTGGCTCCTTGATTTGAGAGCTGGCTGTTGCTCTCATTTGATGAATCGCCTTCTGAAGATATGTTACTTGTATTTACAGTAAGAACGACGATATTTTTATCTTTGGTTATATCATTTGTAGTATTATTCGAATCATTGTTAGCTATTTTTTCCGTTGTAGAAAAGTTTGGTATGTGTGAAGAAGCGGATGTGTTCATACCTGGAATATTTTCTTTTTGAAGACTTGTTTTATTACCACTACTGATAGTGTCATTACCTAATGTATTATTGGTATTTTTGATACTTTTTTCAGTGGTTTGATACTCACTTACATAGGATGATACTGTTGTTTGGTCAATGATATTTTCATTTGAATTTGGAACTACAGTGCTTGTATCGATTTCATTTTCTCCGAACTTATTGATGACTGTAATATTTGTTTGTGTATCATTTGATTTCATGACCTTTTTATCAGTAACATTTTCGTGTTTTTCTGTTTTCTCACTGGACGTATTCGTTTTCTTTTCACTGATGATTATTTCCACTGTAGGATGGTCAGTTGCTCCAGCTGAAGACGTACCTGGTGCGTGAACAGTTCCTACTTCATGAATTTCCGTAGTAATTTCAGTCTTCCCTTCAGATTCAGTTGTCACTGGTGGTTCCGAGGTGTTATCTTCTGGAGCAGAAGTTTCTACGCTAGTTGTTACACCCACAGTGGTATCTTGAGTTATCATCACCGTCGTCGTCGTCGTCGTTTCTGCTCCAATTTCATTCTTAGTATTCTTAATTGGACCAGTGTTGTTCACAGCTTGTTGAGAATCAGAACTTTTAATGTTTTCTTTTGAATTTGGTACCGTATTATTCATAAGAATGGGCTTGTCTAATTCTACCTTGGTACCAGAAGTTTCCAGAGTTTGGTTTTTCACAACCTCTGTATTTTGGTCGGAGAAAGTAGTCGAAGATAAGTCTGTTTCAGATGTTGATATAGTACTACTGAAAATGTTGGTATTGGATTCAACAGACGGGGAACTAGAACTAGGAATGGCCAAATTTGCTGCAGGATCAATGGGGTCAAGGGGAATTTCATTTTCCAGTTTAGCCATACTTTGTATTTTAGTTATATTTTCAGGGCTTGGCATTTCCAGTGTATCATTCATACTAGATACCAGGCCACCAACATCGTTGAGCGTTTGAGAAAGAAGTTCTTGTAAACTTCCAATAAATGTTGGGTCAGTTGTAGAACGATCAATATTATTGCTCATATCAGTTGTGAGTAATTTTTCCAAAGTAGTCCTTTCCGACATTTCAGCATCTTGCTGCTCCTTCGGAGATTCAGTTTGTGCTTCAAAAAATTTTGTAGAAAGTTCAAGTTGGATAGATTGTAGGTTATTCGAATTATTGTTATTTTCATTGGTTTGAAAAACTTGGAGAGGTGTTGTTAGTATTTCTTGAGTAGTTTCTTCTACAGTTTGCCATTTGTTAGTTTCACTTTCAGCTTTAAAGAAAGGAGTTGTCGATGGGAAAGTTGTTTCTGGGACAGTTGTTCTTGAACTCTGCGAAGACATCAACTCGGTTTTGTTTGAAGTGGATGCAGGCTCAATTGTTGTGAAGGTTGAAGACATGACACTACTTGAGGAAGAAGTACCATCTTGGTTGTTGGATAAATCTGGCCTCCAGGTTGAGAGTGGCATTATTACTTCCTTAGTTTCTAGAACAGTGGATAAACTGGGAGTCCAGGTTGAGAATTGGGCATTGTCCGGTAGTTCAGTATTGGAATCAGTGGGAGATGGAGTTTGAGAATCAGAAGTTACCGTTTCGGTTTCTGTTTTCTCCATAGATATAGTAGTTTGAGAGATATCATTGTTCGGCGATGATGTCACAGACGCATATTTTTCCTGATTTACCATCACTTGTGGATTATCAGTTATTTGGGTCGGTATCTGCTTCTGAGGAGGATTTGAGGAAATTGTTGGATTGTTAACTACAGTTTTAATAGTCGATGAAACTTTATCTGTGCTAATGAGATCAGTAGTACTGTGTTTTATATCATTGCTGGTGGTCACCGTATTCTTTTGCTGAACTACTGGTGAGTATGTTGTGGAAAATAAGTCTACTGACAGAGGTGTTGCCGAAACTGTAGTTTCATCGAGTTTTAAAGTTGAAGTTGTTGGTTTCATAGTGGATTGAACATTATCCTGTGTTTCTATCGTAATAGTATCAGGGGTAATATGCACGATAGGTTTTTCTGGCTTGATATCAGCGCCGGAGTTTCCGAATACAGCTGGTAGTATCATGCTCCACGAGTCGGAAACATCTGGAGTGTCGAATATGGTATTGGTTCCTAGTTTATTTTTGTGGAGTTCCATTTCTTCCTTGAGAACATCTTGAACGTTAGTAAGGACATCTTTCACCTTTTTTTCGGGAATATAACTTTCAGAAATCATCGAATCGAACTCAAGTCCATCGCTGTCCCCAGTTGCTATGATCGTCTTGATTTCTTCCAAAGACATTAGTCGCCTGACCAGATTGCCGTTATCATCGAAAGTATAGAATTCGTATCGATCTGGATTCAGAAGGTTGATTGGACTTGCCAAATCGGCATGAGCTGGAGGTTTTCCTACGGGTTTACCTAGTGCATCAGTGTATACGGTTTTGGATCCATTGCCATTATCCATTATCACCGACACGGAAGTCACAACACTGAAAAAAAATCATAAATAAGTATCAAATATTCAGATAAAAATCTATCTGATCACTTGTTGAAGGATTTTTCAGAGCTCCCATAAAGAATGCCACAATTATACTACAATGGTATAATTACGAGGGTGTTTTGAATAGTTTCCGACCTAACAAAGATACAAGACATTTTTTTTTTTAATTTTTCAACAAAGTCAGTCCTTTTTCAACTCCACACACTTCTTCCAGCGATGCTCTCATCTCTGTAATCCGTCCACATTGTCCTCGGGTTTTTCTCTGCGAAATAATTATTAACGAATTTGATTGCCTTTTTCTTTGACGAAAATCCCTGTCCTTTGAGCGCAATTTTCAGATAAGGGAACAAAAAGAAGTCGCTTGGGACTAGATTTGGTGAGTAAGGCGGATGGTCAAGCAGTTCAAACCGTAATTCGTAGACTGTTGTCATGGCAACCGTGAAACAGGATTTTATTTTACCGCAAATGTGGACATTTTTTCCTTTTTGAAGATAATCGATTGAAATATCTCCGTGACTATCCCAAAAAACAGTGCCATCTCTTTATCAGCCAAAAAAAACAGTTTTTGCTTTTTTTGAGCCGGTTCCCCCCTCTGCAGTGCACTATTTGGACTGTATTTTTCTTTCGGGCGAATAATGGTGTATCCAAGTTTCATCTGCAGTAATGAATGCACCAAAACTCTGATTTATCGAGCCTTAACTTCGCCACCAGAGCGTTGGAAATGATCATTCGAATACGTTTTTGGTCTAACGTGAGCAAACGCGGCACCAAACGAACGGATTGCTTTCGCTTGCATAAATGTTGATTTAATATGTGACAAACACGTTTTTTTGACATATCCATAACCCCTGCTATCTCTCTCATTTCACTTTGGCAGTCGTCTAGCAACATTTAGTGAACTTTGGCGATGTTATCGCAGATAGTTGCAGTTTTTGGACGTCCCAAATGTTCATCGTGTCCCAAGCTCTCACACTCACGTTTGAATTAAGCTGCCTAAAATTTCACTGTGGTAAATGATGATGCAGAATCCCATACAATGAATCCAAATCATCTTTGATTTGCGCAGGCGTTTTATATCATATTAGACAATGGAAGTCCCAACTAATGAAATGTACCACGAAACATTGTCAACCACCTTCAAACACAAGAGCTTTGTTCTAATAAAAAATCAATTTGATCCACGAAATGCGATTTTTGTGATTTTTTTCTTTGAACGAACCATGTTTTATGTAAATCATCGAACAATTTATAAAGAATTGTATGACTCTAGCTAGAAGATATGATAACTTAGAACTTAGACAATGATGTTGGGAATCTGATTATTCTGTAGTTATAGTCGATACGAAGTCACTCCAAACAGCTAAATAAAATACTAATGTACCGGGTCAGATATTACTAGTTAATACCATATGAAACGTCCCACATAAAAGTAATGATTAGACAAAAAAATCATACCACGCCGCCAATGTCTTACAAAGAAACTGTCGACGTTCGGTAACTTTTAGTTTTTATGCCGTTCGAGTTGTCTTCGTATGTACTATACTAATAATATCAAATACCTACATTAATGTATCAGTAAAAGTATATGAAAATAAACCATAAAAACAACTCCACTACAGATATCTTCAAAGCAACAGTGATTCTTCAAAATATGTTAAACTAGATTACAATCTGAGGGTAAGTTTTTCATCTATTTATAGAATCAACTGGAATTCAGTTGAAAAAACTTTACATAACGTATTAGATTTTCAGTTTGTATTGGCACAATATCAAACGTTGGTTATTAGTACACTCTATTATAATGGATGTGTTATTACACTATTGACTAGTAAATGACTTGATAATTATCTGGAAAATTAACGAAATAAACAGAGAAGAGTTCTTTGGGAAAAGGAAATTTTTGTTCCAGGTATTGAATTATGGGAAATATTCAAGGTGTTATGTGGAATCAAAGGACATTTCGATAAGGAAAGTGATTTTGTTGAAATTTGAAAAACTATACAATGCGTCCAAGGTAGGGAGGCCCATCATGGAAAATCAGAAACCGTGAAAAATACAAAGTACTAACTGAACGATTATGGTGCTATACCAGTGAAGTTGTCTCCAAAAAGGCTAACTTATACCGGGTGATTGTTTCAAGCCCACATGAAAAATTGGTGATGGTTTCTCAGAGATGAAACATCAGATTAAAAACCTGCAGTTTTTTTCAATATCTTCTAAAATCAGTCATGAAACAGCTGAAAATAAACTGGGAACTTTCAAACTCTGGGGGTGACTATATAAAATAATATTTGTTCATTTTATTTTTACGTAGGAGGTTTGGAGTAACATTTCTTTTCATTCCTACATAAGGTATAGAGAAAGAGGAATCGGAATAATCTGTAATGGATCAAAATACTACACTAAGATGAAATATGCATAGAAAGTAGTTTTGGTAACTGAGTTTACTTTCTTTCCAAATTCAGAATAGTGAGTCACTGCATGAAATTTAAGAGTGGGTCATTTGACCTATTGAAATATGAATGTCCGTTCGTGGGTATTGTGTTCGGAAGGTAACTTTCATCTATTTATAGAGCTGTACAGAAATGAGGTGAAAAAACGTAATACAAATTATTGACTCCTTAATTTGCAGTGATATTTTAAATAATACCAGTAGGTTTGTATTCAATGATTATGAATGTATTAGACACTAGTCGAAAACTATTGTGTTATTTCAAAAGTTCTATCAGTTTTAATATCTTGTATTTCTGTTTTTGTAGCTCCATATCTTAATAAATATTTATTCTTTTATGTCGTGGAATAAACCGATCGATAGGAATCTTATACTTTATACATTGTGGTGTTTATTTTTTCTAAATTTTAATTTTTTGCCTTCTTTTAGCTTATTACGTTATGATGTCGTTAGACAAATTCGTTAAATTTTTTTCTACAAATTCAGTTTGTACCAAAGATCCCAAAAACTCAACCGGGCATTTGGCAATACTAATGTTATTGAACACACTTTTTGACGTTGATTTGCGAAATTTCGTTCCGGAGATGTACGCCTCTAACTGGCCGTTTTACAGTAATCCAGGAAGAGGATTTGAGGATCCTGGTGGAGACTGATGGCGTGGGATGGCGGAAGAACTGGAAGTCAACTCCCATGCGTTTTTGCTGGTTTGAAACGTATTGGAAAGGTCAAAGAGCTCGGAAAGTGGGTGTGCCACAATTTGAACAATCGACAAAAATTGTCACATTTCGAAGTCTATTCTTCTTTGCTTTTGCGCAACCAAAACGATACTTTTTTAATCGGATCGTCGTGTGTGATGAAAAGTGGATCCTCAACTACAACAGGAGACGGCCAGGACAGTGGTTGGACACCGATGAGCCACCCAGGCACTTCCCAAAGATGAAAAGACACCATAAAGAAACTATGGTTACTGTATGATGGTCAGCGGAATTCTGCTTCACCCCCCCATACTCTCCAGACCTCTCGCCAACCGACTAGTATCTTTTCAAGCACTTGAATAACTTTCTCACCGGTAGAACCTTCGCCAGTCAGGACCAGGCAAAAAGGCCTTCATCGACTTCATCAAATCACGAGCACACAGTTTTTATGCTATTATTGAGTAATCACTGAGACATCACAGGTAAAAGTAGACTCATACAAACGGGCAAAACTTTGAAACAACCTAATTGTTCGAAACTTTTGTTGTGGTTTCATAATAGAACAATCAGTTACAAACATAGCGGTGCCAATATGACAAAAAAATATTTCAATTCGCCTTTTTTTAATTAGATTTTCATCAGTTTTATTCATGAAAAGTCCATATACTAGGTTAGGTTAGGTTAGGTTAGGTCTAAAGTGAGTGGGTCTAATCCATAAATCTTCTTGTCATCCAGGTGTTCAAAGTTTGTTTGGCAAACCCTAAAGCGATGCCAATGACAGGTTCTGGTCAGATGAAACTGCTTGCAGAACCCACCTTTGCAAGGGAGTTAGCAGCTTCGTTGCCTTCCAGGCCAGTATGGCCAGGAATCCAGACTAGAGACAATGTGTTAAGTCTTCCTATCGAGGAGAGTCGTTTTTGGCAATTTGCTACCAATTTAGACGTTGTTTGGTAGGAGCCAAGAGCTCCTACCACTTGAAATACAGTCGCATAAGTTCCTAGGCAGGTAGATCTCTCTGTCCTGGGTCTGCGACTATAAACACCTCCACCAGAACCGGAAGGTGTTTTTGATCCATCTGTGAACCAACAACTATCTGCTCTTAATATTTCCTTCTCCTGGAGGAACCAGTCCTCTCTACTCGGGAATAGTACTTTATTAGGCAGTTCCTAGTTATCAGTTGGAGGCATAGAGTCAGAGGTCATTTCCAGAATGCTGTGACTTCCAACGTCAACCAACAGTCTGTTGCACTCTGCATTAAATTGATTTGTGCAATTGGCAATGTGCATAAGTCTGTAAGCAGTCCATCTAGCCTCTCTCTCCAAAAAAATGTGGAGAGGAGGTAGATCTAGAAGGATATCCATGGTCGCTGACGGTGTGGTACAGATGGCACCACTGATGACCAGACAATCCTGTCTCTGTAAGTCAGAGAGCTTCGCTTGGGCCATATACTAAGTCCATACACATAGTTGAAAAACAGCGTCTGCTGGCCCTTCAGCTTTTCATCACCTTTGACTATGTTTTTTATCGATGTACTTCGTTGTATGTTGGTGATGAATAAAGCTGATTTATTATCATTAATGGCAGGACTTTCAGCATGGGGACAAACTTCATTTTCCATAAACTAATACCTACGCCTTAAGGAAAAAATAACTGGCACTGCGAGAATAGTTAAAAAAAATTATCGTTTGAACAGACATGGAAAACAAATTCCTCGAAAGAAATAGTAAGTGGAAGGACGTAAGTGAAACTACATTGAAAGTTGAACCTCTGGAAATAATTCCTACAGACAACAGTTGGACGGACCTCATTCTCATATTTTGCTATCAAACCCTCCATGAGCCACGTGCTGATCCACTGAGATCTTACCTTGATCCCAAAATTTTCCTTGACTGATCGCCATCCACGCTATCACTGAATTCGTCGTCGGGTATTGCTAGGGAAACTTTGGTTGTCAACAGTATCATCACCCATATTGATGTAGACAAATTCTGAAAAAAGAGAAGATATTTTCCATCACTATGATTTTCGAAATAAATATTGAAAGCTGCTAGGAGCAGAATAAGTAATTTGAACTGATATATTGGAGTTTATGATAATCAAATAAAAATATTACAAGATAATTATTGGGAAAAACTATTATAATTGTCTATGATTTCAATGTTGAGGTAGCGTAGGTATTTTCCAGATTTGAATATCGATGTTTACTGCGTATCTTCCGATCCATTCTATTACTCGCACATTTAAGGGTAAGACCTCGTTGATCTTTAGCCCTGGCAAGTTCCAACTCCTGGAGGTTTTTTTTAGAACGGGAGCGTTAACTGGTTGACGGAGAAACACATTTTTTTCAAAAACATTTTTCGATTTCTATACTTTTAAAGACGCCTGAAAGCTTAGTGTTATGAGTCGGTCTCAACAATGTCAAGTATTTGTCATTTATTCTGTGACAGCTTTCCAAAAAATGTTTAGCGACATTGGTCTCGATATGAAACGGAATATGTCAAACGTGGCCCGTAAAAGGAGCTGTTACAGATCGCCAAGTTTGACCAACATACATCAAACCCTTACCATTATTTCTTATAACTTCACCTTATTCGTTGCAGAAATGGCCAATACATCATTCACATATTGGATTATCCATTTCATTATGTTTCATGCCAATTGAAAGGTTTTGTTTTTATTACTACCAGTTTCTAGACCACCATGAAGATTACTTCTATTGCTTCCATCAACAACTAGTTGTTCATACGATCCGTAATCAAATTCATTTCATATTCGTATCAGATAAACATCTGCTATCGCCTTTCTCGTCTTCAAAAAGTTGTTAAATATAAACTTTTCTAGAGCACCGGCTCAGGCATTTCAAACTAATGAATTTCATAACGAATCAAGTAGTTTCCGTGACACACTATTCATAAAACTTGCCTCTGACTCAACATTTCAAGAAATTCGTATTATTTCTCTTATTAAGAACAATTTACAGTTCTATAACCTACCTTTGTTTGAATCCTAATTACTTTGTTCCACTTGGCTTTATGACTTATGGATTTATTGGCGTTTTATGATTTTTCCCATTGTTCCTAACTTTCCTCAAACATCCATATTTGTTGTTTAATAAATTAATAGAATTATGGTATAGCGGAATGTACAGCCGACTCACATATTTTATCAGATTTTCATTACTATTAAAATTTATTGTGCTACCTATTATCGCTACAAGGGATGCTGAAAAAGTACTATCCTCAAAAACCATAAAAAATGCATTGCCATATTCAGGGCATTTTCTAATTGCGGTAAAAAAGGTGAGGGCGATCTTCAAGATTATTTTTGATATTTTCATTAGTATTAAAATTCATTGTGCCACCTAATGTCGCTACGAGGGATGCTGAAAAAGTAATATCCTCAAGTAAAGTAAACAATACAATAATTGCCATATTCAGGGCATTTTCTAATAGCGACAAAAAAGGTGAGGGCAATCTTCAAAATCATTTCTGATATTTTCATTGGTATCAGAATTTATTGTGCTACCTATTATCGCTACGGGGATGCTGAGAAAGTATTATTCTCAAGTACAATAATCAATACAATAATTGTTATATTCGGGGCATTTTCTAATTGCGGTAAAATAGGTGAGGGCGATCTTCAAGATCATTTCTGATATTCACCGTGGTGAGATGTTTGTTTCAAATTTGATGATTCGTCAACATGTGCTGAGAATATTTCATAAGGCATGTATGCATGGAAGCAATCATAACAATGTCTCGATGAAACCCATGTTGAATATTTTTATACCTAAATCATTTTGAGTCTAGTGCTGGCTTACGGTTTTCTTGAAAAAGAGGGTCATTTGTGTTATGAAACGGTAAATTATGCTAGTTGGGAAAGGCTACTAATCCAAACAACAAACTAGCTGAATAAGTAAAGGGATAGATAATTTGAAATAGCTGAAAAATTATGTTTGTTGTACCGTAATTGTGTAGATTGCATCTTGCTAACTCGTGAGTCGTGATTTATCAACTAGTTCAACAACATAATTATGCCATAATTATGTCGTGAACATTTTCTCAACTGAGACTCGAAACAATCCAACCTCGTTTGTGATTCCGAGTTTGCGGCTAATTATATTTTACCGTTTCATTCATCTTGGTTTTCAAAAACTCAACACAATCTTTTTTCGGAATACTCGTAAAAGTTTTTTTGCCAATTGGACGAATGCAGAAGGCTGTCATTCTTGACTGACTGCGTTTGCTTAGGGCACATGACTCTCGGACCCAATGATCACTTACCCCACGGTGTGGGGAGTGGTCATTGGTTGATTATGATGGTGCGTTCTCCTGAATGTATCGAGGCCCGACCAGTGCATCCTTAGAGAAAAAATAATAATAACTATAATAATGGCGCTAAGAAATAGCGCCATGGAAAATTACCTACCAAAGGGCAGAGTTCGTACCCTTAATCGGGAGCGAACTGGATATTTCAGAATATGAACACTTCAGATTTACCACTAAACTCTTATACAGATTTATATAAAAACAGGCTTTCACGGCCGGAACAAAATCCTGGCTGGTGGGTTTTGATCGAAAGGAATTTATAGTTCCAAACGTTTCGTCTGCTACTGCGACATACATTTTCAATGGTGTATGCATTGACTGCGAGACCAGAAGCAGTATTTCGAAGTCTCAGCAATGACTAGCTTAAGAGTTCCCTGGTCACTTGTATATATACTAGTAGAAAGTGGGGAGAAGTACGGTGACTACTTCTGATTGGTCGGCACTTTTGCTAGGTTATGCTGATTGGTCCACGGTTTATTAGGTGTATTGCTGGTGGGATGTTCCGGAATTACAAATTTCTTCGGTTGCATAAAGCATGAGGTGTTCTCGTATCCTAGTGTTGATGCTGCTCTTGGTAGTTCCGATGTAAAGCATTGAATCAGAGGATCCTGTAAATGCCGGCGGATGATAGAGGTTCTTTCTTGTCGATGGTAGATTTGATGGTGTAGCGTAGTTTACTAGTTGGCTTCTAAATGTGTTTTTGTTTATGTAAGGCGGTTACGGATTGCATTTGTATAGTCTACAAACGAGAAGGTTGCAATGCATTGCTGCTAACCATCGCTGAAGATAATTATCGCAGTTATGGATGAAAAGTTCGGAGTTAATTACTTCATTGGGCCAAGATTATCCAGCCCGGATAACCAAAGTTTGTTAAGAAATCAAGCGATTGCTTTGATGTAGTATTGAACAGTGTTTTAAAATTCTGGATTCTCAGTTACATAATAAAGAAATGATAGACTTTTTGTGTTACAATAATGTTTAAACTGTATAGATATTATCCACTGTGCTCCAAACATCAATAAAATTGTTGTCGTCATGCTGCTTCATCATGTCAGGTTGTGTTTTGTAAACAACGTACTTGAAATGTCTTTAATCAAAGAGGTCTAAAGGTGTCAAATCCGGTGTTTTAGGTGCTTGATGAGTTTTATTCAAGAAATATAGGACCAGTCATAGCATTTTAAAGAATATCAACCCATACATTCAATTATCGTTGCCACTCTGATCTCTCCATGAATCATATTCATTCTTCTTTGAAGAGAATGAATTATTTTGAGTCATTTTCTTTAAATTATCGCAAAACAGCATATCAAGTTTCTCTATATTTTATCATTATCAATCAGTAAATAAAATGACATATTTAGATATATACGAGTACATGAATTGTCATTTACGATGGGAAAATCATATCAATTTTTTAATTGAAACATTTTGCTTTGGTTAGAGGTCACCTCTCGTACGGAAGCATAGCTTAGGAGAGTGTTCGATAAATTTTGTGAAATTTGTGAAACTAGGTGATATAGTTACAATAAACCAAGAAAATACTCTTCTCTTGATCATCATTAGGGAACAGCTAGAATTGATATGTTCCAGAACATCTCATAGTCCAGCATAAATAAATTAAATTAATTTTCTTATATACTCGTCAGTTAAAATGAATTAGTTTTGTGTTGAATCCACAAATATTTTCAACAGTCACATACGAACACAAATAATATGAAGTGTACGCAACGCTTGGATTATTTTTTTTGTAGGTTTCCATTATTCGTCGTTAGATTATATTCTAATTGTTGTCTAACTTTGTATCTACTTATGATGAATAAACTTATCACTATATTATTATTATCACTCGAGTCAAAGTGTATTTTTGAAAACCCAATCAAATGAAAAAAGAGAAAATTTGATTCGATGGTGTTTACATAAAAGGGAACTTTCCAAGAATACTGATTTCAGTTAAACTGAACGGACTCGTACTCTGAATCACTCCTGAAAGTATACCCTTAATCTGCAGGCATTCATCAATATAGTCTTCACCATACGCGTAATTAATTTCCCTGTGGTTTTCCATGATTACTTGTCATTATATTCGAATTGTTGTCTAACTTTGTATCTTTTCGTGCTAAATATTATAATTATTATCCCTCAAGTCGGGATATATTTAAAAACTCGATGATGTTAAATAAGGATAGGTTAGCACTGTGGTGCTAACATAAAAGGGAACTCTCCCAACAATATTGATTTTAGTTACCCTAAATAAACACTTATTGTAAATCACCCCTAGAAGTCTACCCTCAATTTGCACGTAAACGTCAATATTTAGAAGTTAAACTCACCTGCAAAAACATCTCGAATCGAAGAATAAACGCCACCCGAAATCAACGATATGATTTTGTCAGAGATTAGTGTTGAACAGAAGAACGCATTATCCCGATTTACGACTGGAAACAAAATTCATTGATGTTTTGATTTCTTATAAAAGAATCGACCGACAAAAAATCTCGTCGAAGGATACTCCGATTGTTATCTGCCCCTCGTAACGCTTCCAACAGTTAAAAAATCTTCGAGACACAAGGTAATCAACCTCTGCGCGGGACTTTGTCTTCTGAAGAAACCGTGTGCAACTGGCGAACTGCCGAAGAAGATGCGAGATGAATATGCTAGTTCTTCGCGGAGTCAATGTCACCATTTAGTACAGTAAAATTAGTTACAAACTCGGGAAAGTTTTCGTGAATCAAATTTTTCAGCATCTTTAATTTTGCTGCTTGAAATCTCTCTGATTTGTTGATTTCTTCCATGTCTCCTTCCATTCCATGCCTCATACGCTCATAGCTTTTTCTTCCCATCATTTCGTGGCAACTATTCCAACAATCAAATTATCTGAAAGAACAATTCGTTCAGGCCAGTCTCAAATTACCTACACTGTAGGTTGATTGTCTAACACCAATCAGGAAATAACTACTCCTCTGGCTAATACCACGAAGGGCGTTGGATTATATCCGACACGAGTCAGTGCAGGATTCTTTACTAAACTTATTCCTGCATATGCTGTTGGTGATACAACTGCCGCAATCGATTTTCAATTATTGAAAAACACTCTTGCAGACCGGTTACCTTGCAGTGACGAGTAGCTGTTTGGCCACTCGTTACTGCAAGGTAGTATCTATCATCAAAATGAAGTCGATGATTTCACATAATTGAAAATTGAATTCCTTTCAGAGTATCATTCCTCGAACTAGGCAGAAGCAAATGACAAACAACATGTTTGTCATCGCCCCATCTGTACGTGAACGAGGTAACCAACCGCATATCCAAAATCTGCCCAATTCCTCGTATGAGGAAGAAAACGTTTCAAAATGATTGGGCTTACTTGGAGACTGGCTGTAAATCGAATTATCTAGAAGAACAACTCGTTCAGGTCAGTCTCAGGTCAGTCCGGCAGTTGTATCGCCAAAGCATGTACAGGAATAACTTCAGGTAGTTCCTGCACTAACACCTGTCGGATATATTCCAACGCCCTTCGTGGCGTGGTTTTGTGATAAGTGCACAGTCCATTAACTCACAGTGAAGGTGAGTTGAGAATGGCCTGAACAAATTGTTCTTTAAGATAATTTGATTCACAGCCAGTCTCCAACTAGGCCCACTCATTTTATGAAAACATTCCAAAAGTCTTGTTTCCTGCGTGAATGCTTTAAGTATGTGAATGGACGAATATCCGAATCTTGGCTTTAACGTTGGCCCCTTTGTTGGTTAAAACCCACACATCGTCTGTAGGTCTATGTAGCTAAAAAATCCTACTCATCCTACGGTATGTGTATTCATGCCCAGAGGATGTATGACGCATACGGTCTCTAGCTATCGATATCTTTATGGACCACGAAGAAACCAAAGAATTCGATCCGTGTCGATAGAGAGGATGAATGTCGACTAAATGATCACAAGTTTTCTTCCTGTAATATTGCTTTGACAGCAAGAACTTTTTTCAGTTCTCCAACTCCCCACCCCATTAACAAACCTAGGAAGCTGGGTGATGCAGCCAGAAAACAGTTTATCACTTCCTCGAGAGTAGAGTATTCTTCAGATCTGCCTTGCACCACATTCTTGAGCAGCAGAAGCAGAATCTTCATCAGGAAAGAAAACAATATATTCAAACAAGTCAGAATGAAGAGAAGGAACCACGACCTGTCAACCCTGAAGAGGTTTTTCCTGTTATTCTCCACGAAGAAAATGAGGCCTGTTGCCTGATCAGGTTTTTAGCGTTGGGCAGATTCCTACTTTTGTCGGCTTCGGTAAGAACCTGGATACATTTGGTGGAGTCTCAATAGATGTTAGCTACACTAAACCTTCTGCGCTTGCAGTGGAGGGTCACATATAGGCCCACCCATCAACTACATACCTTTCATATATCTATACTTTCATAAGCGCTAACTATTGTGTGTTTTAAGTCTTCTTTGTGTTTCTTATTGGTCAGTTTTTGATCTGATTCCTTACCATATATTTTGGGACTTCCATATTTGGAGAACACCCATATAGGTAGTTGGTGATCTGTGTCCAGCTCACTCATTAGATTTTTTATTGTTGGTGATTCTCGAGTACTCTGACACCCCATTTAGACTGCATATCTAACAGGGAAATATATGGAAGAACATTATGTGGAAAATAAAAACGAAAATGCAAGGTATTATAAACATATTGTGTATAGCATACATTGAATTAGAGATTAAAGAAATTCATATATAAAACTGGCAGAAAAACAATATAGAGTTTGTATGGTGTTTCACTACTGAGGAGCTACTTTTTTTTAATACGGAACAAAGAGTTTTTCATTAAGAGCTTCCTATCTTTGAATTTATAAAACACATGTTTGTGAGATATCATCGAATTTTTTTTTTCATTTGAAAGACCTATTGATGCCATTATCTGTGGAATGTAACATCGTTCAAATATCCGCCACGGCTTTTCTGGGTGGCACGCATCCGAAACGTCCAATTTTTCATGACTGGCGTATAAATCAGGCTGAATTTTGCTGATGGCATGGATTATGTTGACTTTGAGAATCGTTGTGGTTTTTGGCTCATTGCGACTTGCGGCCCCTGCGACTTGACAAAACTCCACAAGAAAAGTCTAACGGGTCAAATCACACGATCTCGGTGGCCAGTTCACATCACCGCCACGTGAAATGACTATGTCCTCAAGTCGCCACTGCAGAATATCCAGTGTGGCATGAGCTGTGTGGCACGTAGTGCCGTCCTGTTGAAATCACTTATCGTTGGTGTCAGGTTAGGTCCAAAGTGATTGGGTCTATTTAACCCTCCACCGCAACCCGCAAGGGTTTATTATGGCTAACACCTATTCAAACTCGACCAAATAAACCCAGCTTCTCAACGAAGCCGATTAGTTTGTATGGTGAGTGGTCTTTTGGGTTAGATGGTAAGAGTACAGCTCTGCCTAACTCTAAAAACCTGATTCGTTCCCCAGCGGAGCAGGCACAAAGTATATGCTCTGCTGTTTCATCGTTAATGAGGTAGTCGGATGAGTCGTAGTCGATATGAGGGTTTTTGCACGTCAGCTACACCCGACGGTGCCTTAGATTTAACCGTGCAAGACTTTTTCGCCTCTGGTGACTGGTGACGCAAACGGTGACTTTTTCGGAATGCATTGGACGATCTTTCATATCATGTTGATTGGTATCGTGATAAACTTTGTACCCATTTATCCAAAAATGGGTTTCATCGCTGTGGATGATATTTCGATGAAAATTAGGACCAATTTCATCATATGCACTTGTTGTTGAATGCTATATCCGTCCATGGCGATTTGGTAACACAGAATGAATGAATGACAACTTATTTGACAGATGTAGCTTCAACAAGATGGCCGTTATCAATTGTCAAAGTTCGGAAGTCCCTATACATTAAAAACTTGATTGTAGAGCTTCGATTATCTATAACAATTGCTCCAATATAATAATCAACTAATACATACACCACCAAATGAACATTCACATAGTTCACGTAGTAAAACAATGTACTTTTCAATAATACAGTTGATTTGAAAACAAAGGTTTGAAAAAATAAGAAAAACCTCTGGTTTCGACCCTCTTTCCCCGTCAGCACGCCTAAACTGAGTGATTTACTGCAGGAGCTTTTTTACAACAGTCAAAGCAAAGACTACCAGACAATATAAAATACTCAAACTTTTTTTTCATGATTCCGGGGTTTGAGTATTTTTTCCTTCATTTTTACTGTATTAAATGGAGCCCCGGCTAGTCAGGTGCTCGACCTTGACCGATGGACCGTGTGATGCTCCTCTTACTGTGCGAGAAGTCTCCACCTGTCGAAGACAAAAGATTTATTGTTTGATTCAGATTATGTCAAATATTGAGCTCTTCGAAACGGTAATACTAACAGAAACAGGTTCCGTCGAATGAATAAACAATTTATTATTCGAGTGTAACCCACATCAAGGTTTTTACGCACATTTTTTTTCTAATGGACTTGGCATTCTGCACGGCGGTTAGTTTCGTTGGAAGTAACAATCGGTGATCCGATAAAGTGCACTCGATAGGGTCAATAATCTTGGAAATCAATTAAATGTCGAATGCCTTCAATAACTTTATCTCTATCTTCAGTTATTTATCTAATAAACGTAGACATTTTTTGCAATTTATTCGCGCAATGAAGAAAAGTTTATTATGGTCCAATCAATTTATCTTTTATGTGAAACCTATTTATATTTTTCCAAACAGTTTTACGAGTTATGCCAAAAACTATTACATTTTTATTACTATCTGTGTACGACGTGCAAAACTTTTTCCAGAATATGTGGGTAATATGGCAGAAGATATTCATTTGCCCAGCAAAATTCCGAACATTATGGATTGGAACTCTTTTCTATTGATTAAACTGGTTGCACTCGGTATGAAACTATTGAAAACGTTGACTTTACAAGTATTTTCAATAATCCTAGAACTTATTTTATCCTTTGTATAGACAAGTCTTGGTCACAACTGCCTTTATGTGCATTTACATAGAGTCTTCCAACAGGGACTTCCAAACTTCAACAATTAATAACGGCCATCTTGTTAAAGCTACATCTGTCAAATTAGTTGTAATTTATACAGTCTGTTTTTCCAAATCACCATGGACGAAGTGTGGTGGATAAATTTGAGTCCACTAGCTCGACCAACACCCGTACATCGACAAAACGCAAAATCCGCGAAAAACATCGCCGCTGTCTTTGAGAGTGTGCAGGGGAATCCAAGGCAGTCGATTCCGCGTCTTTCATACGAACCCGGCCTTTTACAGACCACAACTTGGCGAATTTTGCGTCGTGACTTGGGCCTGCACTCGTACAATATTCCACTGATCATGGAACTGAAATTAAACGACCATCTGAATCTGTAGATTGTGCATCCTCCCCAGGAGTTTTCCTCCTAGGTCATCGTCCTTCCTGTCCTTTCCAGGAAGGTGAACAGGTCACTAGGAGGCATCTCCTTTATATTGGCAGGTGTAATATAATAATAATAATAATAACTTTATTCACAACGTATACAGATTAGAGTACAATTAAAATAAAATATGTGAATAAAGTGGTTTGGCGATAAGAGCAGAGCTCTTGTTTCGCAAGAAGTTATAAAGGACATGTAGTTACATAAATATTTGTATAAAAATATGTATGGCCTTCATGTAGTAGAAACTACAAGACATTTTATTAAATTTTGTGAATTTGGTGTTACAGTTAAGCAAATTATATTTCGGCTTGAGGTAAAATGGGCCGATTAAATACTAGACAAACAAAAAGTAAGAAAAATAGATAAAACCTCAGACAAATATTACACGTTCTATAAGAATAAAATATTAATGTACAAACTGATAAAATATGGATAAAATTATGCTACTCACAATATAGTGTGATACAACTTTGGGATAAATTTGACTAAGACTCACTTATTTCACTCTAACAGATTTTTTTTAAATTGTCTATCTTTTTCGAGAATGTGTTTTCTTATTTGTTTTTTGAATATTGGTTTGGAATAAGAATTCTTTATTTTGTGAGGTACGGTGTTATATAATTTAGTTGCCATGAAAGAATATGCTTTTTGTGAAATTGACTTTTTAACAGTAGGATAGGTTAGTTGGTCGCGATGTCGTGTGTTATATAGTCGTGGTTTCGTGATGATGCTTTATTTTTGCTGAAATGATACTTCACGTTTGTACACAAGTAATATAATTGTCTCATATCCATAACTTCACATCTTTATACAGGAGATCTGATGAGAAACGTAATTTCTAGACATGATCAACTTCATGAATCTCCTTTCTAATACCTCTGACGGATTGAGGTGTACACGCAGAGCTGATCCCCATGCTGTTATACCATATCTCAAATGGCTCTCTACTAGGGAACTATATAATTGATTAAGTTCTTTAACAATCTAACCAAGAAAAAAGATTCTGTAGTTTATATCTGAAAGTAATTACTGATGAAGATCATAGCAGTGTTTTAGGAAATGTTAACCCTGCCAAATATGCTCCGTTTATAGGAGCTCACTGATAAATGTTGAGAGTGTCCAAAAATAAAATGGACTTTGGTGTGTCAAACAGAGTTTTTGTTACCTCATTTAGCATCAAAAATCAAGTAACATTTATCGCCTGTTCGGATGAGTACTCTCAAAATGGAGCTTCACACATTGCTTTCTTTTGGTCACTGGTCCTGTAGAGAAAGGTATTAATAGATTCAATCCAGAACCATCCCAGAAAATCGTTTTCATCATGTCTGTTTCGTAAAACTATCGACTCAAAAAATGTCCAATTCCATTGAAAAAAGAAGCTCGATTTCTTTCTAAAATTAGATACTTTCATATCAACAGAGTAGCTTTTTTTTGCTTCAGAGTTGAACTTTCCCCTTTAGTATCCTTATAAGGCTCTACTCCAATGTCTTACTGTTTTCCAAGCATGTAATGGGTATAATAATGAAGACTTTTATTATTATTATATGACGAAGAACATATCAAAATGATGTTGGAGTTCGATCTACATCTTTTTTATGTTACCTGTGTCCCTTTGAGATTGAACTTGATCCTCATTGATACTAAACCAATAGATTGAGAGGAGACCTACATTATCGAAAAGTTTTTGAGGGATAATTGATGTTACTCTAACCTTAACTATGATAATCATATTTTGTTTCGAATATTCACTACGTGTTTTTGTGTCTTTCTATCTGTAGCATCTTTAAATTCGAAAAGTGTTTGTGTGAGATATTATCGATTCTCTTGTATTCGTTTGAAAGACCTACTGAATAGGGGAGCCCAAGCGGGAATTTCGGGATTTACTAAAGCGCGGCAGATTAATACAGAGGGGAATACCTTGTACCCGGTTAAGTACCCCCCACCAAATATGAGCCCCATATATAAGGCCGCCTGTGTGGGATAAAGGATTAGATTAGTAAAAAAAAATTAAACATCAGAAATTCTCGAGCGCGTCAGATTAAGGTAGGGTTTGATAATTACCTGCTAAAAAGTGTATATTCCAGTAATCTGACAGTTTGAGAGTAACGTAAAGAAAAGGGAGAGCAGCAAAGTTGTAAAAAGTAACGTCATTCAACATTCTCGAGCTTAGCTATTTTTTTTTCATTTTGAAGGAAATAATTGAAGGATAATGAAAGGATAATGAAGATGAAGATGATGATTAATTAATCAATTAATTGATGGATGCAGCCGTTACTACGTGGCAGGAAATCATAATGAAGAAAAGAAAAATTGAACTTTCTATGTTTTTTACCACATTTATTTGTGACTAACGTTACTGCAGTTTCGTCCTATAAGGACATTTTCAATATATAAGTTTGAAAAAGTGGTAAAAACATAGAAAGTTTCATAATTTCAGTTTTTTGCTTAATATAATTGTTATTTTTCATCTAATCTTTTTAATTTTTTACAGATTCTTTCAGGGATTTCAAATCAATTTATATCATATCAGACAACGGAAGTCCGAACTAATGAAATGCAACACATTCGCCAAGTTATGTTGTGAGGTCGAGTTCCTGTGAGCGATGCGAAATCGACTGTTTCGGATTATCCAGCACACTTTCACAGACATCAGCGATATTTTCGGAAGATCATGCATTTCGTTGACGTACGGGTGTTGGTCAATCAGAGAACTCAAATTTATCCACCAAATTGCGGATAGTCCTCTCGGTAGAACGATTATAGCGACCGTACAATGGGCGAAGCGCGCGATACGTTGCTCGAACAGAACACCCATTTTAATGAAACAATTTTATTATTTGCACGTGTTGTTGAATGCTATATCTGTCCTTGGTGATTCGGCTAAACAGACTGAATAAATGACAACTAATTTTACAGATGTAGCTCCACCAAGATGGCCGTTATCGGAAGTCCCTATAGTTTATTTATTATAATTCATACCACAATTCTGAAGAATTGAGGTGTTTTTATCACAAACTTGATCAAAATGAAATATTACTTTCCTCATCTAAAAGGTTCACCAGTTAGACTCTTTTGCTCGCTGCAAAACTCCCGAAACTTATTCCGAAGATGGAGTTATTTGCATCGCCTCTGCTGCTTTCAAGCATTTGAGGCCATAACACTTCTGCAGCTTTGCTTGGAGTGCTATAACGTAAGAGAGATTTTTGAGAACGACCAATTAAAATTACAGTCCAACTTACATCACAAATGGAATACTAAAACGGCCTTCTCTACTTTTTCCTAGGAACCTGCCAATATTTACAAAAAGCCCAGCCACACCTCATAGACGTTGTCCATTCCAGTAATGCCCAAAAAGTATTAGTATTACTGACGAATATTATCACAGACTAGGGCGTCTACTTTTTTTCTGATAATCAACATTGCGCTCACATTCAATGGCATTTTGTTACGAATCATTTCAGCATATCAATGACATGGGTGCGTGTTTCTTCAGTACATAAGCAAGACTATCACGTTTTTATCGCCCTGAATATCTACGCGATGGCCAAAAATTGATCTATCTAGGGCACTGTCACAGCTCGTCACTAAATTCATTTTCATTACTTACAGTCTTCCGTTAAGTTCAGAACAATGAGCACCCTTGACATATCGAAGAAAGCGATCTTCTTACTTTTCATCATTTCTTCTCGGGAAGTTTTTTGCTCAGAGGTCCCGGATTTTGACTCGCAAGGAGAGGATTCGTATTTAAAAGCTTACAAGAAGTCTCACAGTGAAAGTGTGAAGGTATTAGATTCGAGTGTGAAAAGATCCGACAGGGAATTTCAAGTTAATCCCAATGATGGGTATCCTTATCCTACTCCACAGCCTCAGTACGGATCTCCGGTGAATTACGGCCCGTCGGGGTCCCAGTAAGTCTTCTTAACTTCACTATTTAACACAATATTTAGTAAGAATGTATGTCGTGGGGTGAATACTACAACTAGCTGTTTCGGGGAAACTCAAATTAATGTTTTTTTACGATTTTGGTTGAATATGAAGACTTGATTCAATGTCATTTTACTAGCATTTCTAAATTTCATCAATTCAGCACTAAAACTATTTTTGATCTTGATTCAGATACATAGTGTTCAAATATAATATTTTATGAAAGAATTATGTTTTTAAATGAATATTACCGAAGTTTTTTCCCAACACCGTTATTTTAACACCTCGACACGTGTTTCGATCACCAAGTGATCATCTTCAAGAGGAAGACCAAACTCCAAACTAAACATACTTACAATGTTATTCTTATCTGTATCATAGATACCTCTTCTAGGTACCTGAGTCTTTAGTGTCTTTAATTAATTTCACAATATTGCTTTACCTACTAATTTTAAATTAATTTTACAATGTGTTCTTATGTGATAGTCAGGTAAATCTAATAATTGAAATATTATTTTAACAAGCTATATAGTACACTATCAGGTATTGGTTCACAATCGTTATTCATAATATTATGTTTACTGATTTCTACACTCTCATAGGCATCTAGATGCCTCTTGTTGTTAACTTGTCTAACTAATCTTAATGAACTGAAGTCTATGGAATGGTTTTGTTGCAAAATATGATGGGCGACTGCTGATTTTTCTGGTCTTCCATATTCTAGGTGTGCTAAGTGTTCCTTTTATCTTATTTTAATAGACCTTTTTGTCTGTCCATAATATTTTGCATCGCAGTGCTTACATTTAATTTCGTAAATTCCAGACTTTTCCGAATTCTCGACTTTGTCTTTTGTATTTTGCATCCCAAGTAAAATGATGTTTTTGTTCGTTTTATATTCAGTTTAGTAAATCAGCCTCGTGAATAAATTGTTTATTTGCGATCTATTATTGTATTGACAATAATGCACTGCAAAAAATGTTTCATTTTATCTGTCCATAATATTTTGCATCGCAGTGCTTACATTTAATTTCGTAAATTCCAAACTTTTCCGAATTCTCGACTTTGTCTTTTGTATTTTGCATCCCAAGTAAAATGATGTTTTTGTTCGTTTTATATTCAGTTTAGTAAATCAGCCTCATGAATAAATTGTTTATTTGCGATCTATTATTGTATTGACAATAATGCACTGCAAAAAATGTTCCATTTTACGAAAAAAAAACAATTCGATAAAAATATGTTGAACAACTAGATACACGAACTTGACTAGTTCTAGAATGGTTTTTCTCTCTGTTTCTCAATGTTTTTGAGACCATTCGGTATTTTTCGAAGTGAATTGGTTCCATAATAATTTTGGGAAAAATCAAACTTTCATACATTATGCAATGAATTCTTACACACAAACTGGGATATATCAGATAGTGAAACTGAAGCAATTATGGCTATCGAATGTTTCTATAATAAATTCTATGAAATTATCAGCTATAATATCCCAAGGACATTGATAACTAACGAAATTAGTTATCAGTGTAATGATGGTTTCATTGGTTATTTCGACACACATGACTAGAAATAGACAAATTTGATAGGATATTTTTTTTGGCAAAAAATTTTCAGACTAATTAAACAAAAAGCGAAACAGCATAAAAATATAAAAATACAGGAAATACTGCTTATTACCAAGGGATTGGAAGAATTAGAGAAACTGTAAAAGAGAAAATCAAAGAGGCCTAAGCAAATTATCTTCAAAAAATTCAGGTCCAGTTGAAAAATGAACCTAAGTCATTCTGGCAGTTTCTCATACATAACAAAAATAGAACCTCTAGAATTCTTGCAGAAATGTTGAAGTTGATTCCCCTGTACTATTATCACAAATATATTTTCATGTGCCAAGATTGGAGTGTAGATCAAATATCACTTCTAAGTTCTCAAACAAATATTATGTCTACATCACCAATTAATGTGATGTGTTCATATGCTAACAAATTTCACCAAACTCAAACACCTGTTCATGCAGCTGCTGTTTCGTAAGAATATAATATCATCTTTCCCACCAACCGATTTCCTCGAGTCTTTGAAGACCCACTAGATGCTCGTTAGGACAACTAAAATTGACATTTTAATGGGCGATGATCAACTGTATTGCCAAACATGCGCCAAACTAACTGACTATTATAAGACAAGTATGGCTAAGGCACCAGTCAATCTAATAATAACACTGATGATCTTCAAACATGGCTCAACCATGAACACTTCAATCCAGCAGACCACTACTGAAATCTTCATGCAGTCATTGTTCACTGTGGTTCTGGCGTTAAATCTGGTCATTATTACGCCTTGGTCAAAGACGAAACGGACTGATTTGAGTTTGACGATAGTCGTATTACTTAATATTCTAGCAATATTTTGAATTTATTGGAGCCTCTGGAGACCTCCTACACATTTTATTTTGTGAAAGAGAGGACATTGTCAGATCAATATCTTCAGATGGTTTGGTGCTGCAGATTTTCTCGAGTTTTCCTGCAGCTGAAAAAGCAAATGCACTACTGGAATAAATCAAGTCGCCCCGGAGCGCCATTTAATTTTTGTTGTTGTTTTATAATTTCATAATTTTTATTACTTTCTTTTTTTATATATTACAGTAAATTCTAACAAATAGTCAAATATGTTTGATATTTTTAACAGCAGTAAGAGTGAATTAACAAATAGATCTCGAGCACATCTATAAGCAATTTAGGAATCAACCATAGATGTAATCTATTGCTTCGTAAATGGTTACTGTTGGGCAATAAATGCTATATTTTTCCACCGAAATATGCGCTGGTCAGGACCTATTAAGCCTCGATACATTCGGAAGGGCGGGCCAGCATTATCAATCAACGACCACTCCCCACACCGTGGGGTAAGTGATCATGTGCCCTGAGCAAGCGCAGTGAAGCGAGAATGACAGCCTTCTGCATCTGTCCGGCTAAGATTTCTGCGTCCGTACGGCAAGCCGGTATGCTTTTAAGATTCGACAAATTATTATTATTATTATAACTTACCAGACGACTATTGCGTCTTTGCACGATTTGGAGTCGGTTCACCAAGTGCAGTCCACTCAGGTGACGATGGTTCTGATTCGGGAGACAAATGATGGAGCTATGTTTTATCCATTATCACATATATACGCGTAAATTGAGGTTTATCTCACAAACTTAAATTTATATATTGCTGATACTTTATCTCGTAAACCTATACCTTCAGAAGATGACAAAGAATTAGAAGAAGAAATCGATGCCTTCATTCATGGGGACACTCTCGCAGGTATTCCCACATCTGATGAGAACGTAACACGAGTTGCTAACTCGCAAAACAATGCTCCAACCTGTAACCAACTGAAGAACTACATGATGGGAGACTGGCCTCACAAGTCTTCATTATCGTGTGATGTTGAACCATATTACTCAGTACGTCACGAACTATCTGTTGTGGATGGTATCCTTCTTAGAGGGAGGCGTATGATCATTCCATGCGAGCTCAGGACAATGATGTTGGAAAAATTGCATGCTGGTCACTTTGGAATAACTAAAACTCGTCTTCGTGCTCTGGGAACGATGTGGTGGCCAGGAATTTCTCAAGAGGTAGAAGCTGAAGTAAAATCTTGTCCTATCTGTATTCAAAACTCGACAAACCATCATGAGCCTTTATTGCCAGCTTACTTTCAATGGACCTTTTCAAAACTAAAGGAAAATGGTATATCGTCAGAACTGATAACTATTCCAGATTTTTCGAAATACTCTCTGTTCAGAACATGAGATAATAAACATCTGTAAAACAACATTTGCGAACACAATTTCATGCTGTTGAAACATCAGAGTTCCAACAGTCTGCAGGAGAATAAGGGTTCTCTACATCAAGAAGTAGCCCACAATTCCACCAAGCAAATGGTGCAGCAGAAGCTGCTGTAAAAGTCGCAAAAACTTCAATAAAAAAGAACAAGAATAACGTCGTCGAGATGGCACTTCTGTCATATCGAAACACACCACTAGAGAATGGAATGATGTTTGGAAGAAAATTGAGAGATAATCTACCATCAATCGCATTAGCTGAATTTAAATCATCAACGAAGCTAGTAAGTGCGGAGAAGAAGTAACGTTTGAAATATAAAAAAATATATGATGGAACACATGGACCGAAGAATTTGAGTCGATTTCGAACTGTGATTTTGTATGGATCACAGACCTGAAACGACATGGGGAAATCATTAACGAAATTAAACCAAGATTATACATAGTTAAGACCGCCATAAGCACCATAAGGAGAAACCGTTTTCATCTGATCCCTGCTCCATATCTAAGCAATATCCCCGACGGAGTAGTGAAACAACTGCCAGGGATTCAACAAACAAATTCGACTCCAGAAACTACACCGACTGATCAACAACTAACACATCAAAGACCAACAAACATTGAGAAAGGTAGTCAGGAAGTAGAAAGTCACCCAACTCAACCCAAAACGCCTGTACGACTTCCAACGCCAATGAAAATTGAGGGACCATTCAATATCGAGCAGGGTAAGAATATAACACGCTCTAGGAGAATCGTGAAGATTAGTCAGTAGTTTTGATGAAGCTGAAGATGTATCATCTTGGAGGGGGACGTTGTATTACCTACCTTTACCAGAGTTATGAAAAAAGGAAGAAAATTATGACTGATAAATTGTAACAACATATAATGTTTTCATAATATAATATAATCTATATAAAGTAGTCAACACTTCTATAAAGAGTTAATCCGTAGAACGAATAAAACAGTTTTGCTCACTGCTTTCTTTCATTATCGTGGCGTATTGCATCAACAACGTGACCATGCCTAAGCCACCGTATTCACCAGGTTTGTCCCTAGAAATTGATGAATAAATAAATATTTTTCGAGAAAAATTGAAGTTCACCCTATTTTTTGAACAGGCAGCATATTTGGAATAAAATATAAATATTAGAACTTTATTCTATTAGATCGATTCAGGTAATCACACATAATCATTTCGCAGGACATACTCAGGACTCAGATTTTCGCACAATATTATTTTCAAATAATCGTAAATTACCCATTACTCGGCAGGTAATAAAATTTAACGGTTACGTCCGACTGATGTAAAAGCAGTTACAAATGTGTTCAACAATCCTCGTTTATTTAAACACTTACACGGATCTCTGGTTATATGTGTTAATCACATAGCGGATGTGACGAGTTAATGTCCATTCACACATATTCGGCTCTTGTCCGTGACTTATCTCTTGTTTCCGTGAGTTGCGTTGAGACCCGCAGTGTGGCATGCTTTTTTTTTCAAATACCTAAAGAACTTGCAGTGATTGTATGAATATTTATTAAAATTATTGCCGCGGATGAATACTTATCGGAGGTTGTTGCTAGGCAGACAATTTTCATTTGAAAGTCCGTCATGAGACTGGCAGTGCAAGAGAAAAATAAGAAATTCATTGAAATTATATCAAGAACAAGAGAATTGAGAACCGCATCTTGATGGCTGAAGGACGAATTCTTTACACAAGATGAGAAACTGCCAATGGTATCGCCACTTTCACCAGTCATAGCCAACATGTGTATGGAGTGGTTTGAAACTCTGGCCATTGAAGAAGCCCACTTTTTATAAAAACAAAATTAAAATGTATTTTGATTAAATATGTAGACTTCTCGAGAAATGATGGGAAATAATTTCTTCAGTAAATTCGTGTCAATGGTAACTTTTTGTAAGAAACAAAAAACACCGGAAGATACTTCCTGTAGGATTAGCGCAGGCTTCTTCTCAGAACGTCCGTCATTAATACTCGTAACACATGAATGGAATGTGATAAATGTATTTTTTATTTAAATCAAATTGACGATAGAAATTATAGAACGGATATTTAGTAATGGATACATACTCAGACCTTTTAAATTCTCGTAATTGTTGAGAGTTCTCTTCGTTGATTTGATACTGATCCCAATTATAACTGAATATAGGTAATTATTTTTCAAAGATGCATACAGTTATTTTTATTAACACATCCTAATTTGTCCACTTGAGTCTTCATTCACTATTTAGTGGGTGTTTTATACCGGTTGGAGTAGTTTTTCTTCGATGAATAACCTTAACGATTTCCGGAAAGGAATAAAAACAGATTTATGTGTCATTTAGTTGAAGCTGAATAAAAAAAAAGACTTGAAGAGAACTTTGAGGGGGCGATTTGAAATATTAATATTAATAACAATAATGGCTTTGGTGGGAACAGGAACACGAAACTCATGATCGAGAAAAGTAGAAATATAGCGAGATTTCATGATTACTTGTTACGATTTCAATTACTGTGTCAAAGCTAGTTTTTTCTACACCCGTACTCTAACAATACAGTTATATGACCATAATCCGTTTCATAATGATATCCATTATGATACAGATTTTTCATAACGATACATATGCTCGTGTCTTAATAACCATCATTACATGATCGTTGCATAATATACTATAATTTGTTCTCACATACTACCAATATGTGCTGATATTCCCAAAATGTTTGTCCAGAGTATTATTATAACTATCCGTTGATGATAATAACCCTGGTGGAGAAGCACACTAGGCATATTGGGAGCAGGCTTACCATTTTGGGATCCATTGGTGGATCCCCATTCCATTATACTTCTTCTGGTCTAGCTCTGAGTGATCGGTAGTGAAGGCAATTTGAAGCACAAAACATTTAGTCATTCAACTTTATTGTAACATAGACCATCCTTTTCTCAAACACAACTTTTCTGATTTCAGGTACGATGTACACAACCCGTATCCTCCTCTACCAGCATATGGACCACCAGCTCCTCCACCTGCCTATGGACCGCCAGCTCCACCTGTGTACGGACCCCCCGCTCCACCACCAGTCTACGGTCCTCCAGCTCCTCCACCAGCATATGGGCCACCAGTTTATGGTCCCCCATCCTCCGTGCAAGTATTTTATGGAGTTCCTCACGCCCTCGGTTCTATTTGGGACAAACTCAAATTCAAATTGAGCTTATTCACGTTAGGCAAAATACTGCTCAAGCTGATAATTTTCAAAAAGATTGTTAGTTGGATAGCGGTGTTATGTTTGCTTCTATTTATACCATCTTTGAAACAGAAGGTGGAATCTTCCGATGGAAGTCTGAACGAAGGGTCTAGAGCATTTGGAAAGTTCAGTAAGTATCTTAAAATATAATTTGAAAACTGTATCAACTGATTACACGAAAATAATACTGGATACTAACAATAAAAAATTCGCGAGTAACTTAGCACAATAAACCTAAATTTTTACTTGCCTCTACAAAAGGGATAGCGTGATTATCGATGTGAATAGATAGAGATTCACGCACCGTACTTCTTCTATTTTTTGGTCCGAAAAGCATAACTTGCGATTTATTTGGATTGAGTTTTAAATTGTGTGCACAGGATATATCAAATAGCGATTTAAGATTTCTTTTGATGAGTGTTTCGACCTCTTTAGTTTCATGAAAACTGAAAGACGTATATAGTTGGGTATCATCGGCGTAGTGATGAATTTTGCATGTCTGTATGTATTTATGGAAATCACTTATGTAGAGAGCAAAAAGAAGTGGTCCCAACACTGAACCTTGTGGAACTCCATATCTCCTGATCAATGAAGTAGATTGTTCACCATCCAGTATGACATTTTGAGTCCGTTCTGATAAATATGTGTCTAAAAGAGTTACTGCGTTGCGAGAAAAACCAAAAAACTGAAGTTTTTTACACAAGATAAAAGAATCTACGGTGTCAAAAGCCTTGCTGTAATCAAGCAAAATGAGACAAGTGAATTTTTTTCCATCGCATGACTTGAAAATATCATCAGTGATAAGGGTCAGTGCTGTTGTTGTACTAAATTGTGGGCGAAACCCACAAGATATTTTCCATATTTTTATTATAATGAGATTTTAGTGAAGTGTTGATGATTTTTGTTTTCGCTTTATACAGTGTGTCAATTTCAAAACTCACAATGGGCTATATCTCACGAACGAAAGCTGATATCGAAAAATGCTTGAAACCATTTCTAGGATAGTAAGGGGGAACTAAAGTGGCATGAAAGAGAACTCACCCCCATCAACCTCCTAGGCCCCACCCACCAAAACACAAAAAGTTTAAATTACAAACCCCTACTTGTGATACATCATTGAAAAAAACTATAAAAAATGCTATCCAACGGTATATATAATAATTGTACAGGGTTAAGCAATAATTGTGAAACTTTGGCTTCAATGGAATATTTAATGAGATTTTTGTTGAGCTACAAATTTATTAAAAATTTCAATTAAGTAAATGTTTAAAGTGCGTTCCGTTGTTTTGTAAACAATGATACAGCCTATTTTCAAATTCTGCACGAACTTTGGCAAATGTTGTTCTAGTAATGGCGCGACATGCTTGCGTAATTCTTCCTCACAATTCCCCAAGTGACACAGGTTGAGTTTTATAAACAACTGACTTGAGGTGACCCCACAGAAAAAAGTCAGGTGGCGCCAAGTCTGGTGACCGCGGTGGCCACTCAATGGGTCCTCTTTCCAATCCATTTGTTCGGATAATAAGTATCCAACCACTGCCTAGCTGGAGCTGCATAGTGAGGAGGTGCTCCATCTTGTTGGAAGTGCAGAAAATCTTAGTCTACAGCTAGGTTGCCTTGGTAGTCATTTTGGTTCTCTAATTCATGCACAATTAAAGGTTCAATGGTATTTTCCAGCATATCGAGATAAATATCGCCACTTAAATTGCTTGGTATGAACAAAGGACCAATTATAGCATCGCCTAATATCCCTGCTTAACATTCAGTTTTCCAGAATATTGAGTGTGACCTTCTCTGAATCGATGCACCACTGAAACAAATATTTTTTAACAATCTTGGTTCAACGCGAATTCTTTCAGTCATGAGTTCACAAAACTCAATTCGTCGGTCTGGATCATCATCGCCTAGTTCTTTGTGTTTNAAAGCGTTTTATTTCAAAATTGGCTTTATTTATCAACGTAATCTCCATCAAGAGCCACACAATCATTTCAGGCCTCAGTTTCAGCAATAACCTCTTCATTCGAGCGAAATTTCTTACCGCCGAGCATTTTTTTGAGGTCTGCAAACAGCCAGTAGTCGCTGGGAGTCAAATCTGGCAAATATGGTGGATGTGCCAATGCCAATGTTTTGATTGACTTGTGACAAGTTTGTTATGTTTAAACAAGACAAACACGGCTCAGAATCATCAAAATATTCTTGATTTTGATCAACAGTGATCTCGCGCGGCACCCACTTTGAACAGAGCTTTCTCATAGTCAAATGCTCATAAAATATAAAGCCAACACGTTCTTTTGATATCTTTACAATGTCAGCTAACTCACGCAACTTCATTTTTCGATCATCTAAAATGATTCTGTGGATTTTTTATATTTTCTAGTATTACAGCCTCATTTGGACTTCCCTTGCGTTCTTCATCATCTGTGTCTACGACCACGTTTGAAGTCAGCAAATCAACGTTTATTTGTTGTTTCTGATGGAGCGGAGTCTTTATAACACTTTTTCAAGTCATTGCTTTGCTTGAACGGTATTTCTTCCCATCACAAAGCAGTGTAAAATAAAAACACGAAATTATTTTTGATCCATCGTTCTGAAAATAACAAAAGTAGTGTCACTCTTAGCACAATAACTCGCAAACTTATGGGTAGAATACTATGAAGTGGAAAGTCATCTTCGTGTCAGTCGGGATGGAGTCCAGCTCCCCTACCCTTTCGGCTGATTATTGGTCTCGAGAGGGACCGATGGGTACATGACTGACGGTATGGCGGCCTGAAGTCCTCAGACATCATTGCCGCCCTTCACGGGATACCCCTACTTGGCTGGGGTGGGATGCATGAGAAAGCTATTCATCCGTTAACGGGGGACATGAGGGCCTCATTCGACAGAGTGTCGGGGCCTTCTATATCGGGAGGGGTCGTCTACAGCATAATCTATGGCTTCCCTAACTGAAGAATACTATGAAATTTCAATAGTCCATGTATTATTCAATTTCCATTTCAGCTCACAATAATTTGTTCAGATTGATTGATTCACACACATACACAGAAAGAAGTCTCGTGGATAAGAAGGCTGTTAACTTGAGCCTCATGGGAAATAAAAAGAATAGTGGGAGGCAGAAGTGGAGAAGCAAATGATATCAAAGGAAAGAAGAACACAACAAAAAAACACAGAATTTTAGCAAGAGAAGCTAAATGAATACAAAAACTACATCTACACAACAAAGTAAGGTAGAGAGATGAAAATATTTCAAATTCGTTGCTGAAAATACTTTGACAGTTGAGATAAAACAACACTGAAGCTGTTCAAGTGATTTGGCCCATTTGATTCCACCAAGAGCGGTACATATCAGAAATACGCGTAGGACTGTGGCTACTCATCGTTTTGAGATTCAACTTCAACCCAGTATCCAGTGTATTCTGTCCTTAAAAATGGTAACCATTGAAATACTCGTCAAGCGTTAGATGTAGATGTGAAAGTTGTAGAGGATATTTGAAACACTTTATGTGAATCTACTTATAATGAATTATCATTTTGATTTTTGCCGCATATCTGTTATGCGGCAATCTTATATTATGTGAATCTTTAGATTTACTTCAATCTGCTATCACTTTCTCAGCTATCTTGTCTAAGTTCTATAGTTAAAAATAAACAAGCTTCAAGCAATTATTTTCTGTGTGAATTTCAGAAAACCATTTTTGATTTTTTGTTTCATTTTCAGGTGATGAAACTGTCAGTAACATGACAGATTTTATTCTACGAGCTCTCGATAGCAAATCCTTTGAAGAAAAATATAATCAAACGATAATAAATAATGAGTTTCATCAAAACAAGACAAAAACAGCATGATGACTTCTGACTGCCGGAGGCTGTATCCCAAAGCATATTTTCCAGAGATAAATAATTTGTGAAAATCTAGTCTGATTCATTAGTTACGAGTATTTTATTTATTTATTTATTTCAATAATTTCTGTGAAAAAGCTGGAGATCTTATAGATGGTTCAATAAACTTACATATAATCAGAAACATCAGGTTGTTTTGAATGGTTTGTCCGTTTTTATGAGTCTACTTCAAAGTGACATCTGATTGAATACTGATTTGACCGAACTAAGCCAGTACAAGAGTGTGTCATAATGATCTCCTGAGGACGCTAACTTGGTTAACGAAACGCGCGTCGAAAGACCGTAATTTTTGTTCTGGTGTTGGAAAAGTGTTTTCAATAGGTTTATTCCACGCCAGAGGTTCCAATACGAATTATCAAGACAAATTGAATAATTCGACGAAGGCCGTTTTTGTCTGGTCCTGATTGGCGAAGGTTCTACCGGTGAGACAGTTATCGAAGTGCTTGAAAATATTGTAGTCGGTAGGCGAAAGGTCTGGGGAGTATGGTGGGGAGGTGAGTGAGGCAAAACTTCGAAGCTAAATTCATTTAATTTCTGGACGGTAATCTGTGAAACGTGCGGAGGGGCATTGTCGTGGAACAGGATCGGACTTTTTCTGTTGACCAGGGTCGGTTGCTGCTGACGCAATTTTCGGTACATTTCGTCGATTTCCTCACAATATGACTCTGCTGTGATGGTTTGGCCTGGTTGAATCTCACCAGTCGCTGACTACCATACAGTAACCATGGTATTTTTTTTATGGGTCTTCGCCTTCGGCAAGTGCCTGGGTGGCTCATCGGTGTCCAACCACTGTCTTGAACAGACCTCGAAACGTGACAATTTCTGTCGATCGTTCAAATCGTAGGGCACCTACTCGAGCTTTTTGACCTCCCCAATAGGCTTTAAATAATCAAAAACTGCATGTGTATTGGCTCAGTCTTCAGTAGAACACTCAAAGAAAATAGTTACGTAAATTATTATAGTATACCATGCACCTGTGCATGGCAATTCAATTCAATTCGGCAACTTTCAAGTCCACTAGGCGCACTTTCCTTGAACACATTTTGTCTCTTATTATCTATTTTCCACAAAACTGAAAATGTCCACTTATTTTAATCGAGTCCGAAACACTTATTTATTTTCACAAGTTTATTTTTCGCGAGAAAGGTCTATCAGTTTATGTTTCCGTAATCCGGTACTGTCCACTTCGCGAAACTCAATGAATCACCAGTCTATCTGCGCGAACAAATGAGTATTAATAGTAAATTTCACCACGCGCTCACAAATTTGTTTTACAAATCCACTTCTGATNTTAGTGAAGGAGATCATACGATACTGTTTGAAGATGTGAAACTACTTGCACCCGATCATGGATACCATAGTCGGCTTGTACGGGAAGCCATAGAAATTCATAAACATACAGAAAATTTCAACAGAAAAGAGGAGGCGATGACGCTTAACCGGATTTGGAATCCCATACTGAAAGATGCTAAGGTGGCAGCATTGCAACGCAATTTAACAGGTGATAACACTTCGGCCAAAGATGCTAAGATGGCAGCAGTGTAACATAATGTAACAGGTAATAGCACTTCGGCCAATAACAACGCACCAATTAGAACTAGAAATCACGAGTCATCGGTGAACCATCAGGATGAATAGACCTCTGAAGAAGCCAGCCACTTGTGCTGGCGAAACTTTAGGATACGGTTCCAAACCACGACGGCGTTCAAACCCGAACGAAGATCATAACACTGAGTTACTATAGTCACAGTAATAGATAGAGAGGGAACTTTCCCAGTTTCTGTAGTTAGAAGTTTTGAGAAATGTAATTCAATATAGTAGGTATCTGTTTGTGTTGAGAGGTTTCACTCTTGAGTTTATACAAATCATTAAAGTGGGTAAAGGTGGCAATACGAGCCCATACGTTGAAATCTCACGCTGAAGTGTGTTTTTTGAATAGGTTAAAATTGATTTTCATCAAGTAACGGTCAGATCTATTATAAAGTGACAATATTTTAGTAGATTACGTCCTAGTGCCGCCATATTGAATTTGAAGCAAATGATATCTCTGCCGCCATTTTGAATACAAATTGTCACTTGTGTTATATCATTTCATATCACTTGGTCTGAGAAAATATACAGGGTTCTCCTTGAAGTTTTTGACTTGGGTTCAATTCCAGTTGAACTGCTACGGATTTTGAATTGTCTTGAACGGCCACATATATCATAAAGTTGTTTTACTGCATTGTAAATATGAAGAATGATATTAATTTTTCAACTCCTCAATTTAGTGTTCACAACAATCAACAGCTATCGTTTATTTCTGCTTTCAACTTCCAAGAAGATTCATTTGATAAAGTAGTAAATACAACCTCTTCAAAAAATCAGATTCAAAGTTTTGCTCCTAGATTCATGGGTAATTCGCATCAAGACGCTCAGGAGTTTCTTAGTTATCTTTTAGAAGGATTATATGAAGAGGTTAATATAATTAATGAGAAACCTAAACCAATCTTAACGGAGATTGACGAAAAATTGAGCGACAGCGCAAATGCACAAGGATTTGAGGATGCATAACTCTAAGATTGTAGATAATTTCGTTGGCCAATCGAAATCCACGATGAAATGCACACACTGTGGATACTCTTCAGTAACATTATCACTTCCAAGAAACATTGAATTTATATTAAAAAATTACCATAAATGAAAAATATCATTTATTGTGTGAATAACAAATCACCATGACTGAAAAATTTCAAATTAGAACCATCAAAAATTATTTGAATGTTTTGATAAATAAAAAACCGAATGCACAAAATGAAATGGCTGTCAGAATCTATTAACAACAGATACATCTTTATATACACAGGTAATCAAAATGAAAGCATGCGCTGGGGTATATTATTCTGGGAGAAGTATCGCAAGTATTTATATAAAATCATTTTTCATCTGGATAAGCTTCTATTTCTTCTTGTATCTCCAGCGCCCAGCTCACCCAAGCGCTGATGTGGGGCGATTTTCTCGAAGAACGGATGCTGCAGAGATTCTTTTAAAGTTATTCTCTCTGAGGGTTCGTACTCCAACATTTTGAAGATCAAGTCGAAAAGTGCATTGTGGTCTGGTTCGTCACTTTGTCGATATCTCTGAAACATCAAAATGTATTCGATAACATTTTCCATATGACGTCTTTGTTTCGTCACATTGAATTAAAAAAAAATTGCTCCTACGGGGCCATTTTGAAAGCAACTGGTCACTGTTAAATCGTTATAAATTCACATTGTTGTTTAATGAAAATATCGGTCTGGTGTTTTTAGTTGTTCGACTTTGAAGCTATTTTCAAGAAGGTATGACTACACCAAGGTCTCATACTGCCTACTCAGGTAATGACATGCCTTAAGGGTATTGTGACCTGACCCCAAGGTCTCATTCTGCCTACTTCCAGGTCTCATCACCAGTCTCCGCAAAGGTCTCAACCTGGCTACTCACAAGCGTCAACTGTGAAAGTCACATGCTCTGCTCAGTTATTTATGTCCTTAGATGAGTGAAGGCGTGTACCAGTAGTGGTAGCGGATGTGGAGTTGGTAGTGGCAACAGGGGTGTAACTAGCAGAAGCGAGGTGTGCAGTTTTGCGAGATGTACGGCGTAGCAGTAGTGATCAACATGAATGATGTAATTTTTGTGAATCATCTTGTTTGTTGGCCTTGCTTCTACAACTGGTCTTCTCTCCATTCGCCTAGGGACATAAATACCAGACCAGAACATGTGTGCTCACTGTCGACACTTGGGAATAGGCAGATTGAGACCCTTGTGGAAACCAGTGACGAGACCTGGGGCTTAGGCAGATTGAGACCCTGTCAAGTCACAAAACCCTTAAAGTATGTTACTACCTAGAGAGTGAGCAGATTGAGATCTCAGTGTACTAATACTTGAGAATGGCTTCAAACTTGAAGTCATAACGTCGAACAACTGAAAACACCAGTTATATTGTTGTACAGTACGAATTGAAAAATGAACTTACGATCAAGGGTTTGCAATTATCTCTTACATATCTCCCAGCTGAACTTCTCTCGTCCCATTCGAGCTTTCCTCGATAGAAATATTTAGTTTTTGTTCTCCTTGCCATCCTGTTGAATAAAAATATTTTCAACGTTGAAAACAGATCATTTGAAGACTTTACTTTATATAGTTTGCTAGTGTTTGGGTACATGTAGAACATTTCCAAAGTATTAGTTGTTTACAAAAGATAACTCTATATATTTTGGTCCATATTAGGCATAGACGGATGTTTTCAAATACTCCATCAAAAGTAGTCGAAATTTTTATTGCTCCTCAAGAAGGAAATTGAAGAATATGAATGGAACTTTTGGCTAATCCCAACCACTGTATGACACTGAATGAAAGACAGACAGGCACTGGAATCCTTATTGGAAAAACTATGAAATAAACAGTCTCGAATATTCAACAAAAATAATTTGTTGTGTGGGATTTTTTTTCAGATAGTGGAATGGAAAAATCCCCAGAAAACTCAATAAAATTACCCTAGCCTCATATGGAATTCTTATTTCTCAATGTTTTTATTCAGTTATTCTTATGTAGAATGATGTTTTCTTTCATGTATCGTAACAACATTGAATTTATTCTGCTCAGTAAAGACATCCTAATTGTAATCAAATAAATCATGGAAAAATATACAAACCTCACTGGAATTTCTCCAAGGATCCTTTGCATCATCGCTAGATGCTCCCGGTTATCATGGGTTTGGAAAAGTGTTATTCCCAGGTACAATTCAAAGAGTATGCAGCCTATCGACCAAACATCGCATGGTTGGGACCATCCCAATTCTGAAATTTAGATTCGGGTGAAAACAAACTCCACGAGGAAACTAATGATTATTATTTCATATCAGAATTTGAATTAACGGCAACATAACTCGCTACCGAATGCTGAAAGCTAAAGTACAAGAATGTGGAAAAGGAAATGGGTGAAGAATTCTTTATTTGAGAGTTGTATGTCAATATAATTCTACTGTTTACGGCATATTTTTTTTAATATTGAGACCAAACTGAACTGACGCTGGAATTTTCATTTTCAATTGAGTTAATATACATCAGGAATAAGGACGGTACTAGGATAGAACTTTGGAGGTATGTCAAGTATTTTTAAATCATTTTACTAAACACAGGCATTATCTGAGAAAAGTTTGGTTGGGTAACACAATCAATTTTGTCTTAAAAACTTAATACTGAACTGGTATTATCATTGATTTCAGTAACTTCTATTGTTGAAAATCCTCCCATAACATGCCATGTAATCGTGGTCTGTTGTAGATGTTTATACGACCGAATGAATCAGGTTTTATAACGCTAATCCTCTTGCCAAAAGATTTGCCGTTATTAACCCGGTTTGGTAACGTTAGATGTAAATGGTGTTGCATTAACGAAGGTTTCAGTACAATCGTTAGTTGTTGTTTGGGGTTAAAATGGACACCAATATACCTTGGCACAATCATGTCGCTGGAATTGCAAAAGCTGCTTCTCAAAAGCTTGGAACACTGTTCCGAACCAGAAAACTGTACACACCTCAGCAACTTTCAATGTTTTATGAAGCTCAGATCAGATCTTTGCAGGTGTTTACACAATTTTATAATGCTGGATTTGTGTATACACATTCATTACTTTTTGATATACTGTTTGGAACCTTTGGTGTAGTAATGAATATTACCGGAGTTTTTTCCCAACACCAAATCGTTATTTTTACACCTCGACACGTGTTTCGATCACCAAGTGATCATCTTCAAGAGGAAGATAAAACTAATAACTACATTCATTACGTTTTGGTAAACTCGATTTAGAAATCCTTCTTTGAGATGTCATATGAACAGGTTCTATTGTAGGTGTTTACAGGACTGAATATATACGGCTTTATGAGTTAATCCACTTTCCAAACGGATTGGTGTTATACCACCAGTTTGGTTGTGATAATGTTTGAAGTATCTATTTTAGTTATCCGGTTTTGAAACGGTTATTCTCTTGCCAAAAGGTAAAGCGTTATTAAACCAGTTTTCAACGTTAGACGTAAACGGTATTCATACCGGGTAGGTTTCAGTAAATTCGAATGTCAATTCTTCGTCAAGGATGATTTGACCATGTGTAAACGTGATCATTTATGTGAAAGTGATAGTTTACAGATCACACTTCTTGGACACTTTCAAGTAGTTTTTTGAGTATGGGAAAAAATCATGTTCCGCGACGCCAGGACGCCGCTGGTTTTCGTCAATCGATTGTGACTTGGCCAAGATCTCGCTCAACTCGACTTGCGCTTCGTGATCGTTGTAGATGTCGCCTCTCTTCGAGAGACTTCCCTATCGGTTTCCAGAGACTTCTATCACGATATATAAACACTACCAACAGGCAGATGGGGCGAGTAAGACAAGAACTCTTAACGATGCAGGGGTCCCACAAGGTGCAGTCCTTTCGCCACACCTCTTCTCGGTAGACACAGCAGACGTGCCCAAGCCGGAGAACAACTTTAACAAGTTGGTGCTCTACGCGGACGACACAGCACTGCTGGCGAGATCTACAAGCCAAGCGCGAGTAACCAGATACTTGCAGTAACAGGCAGAAAGATTAGAGGAATGGGCCAACCTGTGGAAGATCAGTATAATCCCTGACAAGAGACAGGCAAACTGTTCACCCGGAGGATGTTACACCCGGAAGGAAACGTCATCTTCAACGGACAAGATATTCCGTGGACCATCGAAGCTAGATACTTGAGGGTCAACCCAGACAAAAGATTAATGTTCAGGTCTCACGTACGGCAGAGAATAGGAATGGCGAGATCTGCCCGACAAAACCTATTACCAATGATAGGTCGAAGAAGCAACATGGGACTGAACATGAAGCTGCTGATGATGAAGACGGTAATACTACCGATAATCCTGTATGCCTGTACTGCTTGGGGCCAGTGCGCTGCGACATACAGAAAACAGATCTAGTCGTTTATGAACGTGTGCGTAAGGGCCGCCCTAAACGCTCCAAGATATGTACCGAATAGGCACATATTCCGGGAACATTCACTACGTGGAGCATACAAAAGGAAACACGCAGAGGACACGTTTGACAGAATTCGAGCGCACGACAACTCAGCGCTAAGCGACTTACATAACGCACTAAACAGGGATGACCCCAAATTCCGTGAGAGGGACAATCAAAGGAGGCCAACGAAGCAGAACCAAAGATCACCCCCGAGAGTCGCTGTCAGGCGGCTCCGGTAAGTATAATTTTCTAACAGATAACTAACACTTTATTTTCAGGTTCAACGAGAAGCACTTGACCGCGATCTCTTTTAAAACGATAGTCTCCGGTTCAGTTAGGAAAGTCAAGATAAAACAATACAATAGATCAGAAAGTAAAAGCACCTAGAGGACTAAAGAAGGTCAGATGTCAACCTTGCTGAAGTGCCCATCAGTAAGTTGAGGACCGCTCCGGAGAAGCGGTTGTGGATGGACGAGATGAGATGTTCTGCACACATTAACCGTGTGGAGAAGATTTCAAATCAGGGCACTCAACCCGGGAGGGGGCATGAGAGGGGAGAGATGGGGCGAGTCTAGTTGAAAGTGCGGGACGAAGTGATCTAATGGGGCGATGGACATTCGAGTATAAGCCTGAAGTATTAGTTGAAGTGGTTGTGTTGTATTGTCAGTGTAGCAGTGAAATAAAGGTGAGTTCAAATGCACAGTGTAGTAAATTATTGTCAAGCCCACGAGGTAATCGTAACAATGAAACAAACTCACCTAGAATGACCTCCGGTGCTCTGTAATGCCTGGTTGACACTATAGTGCTGTGATGTTCGTGATCGAAAGTAGCACTTCCGAAATCGATTAGTCGCACATCAGTTCTCTTCACCTTCCGTACATCTTTCCTCTGGAATGAAACGCATAATATATAAATATTTCCGTTTGTTGTACGAGCAACTACCCTTCATACCTTTTTACTGTTGTACACTAAGTCGTAATCCGAATCGACGAATAATATGTTTTCGGGTTTGAGGTCAGTGTGCGTCAATCTGTGGTCATGCAAAAATTTGACGGAGTAGCATAGTTGATATCCGATATGTCTAACTTGGTCCAGCGGGTACGGCTGATAGTTATTTTCTTTCTGCAAAATCAAAATTATTGCCCTGGTTTTCAACATCACCAACTTTTTCATTACTATAGTTTATGAAACAGAATGCAAATAAGTCATGATGCGAAACAAATCAAACTTCTCAAAAAAATTATATTGTGTAAAGGTAAAACCCTAACCTATTGAGAATGCATTTATGTTCCCCCTTCAAGGTGTTGTTCAGACCTCGAGAATATCAAAATTAATTTTGTGTCTAATTTATCGCAGTAATGAATGAATTGAAACACTACCGTCGGCATATCAGTCAACATTTTTTCTGCACCTTTTTCTCAAAGTTCCAGAATGTTTAATGGATTTATCCGAATCAAATTTCTTCTCCACTATTACGTTTGTAACGAATACTTTGATTGGTGATATATATCGCACTTTAGAAGATAAGATCTTGTTTATCCTCAGCTCGTACAAGTTTTGACTCCCGAGGTTTGTCATTCAAAAGAGGCAGCAGATGCTTACGATACACACATTTTTTAACTTACACTAATGTGGCTGAAAAAGCTCGGCTATTTCCTTTGAGGTTTGATTTGCCGCTTCTGTAACTCCTAGACATTTGAATTGAAGTTCCTGAATTACTACAGAAATGTGAACCATTTGAACTTTTTTTTAACACCGATAAAATTTCATAAACACACCTCGGTTACGTCAAATGTGAGTGGGCCTATTCGGCCCTTCAACCGCAAGCCGCAAGGGTTTATTGTGGCTGACCCTTATTCACACTGGACCAAATAAACCCAGCTTCTTAATGAAGCCGATTAATTTATTGAGTGAGTGATATTTCAGGTCAGATGGTAAGAGTGTGGCTCTGCCAAACTCTGAAAACCTGATTCGATCCTCAGAAGGGCAGGTACAAAGTGTAAGCCATTTCCCAAACAGAGGAGACGCACACAGTCTTCCGACAGTCCAAGTCTTTGCATATGATGATTCAGACGACAGTGACCTGTGAGAAGGTCTGTTAGACATCGTAGTTCATCCATACTGTAGTCCAACAACTGTTTGGAATCAAGCTTTGAAGGATGAATAAACGACTTGGAGTGAGCCAATCCTCGAAGATTCTGCCGGAAGTCCATAAATCTTCTTGCCATCAAGGTGTTCAATGTTTGTTTGGCGAAACCTAAAGCAATGCCAATGACAGGTTCTGGTCCGATGAGGCTGCTTGCAGCACCTTCCTTTGCAAGGGAGTCAGCAGCCTCATTGCCTTCCAGGGCAGTGTGGCCAGGAATCCAGACTAGAGACATTCTGTCTTCTTACTGAGAAGAGTCGTTTTTGGCAGTTTGCTACTAATTTAGACGTTGCTCGGTAGGAGCCAAGAGCTTCCAACGCCGCTCGACTGTCCGAGAATATTTTTATTGACTTGTGTATGAGGTTGGATTCTACCAATCTTCCCGCACACAATTCAATAGCATAGATTTCCGCTTGAAATGCATTCGCATAGGTCCCTAGGCTGTCCTTGGTCAGCGACTGAAAACACCTGCACCAGAACCTGAAGGTGTTTTTGATCCATCTGTGAACAACTATCTGCTCTTAATAGACACAGACATACATTTCCTTCTACCGGAAGATCCAGTCCTCTCTACCCGGGAACAGTACTGTATAAGGCAGTACGTAGATGACAGTTGAAAGCATAATGGCCGAGGTCATTTCCAGAATGCTGTGACTTCCAGTGTCAACCAACAGTCTGTTGCACTCTGCATTAAATTGATTTGTGCAATTGGCAATGTGCACAAGATCCCTCGGGGACTGATATTTAAAAAAAGGAGGAACTTGCCTATCCAACTGTTCATGATCAGTGCTCAAAGTTCTAACGATTCCACAAGTATAAAGGACTGGAAAGCACAGTTGAGTTTGAAGTTGCCAGATATGCTTTCCATCAGTTATGTAAAGGGAAAGAATTGCCAGTTACAAATGAATAAAGATATGGAATTTATCGAGTCAAGAGCTGTTGCGGTTGATATTTCTAAGGTCTTTGACCGTGTGTGGCATGAGGGTTTGCTAGCCAATCTTCAATGCTATGGCTTGTCGGATCATTATTATGTATGGGTCTTCAGCTTCCCGAAAGAACGTTCCCTGCTAGTCGCCGGCGATACATATCTCTCAAATACTTTCACCATCAACGCTAGTGTTCCCCAGGAGTCCATATGGTCTCCAACCCTCTTTCAATTGATATCAATGACTTATTGGAAAAAACCAAGAATCCAATACATATTTTTGCTGACGACAGCACACTTGTTTCGTTATTCTACTTAGATTCCAGGGCATCGGTTGCGAATGCACATCTTCACCGGCAGCAGGAGGTTGCATATCTTAGGATCTATAAGTGATTTCGAATTGGGGTGGAAGCAACCAGGTTCAATTCAATGCCACGAAAACCCAGGTATCGGTTTTCTCTACAAAAAAAAAGTCTCTTAACCGGATATAATAATGTCAGGACAGATAATTCCGCTTTCTGCTTCGATAAGTTTGTTGGGGGTTGAATTGCATAGGCTGCTTCTCAAAAGCATGGATCACTGTTCTGAACTAGAAAACTGTACAAACCCCAGCAACTTTTGATGTTTTATAAAGCTCAGATCAGAACTTCGGAGTATTGTTCACATGTATTAAGCTCCGCTCTTAAGCATACCCTGAAGCTGCTGGATTCCCCCCAGAAAAGAGCCACCCAACTGATTGGAAACACGACGATTACTTCCAACCTTGATAGTTTGAAACATTGAAGAAAGGTTGGAGATTTGTCTCTCTTTTATAGATACTTTCACTGAAGCTGTTCAAGTGATTTGGCCCATTTGATTCCACCAAGAGCGGTACATATCAGAAATACGCGTAGGACTGTGGCTACTCATCGTTTTGAGATTCAACTTCAACCCAGTATCCAGTGTATTCTGTCCTTAAAAATGGTAACCATTGAAATACTCGTCAAGCGTTAGATGTAGATGTGAAAGTTGTAGAGGATATTTGAAACACTTTATGTGAATCTACTTATAATGAATTATCATTTTGATTTTTGCCGCATATCTGTTATGCGGCAATCTTATATTATGTGAATCTTTAGATTTACTTCAATCTGCTATCACTTTCTCAGCTATCTTGTCTAAGTTCTATAGTTAAAAATAAACAAGCTTCAAGCAATTATTTTCTGTGTGAATTTCAGAAAACCATTTTTGATTTTTTGTTTCATTTTCAGGTGATGAAACTGTCAGTAACATGACAGATTTTATTCTACGAGCTCTCGATAGCAAATCCTTTGAAGAAAAATATAATCAAACGATAATAAATAATGAGTTTCATCAAAACAAGACAAAAACAGCATGATGACTTCTGACTGCCGGAGGCTGTATCCCAAAGCATATTTTCCAGAGATAAATAATTTGTGAAAATCTAGTCTGATTCATTAGTTACGAGTATTTTATTTATTTATTTATTTCAATAATTTCTGTGAAAAAGCTGGAGATCTTATAGATGGTTCAATAAACTTACATATAATCAGAAACATCAGGTTGTTTTGAATGGTTTGTCCGTTTTTATGAGTCTACTTCAAAGTGACATCTGATTGAATACTGATTTGACCGAACTAAGCCAGTACAAGAGTGTGTCATAATGATCTCCTGAGGACGCTAACTTGGTTATTGCCAATGACAGGTTCTGGTCCGATGAGGCTGCTTGCAGCACCTTCCTTTGCAAGGGAGTCAGCAGCCTCATTGCCTTCCAGGGCAGTGTGGCCATGCTCTTAATAGGCACAGACATACATTTCCTTCTACTGGAAGATCCAGTCCTCTCTACCCGGGAACAGTACTGTATAAGGCAGTACGTAGATGACAGTTGAAAGCATGATGGCAGAGGTCATTTCCAGAATGCTGTGACTTCCAGTGTCAACCAACAGTCTGTTGCACTCTGCATTAAATTAATTTGTGCAGTTGGCAATGTGCACAAGTCTGTATGCAGTCCATCTAGCCTGTCTCTCCAGAAAAATGTGGAGAGGAGGTGGATCTAGAAGGATCTCCATGGTCGCTGGCGGTGCGGTACTGATGGCACCACAGATGGTAAGACACGCCTGTCACTGTAAGACACGCCTGTCTCTGTAAGACACGCCTGTCTCTGTAAGCCACGCCTGTCTCTGTAAGACACGCCTGTCTCTGTAAGACACGCCTGTCTCTGTAAGCCACGCCTGTCTCTGTAAGACACGCCTGTCTCTGTAAGCCACGCCTGTCTCTGTAAGCCAGAGAGATTTGCCCGAGACATTTTCTGTAAAGCCTTCGGCCACCAGGCGACTGCTCCATCAGTAATTATTGGTCGGACAATCATCACATAAATCCAGAATGAGGTGGAGATTTGCATTATAAAAATACAATTGTTTTTTACTTATTTTCTTCTTCACTTTTGAGTTTTCTCTCCAAACTAGTACACCAGAGTAGGAAAGATCATAATGCCAAAAACACTTGAAAAAAGACGTGGGGAGATTATCCAATTTTCAAATTAGAGTATATGAAACCTTGTCACTTACCAAGAAATCAAAAACGCTCAGTCCCAGCATCTCGAAAGCTATACACATATGTCCGTGGTAGTCGAACCAGTCCAACATTTTCACGCATAAACTGAAAGAAAGTAGTTTAAAAAATATTTTCACCAAGATGTCAATAGTAGGTACATTGGGTTATTAGGAGAAAAAGTGACTGTAAAATTGAATAAAATTCTGTGAATTTCATTTCAATAACGTAAGTTCGTCGCTGTTCCACAAAAGAACTTATTATACAGTAGACTAGCGGCGCTCCGGCTCCGCACGGGTGCAATGCTGATACTAAATATACA